ACAAGAATATCATTTTAAAAAATAAGCATGGCGACCATCAAAAGCAAAATCTGTCTTGGGAGAGACATTTATTTAAAGTGGATAGAGAATGGGTGCCTACTTTTTAGGTCACCTGAGTAAACTCAAGTGACCTATTGCTATCTGTTTTCGTCCGTCGTCGTGCGTTGTGCATCAAGCTTTAACATTTGAACATTTTCAGCTTCTTCTCTCAGAAACCACTCAACCAATTTCAACCAATTTTGGCATAAAGCATCTATGGGTGAAGGGGAACAAAAATTTTGAATTTCATGGTCCCTGCCCCCCTGGGGCCTGAGGGGTGGGGCAAAAACTACTAAAATTGATGCAATCTTTAAAAATCTTCTTCTTTACCCCTGGATATCAAGCAGTCAAACTGTTTGCAGGATTGTAATCAGCATTGAGTCCTCTACCAAAATTGTGAAATTCATGGCCCCGGGGTCAGGGGGTTCTAGTGCTAGGGCGGGGCTAAACAGGTTATATAGTGAAAATGCATTATTTCTTTATGTTTAAGAATGGTAAACTTGAAAGAAACAAAAAACTGAACAGTTATCCGCCACCACATATATCCACTATTTATCCCACTATTGAAATATTGTGAGATTCAATAATTAATCCCATAGAGTATAACTGTAATATTTGGTGTTTTATGAAGGGAGAGAGCAACATTAAACAGAAATGAAAACCTATGGAATTCTAATGCCCTGTTCACATGGAGAGTAATTCGAATTAAACATAAAGTTACTGCGAAATTACTTCGCATTAGCTTCATGTGAACGCTAAGCAAAGCTAATTCGAATTTAATTTTGAGGCATGCATAATGGCAAAATTAGGTCAAATACCACATGTCCGTGGTCACCTGGAAGTATTTGTGCTATTTTTGAGTGAAAAACTAAGGAAAATTGTGTTAATCACTAAAATGTGTGACACTGTAAAATAGACACTGTAACATTTTGTCAATACATATGCTCCTGCATAAGGTGATGTGGTTTGTAAATTACGTCATAATAGACTTACTGACGACTGTCCATAGAAGTAGAATTTTAATTCAAATTAGTTTACTTCGCATTAGCTGTCGTGTGAACGCAATTTAATTCGCATTATTTTGATTCGCATTAGTATACTTCACATTAATTTACTGTGAATTAAACTCATAGTGTGAACAGGGCATAATTGTGGTACAATATTTACCAGCAATATTATTTTGAACCACTCTTTTTGTTTACTGAAGTACATCAATCTTGAACCACCTACCTCAAATGAAAAATAAAATGTAAGAGGCATGGTCAGTATTTTACAGACATATTTAAAATCCCACCCCTCAAAAATGTAACAGAAATCCAATATGAGGCAATCAATATGATGTAAAATTATCATACTCAATATGAAAAAAAAAACACACATGTACAATAAAGTCATCAATATTTTATGATCATAATATTATTATGTTTAAGCCCTTCTCTTCACTCTCCCTAAAAAATAAAAAGGGCAGGGGACTCAATATTTTATGGCCATAATATTTTGAACCCCCCTCCCTCTTAACTTAAAAGGACAGGGGGGTTCAATATTTTATGGCCATAATATTTTGAACCCCCTCCCCACCTCTTAAATTAAAAGGGCAGGGGGTTCAATATTTTATGGCCATAATATTTTGAACCCCCTCCCCCACCTCTTAAATTAAAACGGCTTGGGGACTCTATATTTTATGGCCATAATATTTTGAACCCCCTCCCCCATAAATTAAAAAAGCAGGGGGACTCAATATATTATGGCCATAATATTTTGAACCCCCTCCCTGTAAAATAAAAAAAGCAGGGGAACTCAATATTTTATGGCCATAATATTTTGAACCCCCTCCCTGTAAAAATCAAAAGGGCAGGGGGACTCAATATTTTATGGCCATAATATTTTGAACCCCCCTCCCTGTAAAATAAAAAAACAGGGGGGCTCAATATTTTATGGCCATAATATTTTGAACCCCCTACCTCTAAACTTAAAAGGATATTGGGGTTCAATATTTTATAATATATGGCCATAATATTTTGAACCCCCTCCCCCTTAACTTAAAAAGACAGGGGGGTTCAATATTTTATGGCCATAATATTTTGACCCCCCCTCCCTGTAAAATTATAAGGACAGGGGACTCGATATTTTATGGCCATAATATTTTGAACCCCCTCCGCCATGAATTAAAAAAGCAGGGGGACTCAATATTTTATGGCCATAATATTTTGAACCCCCTACCTCTAAACTTAAAAGAACATGGGGGTTCAATATTTTATGGCCATAATATTTTGAACCCCCTTCCCTGTAAAATAAAAAGGCAGAGGGACTCAATATTTCATGGCCATAATATTTTGAACCCCCCTCCCTCTTAACATAAAAGGACAGGGGGGTTCAATATTTTATGGCCATAATATTTTGAACCCCCTCCCCCATAAATTAAAAGGGCAGGAGACTCAATATTTTATGGCCGTAATATTTTGAACCCCCTCCCCAATAAATTAAAAGGACAGGGGAACTCAATATTTCATGGCTATAATATTTTGAACCCCCCCTCCCTGTAAAATAAAAAAGCAGGGGGACTCAATATTTTATGGCCATAATATTTTGAACCCCCTACCTCTAAACTTAAAAGGATATGGGGTTCAATATTTTATGGCCATAATATTTTGAACCCCCCTCCCTCTTAACTTAAAAGAACGGGGGGGATCTATATTTTTTAGTCATAATATTTTGAACCCCCTCCCTGTAAAATTAAATGGGCAGGGGGACATAATATTTTGAACCCCATCCCTGTAAATTAAAAGGGCAGGGGACTCAATATTTTATGGCCATAATATTTTTAACCCCCTCCCCCATAAATTAAAAGGGCAGGGGGACTCAATATTTTTTGGCCATAATATTTTGAACTCCCTCCCTGTAAAATAAAAAAGCAGGGGGACTCAATATTTTTAGGCCATAATATTTTGAACCCCCTACCTCTGAACTTAAAAGGACATGGGGTTCAATATTTTAAGGCCATAATATTTTGAACCCCCATCCCTGTAAAATTAAAAGGGCATTGGGACTCAATATTTTATGGCCATAATATTTTGAACCCCCCTCCCTCTTAACATAAAAGGACAGGGGGGTCAATATTTTATGACCATGATATTTTGAACCCCCCTCCTTTTAAAAGTAAATTGGCAAAGGGACACAATATATTATGGCCATAATATTTTGAACCCCTCCCTCTTAAATGAAAAAGGTAGGGGTTGAATATTTTATAAGGGGTTCAATAAATTGCAGCGAAAAAGTGAACCTGGGTTCAAAATATTATGCAATATATATTGAACCTGGGTTCAATTTTTCACGGTATCAAAATATTATGCTACACCTGTCCTGAAAGTCTCTTTTTCTGTTAAAACAGTACCAAACCAGAAGTCTCTGTCGAGACTGTAGCTCTACTGGTTTATACTTAAAACAAAGGAATAAAAATGTAGCATTTGGGACTTGAAAATTTAAAACAGCAATAAAAAGAAAAATGATCCTTGTCGCTCATCAAAATCAAAAACCAATGTACAGTATTATGTACCTTAGTATAGTCTACTTGTGTGCCAAGTTATATTAAAATCAGAACAAAACTATAGGAGGAGTAGCATATTTTGAAAGAATTTCACAGAAATTTCTATTTTTAGTAACCACGGCAACACCATTCATCGAAATCAAAAACCAATGCACAGAATGATGTATCTTTGTTTAGTGTACTTGTGTGCCAAGTTATATTGAAATTGGACCAAAACTGTAGGAGGAGTAGCATTTTGAAAGAATTTCATAGAAATTTCTGTTTTTAGTAACCATGGCAACACCGTTCATCAAAATAAAAAAAACTGATGCACAGAATTATGTATTTTAGTGTAGTCTACTTGTGTGCCAAGTAATATTGAAATCGGACCAAAACTGTAGGAGGAGTAGCATTTTGAAAGAATTTCATTGAAATTTCTATTTTTAGTAACCACGGCAACACCGTTCATCAAAATAAAAAAAAAACGATGCACAGAATTATGTATCTTAGTATAGTCTACTTGTGTGCAAAGTTATATTGAAATCGGACCAAAACTGTAGGAGGAGTAGCATTTTGAAAGAATTTCATAGAAATTTCTATTTTTAGTAAGATGCACAGAATTATGCATCTTAGTGTAGTCTACTTGTGTGCTAAGTTATATTGAAATCATACCAAAACTGTAGGAGGAGTAGCATTTTGAAAGAATTTCATAGAAATTTCTATTTTTAGTAACCATGGCAACACTGTTCATCAAAATCAAAAGCCGATGCACAGAATTATGCATCTTAGAGCAGTTTAATTGTGTGCCAAGTTATATTGAAATCGAACCAAAACTGTAGGAGGAGTAACATTTTGAAAAATTGTTTACAGACAGACAGACGGACGATGGACGCATTACTATCGCATAAGCTCTTCTGGTCTCTGACCAGTAGAGCTAAAAGGCTTGCTAGTGAAAATTAATCGTCGCGAACTACTTTACTCCCAATAAATCGCGAAATAAAATCGTCGCGAATAAAGGTTGGTTTACATTAATTTGATTGAATTTTATTATAGTATTTTTTAAAAAATCCTTTAAATCCTATTCTACAGAATAGCAAGGCATTTATTTTAATCATATTAATCACACTTAAAAACCCTACAGATATGTGTATTGAAGCTCAGGTTAAATTAACACCCTTTTAAGCAATATAGGTATATTTTTTCTCCTTGAATGTTTTCTAACATCAGCAGCGTAAAGGTGACTCAGATGAGCATTGTAACCCATGGGCCTCTTGTTTATGTATTCTTGTAGAAACCAAATCAGTAATTCGTTATTATCCATAATAAGGAATTTGTTAAATTCATACAGCCTTGTTCTTATATACTACATGAATTTTACTGTAGTATTGTAGATTATAATCTCCCACTATAATTTGCCATTTTAACATTTTGATTGAAGGTGACAAAAAAAGAAGGCAAAATTCAGGACTTCCAACAAAATCAGGCAGAGATGGAGGAGATGAATGCCAAGTTGAAGGAGACACTGGCTAAAACTCAGCAGGACCTGGACACTTCTAAACAAATGGTAAACAACTCATTTAGATACTTGGAAATCACTAATTTTCCGAAGGGGTGTGTGTGTGTGTGTAATTTTTGTGATTTTCAAGGTATGAAGAATCACACACAAATTTATGTCCACCGTGAAATGCAATTCTTCACCTGTATAACTACTGAACAATTTTTCAACCTGCGTATAAGTACAGAATCAAATCCCCATGAACATATACTGTAAATCACTTTTTATTTGCGGGAACTTTATTTTCGTGTAATTACGTGAGACAGTGTGCTCGCGAAAATTTAATTCTCGCGTATAATAGTAATCCTTAAGAATATATAGAGCAATAGCCACAATACGCGAAAAATTTGTCTCGCTTATCAAGAGTCGATGACTATCTCGCGAAAATAAGGTGTCGCAAAAATTTAGTGATCTACAGTATTTTCCTCAAACCACGAAAATTTGACCCCCCAAAAATATGTGATTTTACAGCAGTCTGAGTACAGTTTAAGCTCACCTTAGCCAGTTGTTCATTTCAGAGTTTTTTTTCTTATCTATTCAGATGTCCTGTGCCCTTATCATTACCTGTACACTTACAATGTATACTTTTAAAAACTTTTCAATGCTGAACTGATTATTGAGCCTTTCTGTAGCTAAAGTGCTCAGGTGAGTGATATAGCACATGGGCCTCTTGTCCAAAAAGAATGGCATTCTTAACAAGTAAACAATTTACCTAGAGTTTTAACTTATGTGTTGTATTTAGATAAATAAAAAAGATGAACTGCATTAAGTTTCCAATATCCAGGACCTTTTTTCGTTTTATCAATATCAAACTAAATTTTTGGTATCTATGGTCACTCATTCGATTTCCGTTTGAATGGGTACCTGGAATTTTTCTAACCTTAATATCTGCTATGCTATAATACAAAGAATTGTTTATAAAAACATAATCTATTCAACTTTTAGGGTAATTTTTGCATCACACCAAGTGAATCCTGACATACCTGGATATTGTTTTTTCCATTTATCATTCATGTTACAATGCCTTATCAAATCTTTTAAATAATTGTTGTTAATCATATTAATCATACTAAAACATCCTATAGAAGTGTGTGTATTGAAGCTCAGGTTAAATCAAAACCCTTTTAACGTAGAACCTACGTCGTATGACATCATAACTAGTGAATGTGTTTAGCCTGTGCTAGATTCATTATGACGTCATAATTAATTCATTGTCATTTCCCGTACTTTACAGCTTCAGTATAGAAGGGTTAGAAAATGCTGCATTTTGAAATTCACAGAATTCAATTTAAAATCATGCCGAAATAATCTTCATAATATTCGATTTAATATATATTATTTTAATATAATGCTTAATGAGAATATATTTCTTGAATTAGAGAAACCTGTAAGCACCTTTCATTTAATAGATCTTGGCTTTAATTAAGTTGACAAATCCAAGACTATATTGTGTGATGAAATCGCCATGTACACAACAAACTGTAATAATGTGAATGGTATGTAACTTTTTTGAAGAAATGCAAAAATCTTTTTAAAAAATCGTCAGTTTCCAACTAAATAGTGTAATATCTTGATGAAATGTGTCTAAATCAAAGATGTACGAGTTGTAGATTGTATGTACATTTTGTGATATCTATCATGAATTGATGTGCACTCCTTTTCATAATGATTTGTTACTTTTCATACTCTTGGAGTTTTATTACAATTTCTCTTTTAAATTAAAAGTTCAATTTTTATAAACATTTTTAAGTTGAGAGTAGCCCCTAACAGTCATTTATTAATAAAATCCGTGTAAGTGCAAAAAGGTCAAGAATATTAGTATCGGTAAATAACTTATCTCTCATTAGTAAGAGGGGAAAGGTGTATATTTTAATCACTTTTTGTAATCATTTGGGTATGTTCTTTATCATATTAAAGATTGAAAACATTGTGACAAAGACTTCTGATATATATTTACAAATGTAGGGTGGAAAATTACTGAAAATAAATAGAGTTCATTTGCCCATAGTTTTGAAAATGTGGACTTATCTTTTATGTCAATTAACTAAATAAGAATTTATTCTCGGGAAATATTGTTTAATACTGTTCAATTAATAAAAAATAAAAACAACTATGTTTAACGAAGAAATTCTGGGATTTTGTTGTCTTCTTTGCATGACAAGTACCCCTAAAATTACTGAAATTGTGAAGTCGCAATATTTATTTATCATTCCATGTTTAATTGGCTGCACTACATTAAATAACAAGGAAACATGTCATGTGCTTTTAACTGATTGATAAGCAAGAGCTAATTTATCATTATGAAAAGTTTGAAAATCTTGTGACAAAGACTTCTCCGACATAGGTTCTACCTTAAGCAATATTGGTATATTTTTCTCCTTGAATGTTTTCTAACAACAGCAGCATAAAAGTGAATCAGATGAGCATTGTAACCCGTGGGCCTCTTGTTTATGTATTCTTGAAGCTAGAAACCAAATCAGTAATTCGTTATTATCTATATAAGGAACTTGTTAAATTCATACAGCCTTGTTCTTATATACTACATGAATTTTACTGTAGTATTGTAGATTATAATCTCCCACTGTAATATGCCATTTTAACATTTTGATTGAAGGTGATAAAAAAAGAAGGCGAAATTCTGTACTTCCAACGAAATAAGGCAGAGATGGAGGAGTTGAACACCGAGTTGAAGCAGGATCTGGACGCTTCTAAACTGATGGTAAACAACTCATTTAGATACTGGGAAATCACTAATTTTCCGAAGGGGTGTGTGTGTGTGTGTAATTTTTGTGATTTTCAAGGTATGAAGAGTCACCCACAAATTTATGTCCACCGTGAAATGCAATTCTTCACCTGTATAACTACTGAACAATTTTTCAACCTGCATATAAGTACAGAATCAAATCCCCATGAACCAATTTACTGTAAATCACTTTTTATTCGCAGGAACTTTATTTTCGCGTAATTACGCGAGGCAGTGTGCTCGCGAAAATTTAATTCTCGCGTATAATAGTTATCCTTAAGAATATATAAAGCAATAACCACAATACGCGATAAATTTGTCTCGCTTATCAAGAGTCGATGACTATCTCGCAATAATAAGGTGTCGCAAATCCATATATGGAATTTGTTAAATTCATACAGCCTTGTTCTTATATACTACATGAATTTTACTGTAGTATTGTAGATTATAATTTCCCACTATAATTTGCCAATTTAACATTTTGATTGAAGGTGAGAGAAAAAGAAGACAAAATTCAGTACTTCCAACGAAATCAGGCAGAGATGGAGGAGATGAATGCCAAGTTGAAGGAGACACTGGCTAAAACTCAGGAGGACCTGGACGCTTCTAATCTGATGGTAAACAACTCATTTAAATACTGGGATATGACTAATTTTCCGAAGGGGGTGTGTGTTTAATTTTTGTGATTTTCAAGGTATGAAGAATCACTCACAAATTTATGTCCACTGTGAAATGCAATTCTTCACCTGTATTACTACTGAACAATTTTTAAACCTGCATATCACTTCAGAATCAAATCCCCATAAACCAATATACTGTAAATCACTTTTTAGCTCATCTGAGCTTAAGGCTCAAGTGAGCTTTTCTGATCACTTTTTGTCCGGCGTCCGTCTCTCTGTCTGTCCGTCAGTCTGTCTGTAAACTTTTCACATTTTCGACTTCTTCTCAAGAACCCCTGGGCCAATTTCAACCAAACTTGCCACAAAGCATCCTTGGGTGATGGGTATTCAATTTTCTTCAAATGAAGGGCCACGCCCTCATTCAAGGGGAGATAATTGGGAATTAATGAAAATTTGGTGGTATGCTTTAAAAATCTTCTTCTCAAGAACCACTTGCCAGGAAAGATGAAACTTAAAGGGAAAAATCCTCAGGTAGTGTAGATTCAAGTTTGTTCAAATCATGACCCCCGGGGGTAGGGCAGGGCCAAAATGGCCGACCAAAGTTTTACATAGAAATATATAGGAAAATCCTCAAAACTCTTCTTCCAGAGATGGCAAAAGACGCTGGCCCACCGGCGATCTCCGGTAAATTTCGTCTGAGTCCGATAGTTTCTAGAACCACGCCGGACACCGTGTCCTGTAGATAATTCAGAATAATCAATAGAAAAATAAAATTAAAAGAAATTACATAACGCATTATTTCTTAAAACTTCATGAAATTGAATCTGTAAGATTTTACATTATTTAAATATTGCAATACGTAGACGGTAGTAGTATGACGAGAACCTGGCAGTTATCCAACTTACTACCGCTCTTTTGTGGAGAAGTTGAGAAAGCTCTAAATCTCGCGCCATAATTCTCAAGCATAACATTGTTTACAGTTGTGACAATCGAAGAACTAGAACAATCATGCTGTTGTTACAATGTATTGTCACGGGTTATTCATTACAGTGAAATGAAAAAAAATTCATTACAGTGAGTCAGCGAATATTTATCAAGAGATTTAAACCGGATTTATTTCTAATCTACAGTGATCCATTTTGCATTGTATTCACTTGCACATTGTCCCCATCGAACAGACATTTTCTTCCTCCACTGAGAAAGAGTTCCACCAATCAGAAATCAATTTCAATTTTACATTTTGTTGTTTTTTCAGTCCGGCAAATTTTTAGTGTGTCCTGTAATTTTTGTGATTTTTAGACAATCTGTAGGACACTGTGTCAGACAGATTTTTTACCTCTTTCGCCAACTCTGACTTCTTCTAAAGAATGACAAAGCCATAATTCATCATATTTATATGGAAGCATCCTCAGGTAGTGTAGATTCAAGTTTGTTCAAATCATGACCCCCGGGGTTAGGGCGGGGCCACAATGGCAGACCAAAGTGTTACATAGAAATATATAGGAAAATTCTTTAAAAATCTTCTTCTCATGAACAACCAAGCCATAATTGATCATATTTATATGGAAGCATCCTTGGGTAGTGAAGATTCAAGTTTGTTCAAATCATGACCCCTGGGGATAGGTATGGGCCAAAATGGCCGACCGAAGTTTTACATAGAAACATATAGGAAAATTCTTTAAAATCTTCTTTTCAAGAATTGCCAAGCCATAATTGATCATATTTATATGGAAGCACCCTCAGGTAGTGAAGATTAAAGTTTGTTCAAATCATGACCCCCGGGGGGTAGGACGTGGCCACAATGGCCGACCAAAGTTTTACATAGAAATATATAGGAAAATTCTTTAAAATCCTTCTTCTCAAGAATAGCTAAGCCATAATTGATCATATTTATGTGGAAGCATCTTCGGGTAGTGTACATTCAAGTTTGTTCAAATCATGACCCCCGGGGGTAGGGAGGGTCCACAATGGCCAACCAAAGGTGCTCAGGTGAGCGATGTGCCCCATGGGCCTCTTGTTATTCGTGGGAACTTTATTTTTGCGTAATTACGCGAGACAGTGTGCTCGCGAAAATTTAATTCTAGCGTATAATAGTTACCCTTAAGAATATACAGAGCAATTGCCACAATACGCAAAAAATTTGTCTCGCTTATCAAGAGTCGATGACTATCTCGCATAAATAAGGTGTCGCAAAAATTTAGTGATCTACAGTTTTTTCCTCAAACCATGAAAATTTGAACCCCCAAAAATATGTAATTTTACAGCAGTCTGAGTACAGTTTAAGCTCACCTTAGCCAGTTGTTCATTTCAGAGTTTTTGTTCTTATCTATTCAGATGTCCTGTGCCCTTATCATTACCTGTACACTTACAATGTATACTTTTAAAACTGATTATTGAGCCTTTCTGTAGCTAAAGTGCTGGGCCTCTTGTCCAAAAAGAATGGCATTCTTAACAAGTAAACAATTTACCTAGAGTTTTAACTTATGTGTTGTATTTAGATTTCAATATCAAACTTAATTATTGGTATCTGTGGTCACTATTCCCGTTTGAATGGGTACCTGGAATTTTTCTAACCTTAATATCTGCTATGCTATAATACAAAGAATTGTTTATAAAAACAATACTGAACTGATTATTGAGCCTTTCTGTAGCTAAAATGCTCAGGTGAGTGATATGGCACATGGGCCTCTTGTCCAAAAAGAATGGCATTCTTAACAAGTAAACAATTTACCTAGAGTTTTAACTTATGTGTTGTATTTAGATAAATAAAAAAAGATCATGAACTGCATTAAGTTTCCAATATCCAGGACCTTTTTTCGTTTTATCAATATCAAACTTAATTATTGGTATCTGTGGTCACTCATTCGATTTCCGTTTGAATGGGTACCTGGAATTTTTCTAACCTTAATATCTGCTATGCTATAATACAAAGAATCGTTTATAAAAACATAATCTATTCAACTTTTAGGGTAATTTTTGCATCACACCAAGTGAATCCTGACATACCTGGATATTGTTTTTTCCATTTATCATTCATGTTATAATGCCTTATCAAATCTTTTAAATAATTGATGTTAATCATATTAATCATACTAAAACACCCTATAGATGTGTGTATTGAAGCTCAGGTTAAATCAACACCCTTTTAAGCAATATGGGTATATTTTTTCTCCTTGAATGTTTTCTAACAACAGCAGCGTTAAGGTGATTCAGATGAGCATTGTAACCTGTGGGCCTCTTGTTTATGTATTCTTGAAGCTAGAAACCAAATCAGTAATTCGTTATTATCCATATAAGGAATAAGCCTTGTTCTTATATACTTGTTATAATTCATACAGCGTTATAACTGTGAAATTCATTATTTATATAGCTGGGGATCCAAGATGACTATATCATGAATTTTACTGTAGTATTGTATGTAGATTATAATCTCCCACTATAATTTGCCATTTTAACATTTTGATTGAAGGTGACAAAAAAAGAAGGCAAAATTCAGTACTTCCAACAAATTGCTATGAAGTCCACAAACCAAAGAATTACAAATCAGGCACAGATGAAGGAGATGAATGAGTTAAAGGAGACACTGGCTAAAACTCAGCAGGACCTGGACACTGCTAAACAAATGGTAAACAACTCATTTAGATACTGGGAAATCACTAATTTTCCGGAGGGGAGAGGGTGTAATTTTTGTGATTTTCAAGGTATTAAGAGTCACCCACAAATTTATGTACACCGTGAAATGAAATTCTTTACCTGTATAACTACTGAACAATTTTTCAACCTGCATATAACTACAGAATCAAATCCCCATGAACCAATATATTTTCCTCAAACCACCAAAATTTGTCTCACCCCTCAAAAACATGTGATTTTACAGTAGTCTGAGTACAGTTTAAGCTCACCTTAGCCAGTTGTTCATTTCAGAGTTTTTTACTTATCTATTCAGATGTCATGTGCCCTTATCATTACCTGTACACTTACAATGTATATTTTTAAAAACTTTTCAATACTAACTGATTATTGAGCCTTTCTGTAGCTAAAATGCTCAGGTGAGTGATATGGCACATGGGCCTCTTGTCCAAATAGAATGGCATATTTAACAAGTAAACAATTTACCTAGAGTTTTAACTTATGTGTTGTATTTAGATAAATAAACAAGAGGCCCAAGGGCCTTGAATCGCTCGTCTGATAAATTATACAATCTATCCCAAGACCCAAGATACATCAACTGACAAAGTTTGATGATTTTTAGCCAGTTACACCGTGTATATCCCAACATGCGGGGTGTATACTATGTTGTGCGTGGGGTGTATGCTTCCGAAGCGAGAGAAAGGGGGTCAATGTAGGTTTTTTGTCCATTTTCTCAACTTAAGGATATTTTTCACCAGAAAGCATTTACCTACGGAAGAAAGCATTATCTAAGGAGTATATGGATACCTATGAATCCACTGGACACCTTCTAGTTTTATCAAACACCTCAACACAATTCCGAGGATCGGAGCAAGATTGACGCTAAACTGTGTTTATGATCAAATATAAGAAGAAAGCTTTGCTTTATCATCACTTTTATATTGTTGTTAAATACATGTTTACAATATAAACGATTGTACAAATTGTCTGTTAATAAAACAGTTCGTGTATAAAGATATTGGCGAATAATCAATGTTGTGTCCGGGGTGTATGCAACATGTTGTACACGGGGTGTATACCCCTCTCTTTACTCTATAGTATCATTGTATGAAATATCATTAAAAAAATTCTTAACAATTGATTTTTGGGAAAGTTACATTTATTTTTTAAATTATTTACCATTTTTGTAATAGAACAACTTTAGACAGGTTCATGAATTCGATTTACTGAAAATAATACACGTTCATCGTACTTTTGGCTTTGCATGCACATGGAAGTTAAGGACCCTCTCTACACTGCACCCTAATTTCAAGGTACTTTCGTGTAGTTAGACTGACCCACCATTTGACATAAAAAAGAATAAATTGTAATCCGCACTTGTACTGTATGACAAACTTTTAAATAAATCCATCTATTCTAAACATTATGTTAGACCAAGATAAAGTAATTGAAAACTTTATTTGCAAATATTTTCTCCATTTGAATAATCTAAAGCAATTTTTCTTTGTCATTACTTCACTGTCTTCAAAGATTTTTCCTGGACACAGAAGGCACGCTCCCTATATTAGAAATGGATTAGTTTATTTCAAAATAGCCTCCTTTACACTATATAATTTTCTCAAAGTCCAAAAAATATTTTTCGTCAGTGTATAGAGGGTTCTTAATGTAACTAACAATTCATCCGTTCCATTTAAAGACACCTTATTCAGATCATTGCTTAATAGACATAAATGCTTCACACATGCATCATTTTGAACATTTAACATTTTTTCATACTTTCTGTTTAACCTTTTTCAACAGTTTTAAATGATACTGCATACGGAATGTATATATATCTAAGTTGATTCGATACGCAAGAGCATGCTCTACGTATGAACAATTTCTGAAACCAGGTACATTATTGAAAAGCAAGTTGATGAAACAAGAATATCAGCAGTCTCGTTTAAAGTCATCATTTTGTAAGTTTTATGGTCGAAACAATGACCTTGTCAGCAAATACAATTTATCATTGAGTCAAATGCTGACTGACGTTTTTCCTACCAATTTTTACTCCATTATTTATACACCGAATTGACGACGGATTTTTCCGTTATTTCACGATCATGAATATGAGCACATGGCGGGTGTGACCGGTCAGCAAGGGATGCTCACTCCTCCATAGCACCTGACCCCATCTCTGATGTTTCTGAGGTCCGTGTTTGCTCTGCTCTTGTTTTGTTTTGTTTTATGGACTTTGAGATTGAATACTGTTCGTTATCTCCACACCCCTTTATTGAAAATATTTAGCTTTTTGTAATGTCATAAACACCGCAAAAAATGTTTTCCTTCATGTAGTATTTATATGCTGTGTACTTTACCCCCAGGAGCTCACATTTGGCAGTAAACTATTTGTTTTATATTGAGGCATTGTATTGTACTGAGTACACATTTTCTAGGAATGGGCCCGTGTTTGTTTCTTAGGTCATTCTTTTTTTGAGGGGGGGGGGGGGGTAACTTTTCTACGTGTATATACGAAAATAAATTAAAGGAGGGTGAACATTAATTGATATTAATTACACTTCAACTTAAAATTGTGATTGTACCCAATATTAATTACACTTCAACTTAAAATTGTGATTGTACCCAAGATAGTTTTTTTTTTTCAGTTGTGCATGCCCTCAGAAAACTGTCGCCCAGTATGTGCATTTTTATAGCTGGATTTACATGTTTATTGTGATTTGTAAAATATGAAATCTTTCAGATTAGGAAAAATAAGTCCACATATAGCAAAAATTGAAAGGAAAATTAATTTAATATATCATACAAACACGTAGTATCACCCCCCATTTTGTTCCAGACACAACTTTCACTACAGAAAATGTACATCGAAAGTCAAGTTGTTCCGCCCCCTTCCCCTTTTGTTGCAGCATAGTCAAACAATGATATGTAGTATGTTAAAGTAAAAAAAAAAAGAGAATTGTTATTGAAAAAAGATGGAACCTTCAATCAAATCTGAAATAGGAGTTTTGAGTTTCGATAAGCCCCCCCCCCCCTTTTTTTTTTTTTTTAAAGCTAATCAACTTATGTCAAGGGTTTTTTTTTTCAGGTATCCCACCCCTTCAAAAAAGATTCTACATCACTGTCATAAATGCTGAAGAATACATGTATTGATAACATAAAAGTTGCAGAAACAAAAGAGAGATTTATCCATAATACGAGTACATCAATCATGTATAGTTTCCATTATTTTTAACGAAATATTTAGATTAAAACGATCTGAAGAAAGGAGAAAATGTCCTCAATGCAGGGAGGGGGGGGGGGCAAGGGCTTCCTTTGGAGAGATTTTATATTTTATGATTATGTAGATTTAGTAAATTTAGTTAATTTATACTTCATTAAGTTATGGACTTTACTCTTTGGTTTGGCATTAGTATTAGGGTCTTTCATCAACACTATCTGTCGCATATAAACCTGTGTAAATAATATTTCCATAGATTCTTCGCACTAACAATCCTAAGAAAAAGATGGGGTATACACCCCGCGTACAACATGTTGCATACACCCCGGACACAACATTGACTTTTCGTCAATATCTTTATACACGAACTGTTTTATTAACAGACAATTTGTACAATCGTTTATATTGTAAACATGTATTTAACAATAATATAAAAGTGATGATAAAGCAAAGCTTTCTTCTGATATTTGATCATAAACACAGTTTAGCGTCAATCTTGCTCCGATCCTCGGTATTGTGTTGAGGTGTTTGATAAAACTAGAAGGTGTCCAGTGGATTCATAGGTATCCATATACTCCTTAGATAATGCTTTCTTCCGTAGGTAAATGCTTTCTGGTGAAAAATATCCTTAAGTTGAGAAAATGGACAAAAAACCTACATTGACCCCCTTTCTCTCGCTTCGGAAGCATACACCCCGCGCACAACATAGTATACACCCCGCATGTTGGGATATACACAGTGAGTTAGGACTGAAGATATTTAAATGAAACTATAAAATACTATAAGTAGGTCATGGTGACCTACTTTTTGATTGAAATTTTCTGATGCATTAATGACAAAGATTGATGATTCTAGGCCAATAAGTACTTGAGATATTCAAAAGTGGGTCACAGTGACCTACTTAGTGGTCAACATTCTCCAAAAACCCAAGGTGCATAAACTGACAAAGTTCGACCATTCTAAGCCTATGAGTACCCTAGAATACTGCAGTATAGCCATAAATGTCACAAGTAGGTCACTGTGACCTATATTTTGATCATCATTCTCCAAGAACCCAAGATGCATCAAAGAACAAAGTTTGATGATTTTAAACCAATAAGTACCTGAAATACCTAAATATAGCCATAAAATGACAAAAGTAAGTCACTGTGACCTACTTTTTGGTCGACATTCTCCGAAAACCCAAGATGCATCTACTGACAAAGTTTGATGATTCTTATCCAATCAGTACCTGAGATATTCAAAAGTGGGTCACCGTGACCTACTTTTTGGTCAACATGCTCCGAAAACCTAAGATGCATCAAATGACAAAATTTGATGATTCTAAACTAATTAGTACCTGGGATACATAAAACTAGCAATAAAATGTCAAAAATAGGTCACTGTGACCTACTTTTTGATGGACATGCTCCGAAAACCCAAGATGCATCAACTGACAAATTTTGATGATTCTAAGCCAATAAATACATGAGATACTAAAATATAGCCATAAAATGTCAAAAGTAGGTCACAATGACCTATTTTTTGGTCTTTAATCTCCGAAAACCCAAGATGCATCAACTGACAAATTTTAATGATTCTAAGTTAATTTGTACCGTAGATACTTAAATCTAGCCATAAAATATCGAAAGTAGGTCACAGTGACCTATATTTGGTTGACATTTTATGAAGACCAAGATGCATCAACTTACAAAATTTGATGATCATAGATCTAATAGTATTCAAAATATGTCTTTTAATCAATTTGAAAACAAATGCCTGCAAAGTTCAAAAAGTAGGTCATAGTGACCTACTTTTAGAAAAATATGTTTTAAGGCCTCTAGATGCATCAACTTACAAGATTTGGTGATTCTAAACCTCTCGGTGTCTGAAATAATGGGATTGAATGTTTTAGAAAAGATCAGCAATAAAAATTAAAAAGTAGGTCACGATGACCTACATTTAAGTTGATGTTGTTTGTGGACCCAAGATGCACCAGCTGACAAAGTTTTATGATCATAGGCCTTAAAGTGTCCAAAATATGCCTCCAAATCAATTTGAAAACAAAAATTGAAATTTAAAAAGTAGGTCACTGTGACCTTCTTTTTCAAGTCCTGAGATGCATTAACTTACAAGATTTGATGATCCTAGTCTTTATAGTAAGCAAAATATCAACATTCTTAATAAGTGTAAATTTTGGTCAACTTTAAAGTGACCTTGAGACCACGCCCTTTGCCCCAGGGTCATGCCTTGTACAATTTTTAATCTTCAACATATCCTGACCTTAATCTTCGGCCCTCGATTACTTCTTTCTCTCACAGAATGGACAGTTTTTGGCCTTTCTCCTTTACATAGACATGATGTCTTCTAAGGACAAGATCAAGGAGCTAAATATAGAACTGATTCTTTGTGACAAGACCTTTCATTAAGTACCAACAACTTTGATCTTGACATTGGAGATTTCTTTACATATGAAAAAACTTAAGCCATAACTTTTGAGCGGTAAGAGATAGGGCTTTCATACTTTACCTAATAATATTTGTGAGAAGACACTTCACTGAATACATATACCAAGAACTATGACAGGTGACGTTGGAGTTTAACCTACTTTTTACAAACTTTAAACTTGGCCATAACTTTTAAACAGTAAGGACTAGAGCTAAATAGTACTTCACAAATGTAATCCTTGTGACAAAACCCCTCATTGAATATCAACAACTTTTACCTCGACATTGCAATTTGACCTACTGACTTTATATAAACTGTAATCTTAGTCATAACTTTTGAGTGGTAAGGACCAGCACTTCCATACTTCCCATATGTAACCTCTGACACAAGAATTTTCTTTAGAAACCAATAATCTTGACTTTTTGACCTTGACCCCAGAGCTTGTCCTTGGTTGTTAACCTTGGTCATAACCTTTGAACATGTGGTGCTAAGGTTTTATATTTCACATTTGTTTCACAAACACATCTTGTCTTAAAGTTTGTTTTTAAATTAAAATTATGATTCCTTGAGTAAAGTGGCAAAAAAATCAGATATTAATTAGATTGAATTTTATTATAGTATTTAAAAAAATCCTTTAAAATCCTATTCTACAGAATAGCAAGGCAATGTTAATCATATTAATCATACTAAAACACCCTATAGATATGTGTATTGAAGCTCAGGTTAAATCAACATCCTTTTAAGCAATATGGGTATATTTTTTCTCCTTGAATGTTTTCTAACATCAGCAGCGTAAAGGTGATTCAGATGAGCATTGTAACCCATGGGCCTCTTGTTTATGTATTCTTGCAGCTAGAAACCAAATCAGTAATTCGTTATTTTCCGTATAAGGAATTTGTTAAATTCATACAGTCTTGTTCTTATATACTACATGAATTTTACTGTAGTATTATAGATTATTATCTCCCACTATAATTTGCCATTTTAACATTTTGATTGAAGGTGACAAAAAAAGAAGGCGAAATTCAATACTTACAACGAATTGCTATGTCCACGAACCAAAGAATTACAAATCAGGCACAGATGAAGGAGATGAATGAGTTAAAGGAGACACTGGCTAAAACTCAGCAGGACCTGGACACTGCTAAACAAATGGTAAACAACTCATTTAGATACTGGGAAATCACTAATTTTCCGGAGGGGGGAGGGTATAATGTTTGTGATTTTCAAGGTATGAAGTGGATGAACTCAAAATACTGGTAATTTAAGCTTGCTGACAGCCTTATACACAGGGCATTCCCATTACATTGCATTGATTGAACAGTACAGTAAAACTGTTATAACAAAGTCACAGGGACGTTTAAAGTTATTTCACTATATCCATAATTCGTTATAATCGGTATAAGGAATTTGTTAAATTCATACAGCCTTGTTCATATATATATATATATATTTTACAAGTTTTACTGTAGTATTGTAGATAATCTCCCACTATAATTAGCCATTTTAACATTTTGATTGAAGGTGACAAAGAAAGAAGGCGAAATTCAATACTTACAACAATTTGCACATGATATGATATCCACGAACCAAAGAATTACAAATCAGGCAGAGATGGAGGAGATGAATGCCAAGTTAAAGGAGATAATAAGTAAAATTCAGCAGAACTTGGACACTGCTAAACAAAGGGTAAAGGACTCGTTTAGATACTGGGAAATCACTAATTTTCTGGAGGGGTGTGTGTGTGTAATTAATTTTTATGATTTTCAAGGTATGAAGAGTCACCCACAAATTTATGTCCACCGTGAAATGCAATTCTTCACCTATATAACTACTGAACAATTTTTCAACTTGCATATATATATACATGTATATAACTACAGAATCAAATCCCCATGAACCAATATATTTTCCTCAAACCACGAAAATTTGATCCCTAAAAAATATGTGATTTTACAGTAGTCTGAGTACAGTTTAAGCTCATCTTAGCCAGTTGTTCTTTGAGGGTTTTTTTATGCCCTGCCATGAATATGGCCGGGGCATATAGTGTTTGTCATGTCTGTCTTCCATCCTTCCATCACACTTTGCGTTAAGCTCTGTTCAAAGCTAAGTTTCAAAGAAACTATCCAAGATATTTTCATCAAACTTATATGCTGATAGATATTGATAAGGGCTATGCAACTGCATCAACATTTTTTGACCTTGACCTTTCCTTTGACCTTGACCTCACTTTTCTTAAATTAGTGTTAAGCTCAGTTTTAAACATACCATTCAAGATGGTGTTATCAAACTTCACATGCTGATACAAACTTGCTTCGGATGCTGGATCTGACCTACATTTTCATTCCCAAGTAACTATAAGCCCTTCCTGAACCAAACTTGCATGGATTTTGCATTTAGGGATGGACACTAGCAGACTTGCTTAGGATGCTGGATCTTACCTATATTTTCCAAACAAGCAATTCAGCTGCATCACTTTTCAAGATATTTTGATCAAATTTTATACACATACAAATTTTCATGTTGCTTTACTAATATATCCTCGGCGGGGCATTCATGTCCTACGGACATATTTCTAGTTTCTTATCTATTAAGATTTCCTGTGCCCTTATCATTACCTGTACACTTTAATACAATGTATATTTTTAAAAACTTTTCAATACTGAACCGATTATTGAGCCTTTCTGAAGCTAAAGTGCTCAGGTGAGTGATATGGCACATGGGCCTTTTTGTCCAAAAGAATGGCATTCTTAACAAGTAAACAATTTACCTAGAGTTTTATTTTATGTGTTGTATTTAGATGAATAGAAAAGATGAACAGTACGAAGAACTAAAAAAAGAAACAGAAGGGCTAAGAAAGCAGCAAAGCAAAGATGCAAGCAGGGTAGGTATTACATTAATTTAAAAATGAATAAAATAATGTCTTGTCATAATCTTAACACTCTCTTTATATGTCTTATTTTTATATTAAGTTCGATGGGAAAAATTTGTGAAGAAAATTTGTGTTAAATAGCATAAATTTAAATACAACACAGAAAAAATACTTCTACAATATACTGAACTAGCTGTCAATTATTTTTGTTTCAAAAATTTTCAATTGATAAAACGTGTGGTTATTTTAATGACAGATTGCAGAAAGGGATGTCGAGATCCAAAAATTAAACAGTGAGATAAAGATGCTGAAAATCAAATACCGAGAAAAAGCCATAGATGCCCAGATACAAGAGGATGTAAACAGAAAAATACACGATGAATTACACAATTTGCGCTTGCATGGACGTTTATATTCTAGTTATTAAATCTAGAATTATGCTGTACAATAATCATTATACAGCTTCTAGTCCATTTTTATATCTAGAATTATGCTGTACAATAATGATACAGTTTCTAGTCAATATTTAAATCTTCAATTACGCTGTCCAATAATTATTATACAGTTTCTAGTCAATATTTAAAACTAGAATAATGCTGTACAATGATTTTTATACTCCTTCTAGTCAATTTATTAGAGTATGACTGTACAATGTGATAATGTGATAGAGGTCATTTATTTATTCCTTTTATAGCTTACCTAAGCTGACAGCTTAAGTGAGCTTTTCTGATTACCAGGTGTCCAGCGTCCATCCATCCAGCTGTTAACTTTTCAACTTCTCAAGAATCACTCAGCCAATATTAACCAAACTAGGTCCAAAGCATCCCTGTGGAAAGGAGATAATAAATTGTTAAAATAAAGGACCAAGCCCTCTTCCAAGGGAGATAATCAAGAAGTTGCAAAAGTAGGGTGGTGTCATTTAAAATCTTCTCAAGAACAATTGGGAAAGAGAAGATGAAACTTCGAAGGAAGCATCCTGGGCTAGTGTAGATTCGTAACTGTTTAAATCATGAGCCCTGGGGATATGCCAGGGCCACAATAGGGAATCCAAGTTTTACACTGAAATAGAAAGGAAACATCTTTAAAAATCTGCTCCCAAAGAACTACTGGGTCAGAAAATTTGAAGCATCCTGGAGTAATATAGCTAGATTCTAAATTGTTGAAATCGTGGCCCTTGGGGTAGGTTGGGGTCACAGAGGGGAAAATCTGAAGAACTGCAGCCCGGCCAAAGTTACTCGGGTGAGCGTTGTGGCCCATGAGCCTTGTTTTTTATTTAATGATGAGATGTATGTTGCTTGTTTTTCTGTTATTGTACTTTTTTTTTTACTTTGAAAGTCAAAGGATGTCACCATATTCCTTTGTAATTTTTATGTTTAAATTGTCAATTTAGCTTAATGTCTTAACATTTGCAGAAACAAGAAACACCTGTATGTAACCATTATAATTAAGCAGTGAATCACAAATTCATTCTGCATGAAATATTTGTACACTTCTGTTATTTCAATAAATTTTTCTTTGTTAATTTGTTTTACTTCTAGTTTCTTAGCAGACTTGTTCAGTATCCAGGATAATTTAACATAGGTCTCCTGTCACTAAAATCTAAAATCTAGTAATTAGAGAGTATTTCCAGTATTAACATTCTTTAAAGTTCATTTTAAAGCAATCATATTGCAGTTAATAAGATTAAGGGAAAACCAGAATTCTCTGCCTTGGTTTGTACTTATAACAAAGGAAGAGTCACAGAGACATGAAATCACTTTGCTATATCCGTAATTCATTATATTGGTATAAGGAATTCATAAAATTCATATAGTTGGGGATCCAAAATAACTACCCTATTTCCGTGAATTCACAATATCCATGTTTGTACTAAAAGAGTTTTACTGTATTTTGCAAGTATTTCACAGAAATTTTTATTAACCATGGCAACACAATTCATTGAAATCAAAAAACTGATATACAGAATTATGTATCTTACACATAAACACTGCTCATCGAAATCATAAATCGATACACAGAATTATGTATCTTAGTGTAGTCTACTTGTGTGCCAAGTTAGAAATCAGATCAAAACTGTAGGAGGAGTAGCATTTTGAAAAATTGTTTGCAGATGGACGAAGGACACATTACAATCTCATAAGTTCTTCTGATCTTTGATTAGTAGAGCTAAAAATCCCAACTTTACTGAAAAGTAAGAAATTAATTCCTGGTTTTTTTTTTTAAAGAAAAAAAACAGTCTACTACAAACTTTATTTTTGAAGAAAATTTTTTTTACACATGTAACATATTTCAAAAACACAGTCAGACAATGATAAAGATTTTTCTAACACAGTTTGTTCAAGAAATCAACCTTTCACACCAAAAGTTCCATGGCTATGCTCATACTTTTTGTTGATGGTCTTGGAAAACTTGAAACATTCATGTCAATTTCAAGTTAATTTCACAGGAATGGCACTAATACAGATGGATATACATAGATTAAAAGGCATTACACAGTATAGGCCAATTCTTATCTATATACTGTAATATAATAATAACAAACACTATCAAAAAAAAAATTACATTCTTGAAACAAGATACAAATTAAAGCTCTTGTTATTTTTTTTTTAAAAGGAAAGACCATGCATGTGGTTATTTTTTTCAAGTTCAGCAAATATGGATATACTGCGTTTCTAACACATTGTTTACTTTTATACATTAATATTTCTAAAATGAACATCTTTTCAGTTCTATCATGCCTGCATGATGTCAAAATATGTCTCCATCATGTTATAATAATTTTAGGGATATAATTTCCTTCTACCCCCCCCCAAAAAAAAGGACTGGTATTTCATTGCCTGCCAATACACATTTCCTATCAGTACTAAAAATTACTACATGTACTAAGGAGTTCTCTTTTAATTCTGTTCTTGACGACATCCAAAAATAAATCCTTTGAGGAGTTTACAAAACTAGCAAAAATTCATGGATATTTATCAAAGATCTTTTACCACCACCACACAATTTAAGAAAAACAAACACAAAAACAAACAAGAAATCTGTGAGCCAATGCTCACTTGTAATACCCCCCTCTGATGTGAATAAACACTATCATGTTAATTTATACAAGTTCAATTACAGGAAAATGCACAGAGAAATATTAAGTTGACATCAGATTGACATCAAATTTAATCCCACCATATTGCATGCCTCAACAAAGAGTGTACCAAGAGTTCAAGCACCTGCAATGAATAGTTGATGAGAAAACTGCAACAAAATGTACCCCACGAAATGGCATGCCCGACAGAAGATTGTGTTAAAATTTCAAGGATCTGCGATGAGTGGTTGCTGAGAAAACTGTGACGAAAATTTGTTACGGACAGACAGACACACAAGGGTAAAACAGAATACCCACCACTCCTTCGGAGCAGGGGTATAAACATGAACACAACATAAATACAATACAATATGGCCTTTTTCAGATTACTTCCTCCAAGAAAATAGAGATTTTTATTCACTTAAGGCTAGGGCTGGGTATTGGCCTGAGAATTCGTATTGCGATATATTGCGATATTTTCAAATGTATTGCGATATGTATTGCAATATTTTCAATGTAATAAAAATGGCATTTTCTTACTATATTTACTTTAATTTACATGCAGAATGTATACAACTATGATAAGTAACCAACACGGAAAAAAATCTTGTTGATTTCATTTAAGTTATGCTCTGAAATTTTACCACAAAACAACTTCTGACTTACTGTTTGGCTTAATAACAAACTTTTATAAGTCCATTTTTATATTTAATGACAAAATTCCTTAATCTATGTATATTGCCAATATATCGATATTACAAAATCGTATTGCGATACGATATTTTTTGTCATTGTATTGCAATATTATACAAATATGGACTCAATGTAGGTCAATATGCATTTATAATGACCCAGGGTGACAGATATTGACCGTTGATACATGGAGTATATCGACCGAGGGCGCTAGCCCGAGGTCGATATACTCCATGTATCTGAGGTCAATATCTGTCACCCTGGGTCATTATAAATGCATATTGACCGTGCATTGAGTCCATATTTATTATATTATATACTGTAAACGTACTTTTTTCCACGGGGTCATAATTCTGCGGAATCTAAATTTCTGTTTAATCCGCGGGTAGAAAATTACGCTGATTTCTTAGACTGTCACTATATGCCTTACATTTATATTAAGTACGCTAGGACAAATTTCCGTGGAATGTTTGTGTCCGCGTACATAGCGTAAATTAATACCATGCGGAAAAAACTACTTCTACAGTAAATAATATTTTCCCAAATTTATCAATACAATGTATATCTTCCTAATGTTTACAGAGATAGTATTAACCATAAATAAGTTGAATGTACATTTATTGAATATTACTCAGAAAAACAGTCCAAACTTGTTTTGGTAATAAATTTTAACCCATAGCATAATACTAATGCAAGATATCATCTCCGAATAACACAGAGTAACCCCCCCCACCCCCATCCCCCAGATTGAGAATCGCACTCGTTTACACTTGCAGAGGAAATTATATGAACGGACAAAATATAAATACCTATGTCTTCTACGACAAGATACAATCATACATGACACACTTGTCTTTATTTTCTTTAGTCTCCGTAATCGCGTAAACAGCATCAAAACTCTGCTCGCTGAGTGGAAAATTTGAATTCAACCATGAAATGGTATGTGCTAAGTATTCCCGAAAAATGTTCACAGATATCCTTGTAATTGTTTTGTATTCTCAGCCTCAGAGCTATTCACTATATCTTTTTAAATTTTCCTCACCTACAACTTGCAAACTTGCGAACTTCCATGTTTGTCTAAAGCAAGAGTGAAAACGAGGCAGCTCGTGCGAGTCATTATTCGCTTTCAGCGGTCGTTTTTAAAAAATAATTACTTCGTATTGACCAATCAGATTACCGGATTTCACAAAGTTATATAATATATTGAAATATCGATATTATTGCCCAGCCCTACTTAAGGCTTTAATTAATCCTGTCAATTGCCTTCCTTGTCCAATGTCAAATCCAATTCAGGTGCAGAGACCAATGTCTTAAAATTCTTGTCCTTAACAAAGTTAAAAAAAAAACATTAACTGACATTCACGTCTTGGGACCACAAAAAATTGACTTCACAGAAGTAAAGGAAAAAGGTGACAATAATAACATACAGTGAGTGATCATCTAAAACAATGTTTACAAACAATACAGAGCATAAAATACACCCCCCAGAAATTCCAAAGGTATTTATATTTTAAAGTACATGAATGTGGATTGTTTTGAATGAAAGATTTTTGTTTTTTTGTTTTTCTGACCTAACAGTAAAAATAACATTTGATATTATTTCTAAGTATTTTGTATCATAAGACATATTAGGAAACACTTGCAGTTTCTATGAACACAACACTACAGATTTATCTATTGAATCTAAAAGCCATTTATACAATACTACATGTGTACATCATTTTTTTTTGTTTTGTTTTCAGCACTAAAATAGTAAGCTTCAGATAAAAAATTTTACTTTCCAGAACAAAGAAAATAACAAAGTATAACAATCACCCCACAATTTTCCATCTTATACACATACAAAGCCTTCTTGAAAGATTCTGTAAGAATCATTTTTTGAATTATTTATAACAACACATCAATGTGATGCAAGGATTTATATCAGTACAAGTTACTATGAGATTCGCTGTGGCATAGCTACAGTTTTATTGAGCACCTCAACCAAACTTGGATTACACTTATTAAAAGAACAAAATAATGAAATTCACATAAAATCTAAAGATTCCTATGTTTACTAAACTTGAGATAAATCACTATTACATTAAAATATACTGTATTGTCAAAGACACCCCTCTGACACAATAAAAGTCAGCCATTTCTTATTTAAGTAAATCTGTCATTCCATGATCGCAAGGTCGTGTGTCCGTATCAGGGCTGCAGCTGACCTAAGTTGACACAGGTAGTAACTGTTCCTTCGCCATGCACTCGGCACTTTGAAGTGAAAGCTGCAGGTCATTTAAACGAGACCTTAGAAATTTTGGCCCAGCATCACGGTAGGCGATAAGATAAAAAGCCCTCATTGCTAGCTAGATCAAAAGTGTCGATTAATGGCCTAAATTTGAAGCTCTTCACTAGTATGTGGTGACATCTCTATGAGTGAAAATTCTCAAATGGGACTTTAAACCAGATATAATCAATAACTCAATCAATAAAACTGTCAGTCTTATGTCATATTCTTGAAGTTAATTAATAAAACTGAACAGTTTTTGAGTTCTTTAAACTGAAATAAAGAAAAGTCCATCTTGTGTACCAAGTATGTGTGAGAAAATGATTTTAAAAAAAAATTAATTTTTACATAGCACCACAGTTCTGTAAATGAAAAACAAAATGTATAATATACATGTAACATAAATATAAGTGCATGCTGGTTTAAGCTTACAAAAAATGTAGTCTGCAGATGTATCTACAAATACATACAGCAAAAATGTCTGAGGTAACCAAGAATATTTTTGAATTGCAGACTCTCTATAACAATACCCAAAATGAGATCTCTGATTATAACTACTGAGCAAAAATACACAAGTTTAAATTTTGTCCAACATGTTTAATTTTTCATGATATAATACCTATAAAAGTGAAAAAAAATACACCAAAAGAAATATACTGTATACAGGGTTATTTTCACCCCATCTTATTTTCACCCTTTCATTCTTGCAAAGAATTTTGCCCCATTTTAAATTTACCCAGTCATTGATTTGTTTAAGATATTACATGTACTGTATTCTTTGAATTCGCCCCAATTTAAATTCGTCCAAATGAGGGTAGGCCAAAAATAAAATGGAGGCAAAAATTTCCCTGTATACATGTACAGTATTCATGCCTATACAACAAATTTCTGTATCTCCACATGATAATGCTTAAGTTAGATTAAAATTGATTTTGTTGGTATCCATAGTTATTCATCTGTCCTTGACCCTGCATTTGGTTTCCTGGATTTGGCATTGGTCCCCCCTGCTGACCCGGATTACCCATTGGAGATGGCCCAGGCCCTCCTTGAGCTGGCATTTGGCCCTGACCTGGATTTGGCATTCCAGCTTGACCTGGCATTGAACTCTGACCACCTTGATTTGGCATTTGACTTTGATTTCCCATTGTAGTTTGCTGAGAAGGCATAGGACCTGGTCCTCCCATTTGGGTCTGGTTTGGCATTTGTCCTTGACCTGACATTTGATTAGGCATTTGACCTTGACTCATTTGACCCCCTGGGCCTCTGTATGGACTGTACCTCTGAGGAGTATTTTGTCCCTGATAAGGACCATACTGATTTGGTTGCATGTTTTGATTGTAACCATGACCTTGTGGGAAATTTTGTTGTCCTTGGCCTTGTGGATACTGAGACTGGTTGTTATATGGCTGTTGCCCTTGGTAATTTTGTTGATATTGCCCTGTAAAAAAATTGAGCATATTATACAAATAAAGGTAAGACTATTGTCATTTTGTTGAACAGTATCATCAAATAATTTGTAATAAAAAAAAAATACCTTACATAATTTCTTGAAATTTAGAAAACAAGCTAAAGGAAGGATATGGAGATAACGAACAGTATTCAGTCTCAAAGTCCATAAAACATTACAAAACAAGAGCAGACCAAACACGGACCCCCAAAACATAAGAGGTGGGATCAGGTGCCATGGAGGAGTGAGCATCCCCTGCCGACCGGTCACACCTGCCGTGTGCTCCTTGTCATGATTAGGAAATAATGGAAAAAATCCGTCGTCAATTCAGTGTATAAATAATGGACTAACAATTGGTATGAAAAACGTTAGTCAGCATTTGACTTAATGATACTTGTATTTCCTGACAAGGTCATTGTATCGATCATAGAACTTACGAAATGATGACTTTAAACGAGACTGCTGATATTCTTGTTTCATCAACTTGCTTGTCAATAATTTACCTCGTTTTAGAAATTGTTCATAAGTAGAGCATGGATTTGCGAATCAAATCAACTAAGATATATATACTCCGTATGCAGGTGATGAAGATATATTGCTGCATAAGTAAGGGAAGTTGACAATAGAAAAGTTAAAGTCATACGTTTATCATATAGCTTGGTTGTTAGATTACCAGTGTCTTTTTCAAGTAAAATATCCAAGTATGAAACAGAAGTGTCGGACTCTGTGGTATCTTTTATCTCAAGCTCACCAGGATATATTGTATTGATGTAGGAATGGAAATTACCATTATTAATTGACAATATGTCGTCGATATATTTAAATGTCGAGTTGAAGGCCACAGCAAGTGTTTTCTTCTTTTCACGCATAAGATTTTGCATGAATTTTGCTTAAACATAAATTATGAAGGACAAATAGATGCCAATAAGCCTAACAGTGTTTTTATATTTACCTTGTTGTGGACGCTGACGATTATACCCTCCCTGCATTGGCATCTGCTGATTCATCATCTGCCCCCCTTGATTTGCCATTCTGTTTCCACCAGACATCATCCCTTGAGAGGGTATCATTGGCTGCTGAGCCTGTGAGCCCATAGGCGGCTGCTGATTTTGTGGCATTCCAGGCTGTTGTTGATTCTGTGGAATCATTTGCTGCTGTTGATTCTGTGCACCTATTGGCTGCTGGTTCTGAGACATCATTGGCTGCTGGTTCTGTGAAATCATTGGCTGCTGATTCTGTGACATCATTGACTGCTGATTCTGAGATCCCATTGGCTGTTGCTGGCTCTGTGACATCATGGGTTGCTGATTTTGAGACATCATCTGCTGATTCTGTGACATCATTGGCTGTGTTCCTTGTGACATCATTGGCTGCTGATTCTGAGATCCCATTGGCTGTTGCTGGGTCATACCAGACTGTTGTTGAGACATCATTGGTTGACCAACTTGTTGATTTCCATAGTTGCCATGTTGCATATTATAATTTTGTTGCCCTTGACCTACAAAAAATATTATCAAAAAACATTTATTTTAGTAAAGGAAGACTTCCAGTTGAAAGAGGGTGTCTTGTAACCATTTAATGTTATCTGTAAAATTTCCAAACTTATCATGAACACTGTAAATAAAATCAAATACTCAAATTACAATCAAGTTTCTAAAAAGCTAAGAATTGAAATCTTCATAGAGGAGTTAGTGGAGATTAAAACATCATCAAGTAAAAAAAAGAAAATGTTGACATTAAATGTGTGAAAAATTAACTAAAAGTGGAAAGAAAAATAACCAGTTAATTCCAATAAAAATTGACCAATAAGTATTATAACGAACAAATCAAAGTGTGCTGTTGCAATTACATTTAGTACTTCACTTTCTTTAGAAGTAAGTCAGAAAGTTTTCAATCTGTTAATATATAAATTAACTGAGCAAAACAAATAAAAAGATCTAATTAGCTTAATAAAATACAAAATTGACCATTAAATTTCTGTTCTACTACTAGACTGTTCAGAAAGGATGAAGAAATGGATGGAGCTGTTGAAAAGATCTGTTTTAAATCTAAGGCAGTAAAAAAAAGACAGATAAATGATTATCTAGTGCAATCATGGTAAAATAGCATTATCATTTTAGCTCCCATTAGATTTGTTACTCTCATTAGATTTGTTACTCAAAGTCTTACTGTACTGCATGTAATTGTAACCAGTGTTTTGTGCATCGAGACTAGTCTGTATCATAAGATGTTTGTGGAGGTTAACGCAAAATATTTGTAAGATTCTGGCTATATTACAACAAAAAACAGGTCTACCAACTGTATACATATAGTTTAATCAGTGCAAAATACAGGAAAAGTGTAAAAATATGCTTATTTATAAGAATTATTTGAACCAGTTTTATCTTTCTCTACACTATTCTGCTATTATTCTACAATCACTCTGATAACCTGACAAAACTCATGAAAAAAATGTGCCATAAATGTCAGAGAAGTAAGCCACACTGAGTCTAAATATCAAGATGACATCAAATTGAATTTGATGTCCGTCAGCTTACTACAATTACTACAGATTAAACAGCCATAGGTCATAACTTAAGAGACCTAAAAAACATAAATCAAGGGCCATTACCGGTAGTTTGTAAGAAATGTTTCTTATTGCAAGAAATGTCAAATAGATACATTCCCTACAATTACTATATAATGAGGTTTTCAATTATTGGCCGTATGACTGCTATGTATACTTAAGGATTCGTTCTGTGGGAGTTCGATCTAATGTCTTTAAAATAAATTTATTTAAAAATTTTATTTTCTGCCTGTTTTTGTCCTTCATTATGCACTACCTCTACATGTTACACCAAGGTTTTCCAACATTTAAAATTTTACGTATTATACAGTACATAAAGAGCATTTTCAGAGATTGATGAGATTTTGACCTTGTGACAAACAAAACCAAATTCTCTAGGGTAAACATAAGTGTAATGAAATTCAATTCCTATAATTTTTCTTCAAACAAAACCAAATGATCCAGGGTAAACAATTACCAATATTTAATTTATATAATTTTGTTTCTTTTTTTGTTGGTGAATGAATACACCTGTACCCCTATGTTACAAGCACAAACAGACAGTCTGAACCTTGTATCAAGGGTGAATCTTAATGATACGCAGGGAATATTACAGTACATGGAACCGAGATTACCTGCAAAATAAAGGTTCTCTGTGGATCTTGTACACAGTGAAATAAACAAGGAGAAACCGTACCATGAGAAAAAATTCAACTAATTGCTAACATCAACAATGCAAGTGTTAATAAGTATTTAGATTAGCAGTGTATATACATAATATAAGATAGCATCCCATCTTGTCCTAAAAAAATAAATGTTTTACTGCAGATAACTACTGTTACAATAATGAGCCCTTCTAGCACAAAAACAAGGAATTGTCATTCTTTTTTCTAAACCTTCAAATATTATAAAATAATCTCATTTTCAAATACATGTACCAAACAAATATTAATCAAAATTTAATCACTCTCTTTCGTCCCCTTCATTTTTTTTACATTATTTTTTCCAATTCCTTGTTTTACAAGTAGGCATCAGTGACGATAAATAAACTGTAAATACTTGTGAACTAGTAGTAGAATTCAGTCAGTAAATATAAAGTATGTATAGTTAGAGAACCACTCAGTATGTACCAACACACAGACAAGCAGAGCAACACCACTCTAGCATAGATCCCGGCTCAGTTTACATTTCACTCACTGAAATTCCCGGGGGGCACCATATTTGGCTGGTTCATCTGTGACTGCATGGGCCCCTGTGGGAAGCCCCCAGAACTGGATTGGGCTGGGGCTCCCACGGGGCCTTGTTGGGAGTACATACTGTTGGGAGGAGACATACCGGCCCCGCCCATGTACTGATTGACAGATCCTTGTGCTCCACCTTCGTATACACAAATATATTTCTTAGAATGAATCTTTTCAACTGGGTTTATGAAATACAAGTAGTGCTGTTCCAAATAACTCTAAATAAATACCAATTATTTTTCAAACAAGGAAAACTGCATGTATTATGTTCATGTACAGTGAAGCCTCATTTATCAAGAGATGCTTTGGTTCCTAGTCAATTTGTCTGGATATGTGAAGAGGCCAGATATCTGAATTACCACTTTAACAAGACAAAATAATGTTAAAAAAATCTGTTCTGATGAAAAATTGTCCGGATACTGAAGCATCCGGATATCTGGCGTCCAGATATCTGAAGGTCCACTGTACATGTAAATGTATATAAAATACACCTGGGACAAGTCACATATGTAACATTCCATCAATATCATATATTTTTAAATGATAAAATCAAAAATATTAAATTGGAAAATCATAATTTTCAGTTAAAATTAGAGAGCAATGTAAAATGGTGACCACCTCAAAGGATCCCACTTACTGGTAGGTAGAATTTAAAGCAAATTTGATATAAATATATGTGATAAAACTTGTCATTATTAATATTTACATTTTACACTGCAATTTGAAATTTATAACGTACACATAAATATTTTATCATTGCTGGAGAAAAACTGTTTCTCATCAGAGAGAAGGTTACAAACAGGGATGGGGTAATCGTAATCAGTAATCGTAATCAGCTGTAATCGATTACAGTTTGCCAAGTAATCATGAGTAATCAGTAATCACCCATTTTTCTGATTACAAGTAATCGTAATTTAATCGATTACTGTGAAAAAAGTCCTGTAATCATGATTACTTTTTGATTACTTTATGATTACAATTTTGAAAACAAACTTCATAAAATCGTGATTTTTGATGATTTTCAGTTAATATTTTTCAGTGTATAAAATTGTTTATTGAAAAAAGTTATAGAATTATAAGCTATATTTAATTATCTTCTTCTAATGTCTCCAGAAATGCTTATAATCAGGTCCATTGTCCTGGCAATGAGTAAATTCTATTAGTTCCTTGCTATATTCGGTATTCATTTCAAAATACTTTAGCAGCTTAGCAATTCCCTAATTTTGACAAGATATATGCATATACTGACAGAAAATTACTACAGGATCATTTTAAAGTTTGATTTATTTTGTTTCAAATTTAATGAACATGTGTGTAATGCAACAATTTGTTTTCCCTGTAAATCTTTGAAAAAACTTGTTTTTTTTTAATAGCAAATGTTCCTTTATTGAGACATATTCTAAAATTCACTTTATTTGATTAACAGTGTACAGTCAAACCTGTTTTAAGAGGCCACCTTTGGGAAGTTTGGAAACTGGCCACTTAAGACAGGTGGCCTCTTATTCCAGTTTGCCCTTAAAACAGCCAATCGGTAAAAAATGAACAACATTTAGCACTACAGTTAAATTAAAAATAACCAGAGAGTAAAACGGGTCAATTTAACAAAAGCTTTTATTTGTATATATATTATTTCATATACATTTAAAAAATGTTAAGAAACCCAAAAAGATTCTGTTGATATGTTGAAATATTAAACTATTTTAATTATCATTTGAAGAAATATATGTGCCTCACTATAATCTCTTTTAAAAATTATTTCGTCTCCTACCCCCCCCCCCTCCCCCCCCCCCCCCCCAACAAAAGAAAAAAATTTTTCAACACAAACAACACACTAAAACAGTTTAGTAGTTTAAAAATCTAAAAAAATATTTCAGTAAGAAAATATCAGTATATTCTTAAAAAAAATAACTCATATGTCCAAGTAATGATCAGCGGTATACCCCCCCCCCCCCCCATACACTTAATTAATTGGCAGTTTACACGTTTACTAACTGAATTTATTTTAAAAGTCTGGTACATTCTTTTTTTAATTTATAAAGCTGTAAGAATTTTTTTTAATACACAGACACACAAATAATTTTAATCAGTTGACCAGAGAGGTGAATTACGCAATTGGAAATCAACACAGGTGTCAGATGCAGTAGAGCATAACTAATCCTTATAATCGTCCCCTGAAAGTGAAATGCACGAGATAATCATGCCATATAAAGCACATTGTTTTCACAAGAACAGCAATTAGGGCTTCTACATGGATTCAAAATCTAGAAGGTGTGAAAGCATTTATAGCCTAATGTATTAGGTCACATAGTATTACAGTGAACAATCTAGGTAATAATGAATGGATATAGTAAAGTACAAAATTTCTTAAGCTGTGGGAAAATTAATTTATTGTTATTTAAATCTCTTCATTTTTCAATCGTCAGTTGTAAACAAATTGAATAAATAGTCCAAAAGGAGAACATTTTTTTCATAAATTCTAACAAAGTTAAGCGTATCTTATTTGTTTAATTGCTATAATAGGTTAAAGATGACCAACGAGCGTATAATTACCCAAGCGAATGTGTTTCAAAGATATAGAATCGCGGCCGCTTAATACAGTGTGAATAAGGTTGTGGGTGAAGATTTGAGTGGCCGCTAGCCGCGTTACACAGGTGGCCGTTTATTCCAGTTAAAAGATATAGTAAAAATCGTCGGGGGGAACTGAAAGTGGCCGCTGACTGCGAGTGGCCGTTGGTTTCGGGTGGCCGCTAAGACAAGTTTGACTGTACATGAAAAGATAATGTGAATTAATTAGTCATAAGACACAAATATACTAAAGCTGGGTCAGCTTGGGTAATAGTAATTATTGAACTATCCATGTTTGTCCAGTCAATGTGTTAATTCTTGTAAAAACATCTAATAATTGGCAGTTTAATTGAAAATTCTATCACTCGTCGAGAAGGTCAATTACTTGTGTAACAGTTGACTATAGAATCTCTTTATCCCTACCTATAATTATGTCCACTTTGATTTATAAAAAAACTATAATAATTTTTTTTTTCTATTTCTCTCAACAGTAACAAGATATTTACTTGTATTAAAGATAGAAATCAGGTGATATAAGATCAATCTCATATGCATCTATATAAAGACATATACAACCAAACTTTTTCTGAATTCTACCTTAAAAATATTAATGATATTTGAAGAAAGACGAATAAAAACATGCCGTTGTCCTTGAATAATAAAAAAAGAAAAAAAAAACTTAATGTAATCTAAAGTAATCATATGTAATCATGATTACATGAAGGAAAAGTAATCATATGTAATTGATTACTTTAAAAAATGCCTGTAATCAGCTTGTAATCGATTACTTTTAAAATCCAAAGTAATTGTAATTTAATCAATTACTTTTGAAAGTAATCGACCCCATCCCTGGTTACAAACATAATGATCATTAAAGGATGTCTGTAAAGTGGGGCCCTAATGAAATCAGAGAGAAGGTTACAAACATAATGATCATTTAAGGATGTCTGTAAAGTGGGGCCCTAATGAAATCAGAGAGAAGGTTACAAACATAATGATCATTAAAGGATGTCTGTAACGTGGGGCCCTAATGAAATCAGAGAGAAGGTTACTAGTCTCGTTTTCCATCCCTAGATGCTCTCCAGACTTTGCCCGAGCGAGAGTCTTGGGAATTTGCTATTTAATTTTTGTAACCAGTAGAGGTCGCTAAACCGGCTAACAAGATGGCGACTCCCATGAAAATACATGTGAGAATTTACTTTTTAAACAAAGATTTGTGCGTTTTTTGTTCCTTGTAAAGCAGACAGAGTTATTTTATTATAAAACCAGATAAAAGTAAAGGCGCAGCCTCTGACTTTTTAAAGAATACAGATCTTAGCATCGAAGAGAATGTATCAGCCAATGAAAATCCATACCGATTTCTCGGTAAGCCTCGATTTGAAATTACAAAAATTAAATAGGAATCAGATCAGACCAGACTCTCGCTCGGGCAAAGTCTCAAGAGCGAGAGTCTGAAGAAAGCGAGACTAGAAGGTTACAAACATAATGATCATTAAAGGATGCATGTAAAGTGGGGTCCTAATGAAATCAGAGAGAAGGTTACAAACATAATGATCATTTAAGGATGTCTGTAAAGTGGGGTCCTAATGAAATCAGAGAGAAGGTTACAAACATAATGATCATTTAAGGATGTCTGTAAAGTGGGGCCCTAATGAAATCATCTCTGAACATTCATAGTAAACTATATTGAGCAAGTTTTTTTTATAAGGAGCAGACAAAGAAAAGACTAACTTAAGTAATAATTAAATGTTTACATGAGGTTTGTTTACTTGTGGCATCTAATTGGGAACATTTCCCGGGGGCCTCATTAAATGTTTATATGGGGTGTAACTTGTGGCATCTAATTCCCGTAGGCCTCTTAAATGTGAATATGGGGCGTAATTTGTGGCATCTGATTGGGGACATTTCCTGGGGGCCTCATTAATGTTTACACGGGGCGTACCTTGTGGCATCTGATTGGGGATATTTCCCGGGGGCCTCATCTGATTTATCTGTGGGTTTGGCTGCTGAGAAGTCATGCTGCCTTGACCACCTGACTGTCCAAGAGCCTAAACTCAAGTAAAAAAATGTTTGAGATTAAATTCAAAGTTTAAACTTATTTCATTACCTCAATTAATTAATCTTTTTTTGATAAATAAGAATATTTTATTGTAAAATATATATACAATGGGTTTGGACACACATTCCTTAAACTTAATTCACCCTCTCCTTACATGAGAAGTCTATAAAGATAGAGCTACATGTAATATACAGTTTTAAAAATAAATTTGATAAAACACTAGAATTTATAAGGTGTAAAAAAGTTGCTGAAATCCTTACAGGCAAGAGTTGATTGGTGAGGTTCTGGTTGGAGTCCGCTAAGGTTGCCAGGTAAACCAGATTCCGGTGCAGCATCTGCTGGTACCTGTAATCACAAAATCAGGGAAATTCACTGAGATTGCCAAAAATGTCATTTCATAATAAACAAATTTATCACACATCACTCTTCCCCTACAGAAGCATGTAGGTACAAGGTAGAAAAAAATATTTTATCTGGCGGCCACCACATAAATAACTAGCAGCCCCCCAAAAATTTTCTAGCAGCCGCAATTTATTTTTGTAGTGGCCATCTCCAGATAAAATATTTTTCTACCTTCTATTCTTCTACCCTAAAGGCTTCCGTAGGGGAGGAATATTTTATTTGGCGGCGGCCAGATTAATAAATCAGCTGCCAGAAAATTATTTGGCGGCCACTAGATGAGTTTCTGATGGCCATACATATTTATGTGGTGGCTATAGCTAGATAAAATATTCTACCTGGCATCTATCGGCTTCTGCATTAATGCAATACTCTAGAGCTTTCATCTCTTCCTAATTGTTTTAAAACTAACCATGATATATCAAGTTTCTTGTATCATATCTATATTGATTTTTTAATCCAAGTAAGAGGTTTTTAGACTGACAGTTGAAGACTGATGTTACTTACTGCATGCATTCTGATGCTTTCCCCTTTGTCTGATAGTCTACAATTGTCTGTATCAATTGATTGTTTTCATCAAGCATCTACAAAATAAAACAGTACCAAGAATGTTTATTGGATTTTTTGGGGTGAAATTTTATTTATTTTTCTTTTCCCATTTCAGTGGAAAAACAGGAAGAAAGTGCATTAGATATCAATGTAGGCCTTGTGATAGTGTCTTGGTTTCCTCCATTAGGTATCTTATATTAAATGCCAAGGCAGTCTCAAATCATTTAACATCCTTGCTCTTCATGGAGCATCGGTTTATTTGTTATTGCATATTCAGTCGCCATACTAGCATTCAGTTTCTTTCTAAGACATTGATTCATAGTAATTACCTCTCTTAAAATTATAACATAACTTAGGAATACATGTACCACAAAATAAGGCAGGGTTAGTAAAGGGGTTAATAAAAGGTTCTTTCCCAAGATATAACTTAGTACCAAGTTAAATTTGGGAAGCATGGTCAGTTTTTTTAAAGGTACTATCAAGAAGGCACTATTTGAATTTTTATTATGGTCAGGAAATCCTGCCTGCCTTTCTCCTAAAATACTTTATTTTTTTCTATTTTTTTTTTCCAGAGACATAAATAACAGAGATCCGCAACTGTTCATAGTCTCGCATGATCTCTCATTCCCTATTGTTTAATTTTTCAAATTTTTCAAATCTCATGCAACTTAAATCACATAAAACTTAAAAATTATCAGGGATTACATAGTAAAATTTTTTAATTTACATTCAGAATTTTTTTACAATTTTATCATTTCATAAGATTGTTTATGAGATACAGTAATTAAGGTGAAATCTGAAAATGACTCTTGGTTGGCCATATTGCCGCGATTTTGCCGACTGTTGATCATTCACCTCTTTTATTTGCCTAGATTGCTTTTCAAAAAATCATTAAAACTTTACAAATCGTAAGTCCTTGTATGGAATAATTATTAAATATTAATTTTACTTTGGACTGAAATACAAGACAAAAAAAAATCTATTCTTAGGATATAGTTACAGGACCGTCACATATTTCGGTAAACAAACATGCTAATGGCGGAGTTGCGAATCTCTTTTATTTATGTCTCTGGTTTTTCTTTATCCCTAGCTCTTTTAATTTCCCCATGGCACCATCACTGAACTTCCCTATGTGACTGATAATACCCCCTTCCCCCCAAAAAAGAAAATTAACTCTTCAAACCCTGTCAACCATGATAATGGTTCTTTTTTCTGCCAATCCCATTTTACAAGTATTTTGCAAACTGAGTGAAAAAGTATTTAAATAATGATAACGCCTTAAAAAAGCAGTACATGTATGTTAAGCTGTGCATGCATTTGCATGTCAACAGAGCAGGATGTTGAGAAGTTTCATTAAAAAATCGAGACATGGGCACTTTACATCCACTTCTCTATAAATATAAAAAGTATTTTTTTAAGATTTAATAAAATTAAAAATCTTTTCACTTGCGATGATGACCCAGATAATGAAAATCTGTACAACACTGTCGTCGACAGATATACAATCTTACCAACCTTTTGAATAGATGCTTGATTTGGCGGTGGTCCTTTCTTCTGAGGTGGTTGTACGAAGGCTAGAGACATTTTTAAATTAGAATATTTAACAAAATATTTGAAATATCGATGTTGATTAGCAGGTGCAGGTGCTCGCTCGAAGTCCGCGTCGATATGCGACAGCCTCGCAGCAAATGGAATATACTAAATACCAGAAAGAAGCTAGAAACATGGGAGATTACATTTTTTTAAATTATTCAAGTAAATGGTTTAAAATGTTCGATTAGAAATCCATTCTTATTTTAATTTTTTTTTAAATGACTAAAATCCTAATTTTTAAAAATAATTTTCCACTGTCACTTTTTTTTCCAGAAATATTTTTCCTGAAAAAAATAATCAATTAAGAAATAAACTTTTATCCGATTCTGCATGCATAGTTTGCCCATGTTTGTCGCTATTTTATTTCTGTTTATAGAGGAAATAGGGCTGGTACCGTACGAAAGATGTTGCTTGTGACGATGAATTAAATCAAAGTACTGAAAGTACTCATGGGAGTTGAACGTCCAGTGTCATTGTAACCACAAATGCCTGTTTTTAAGGGAACGACCATCAATTTATATTCTGAGGGGGTGGGCTGGCTGCTTTTGGAAATAAATAATCTGTCCTAGAAATTTTGAAAATAAATGGTCTACCCTAGACTGGATGGGAAATAAATAATTTGTCCCTGCTGCCCCTCCCAAATTAGAGTTTTAGACTTTTATGTTTTCCATTTTTCATGCTTGTCAGTGAAGAAGAAAATAAATAATCTGTCACTGATCTTAAGGATGACGTTTACTCAGGTTTCAGAAATCAGAAAGGAAATTTTACAAAGTATAACATGTGAAATCAAAAATTGTTTTAAATGGATAAAATAACTAAGTTTTATCTCAATATCAATTAAAAAAAACTTTATAGGTTAGTACTTGAAGAAAATATACAGGAACAAAACCCAATGTATTGCTATGCAGAGGAAATTCGGACTAAATCTTTAATTTTTCATTTTTGTCAAAATTTTTATTTTTTTGCCATATTAATCAGAAAGTAAAGGTTACATGTGTTTTAAGACATCATTTTGCATATATTATATGTGTTTAAGCTCATAAATTATTTCAAATAATAGAATGCTAAGAAATAAAGAAATTCAAAAATATGTACAAAAACCACTCCAAACAACATATCTCAATAATTTGATCATTGACCCCATATAATATTAATACCATGAGAATTAGGGTAAGAAAAGTAACCTGAGACTATAAATAATTTAGAGTTCCTATCAGTCAGATTTTTGTAATATTTGATTAAAAATAGGGAAAAAAATATAAATATGACAGAGGAAATTCGGACTGTAATAATTATCAAGTTTATCGCCAAAACTCTAATTGTTTCTTTAGAGAAAGCAACACTGTTCCATTGCTATAATATTTCATTGTTTTAAAAGTTTTGTTGTTTGTAATATTTTGTGAGTGAAGAAAAAATTGGTCATAGTGTGAAAAATTGAGGTATTTCCCGAGAAATACTCAGGGGCCACTAGCATGAAAACGAGGTCATTGACCTAGTTATTTGAAACTGAAATTTAACACAAGAATCATAGGTGTACAATGTGCAATAGGTGGTTTTTCGTTCTTATCAGTGGAATATTTAGTCATCTGAGTAAAGGTATACCTTAATGGAAATGAATTATATGTTCTTCAAAACAACTGCCTCTTCAAGAACATTGGGAATCCGAGTTTTCTCTTAATTTGATTGACTTCTAAATTACTTTGGCATGACATATAAGATCATTGTTTTGATGAGAAAATCAGAAATGTTGAAGCTTTGAGAGATTGTAGACACCCTTTTATCATCGACTTATTTGTTCAAAGTCTGCCTCATTTTAGATATTTGTTGTACAAAGAACATACCTTCCAGTGCTATTGACTGTTGAATCAACTGTAAGATATAAACCTACATGTACTGTCAGTTTGTCTGTTTGGTTGTCTGCAAAAACTTTAAGCTTGTCTATAATTTTGGCTAAGTAAAAGCCATGACTTTCATATTTCACAGGTGTATACACATGTACCTTGTAAAGAGACCTTTCCTTGGGTACCATATACTCGGCTTAAGCAGGCATATAGCAGCCCCCCCCTACACACACACACACACACACACACTTTTTTCAAACATGATTTTTTACTTCGAGAAATGTTCATTAAAAGGCCAGTTTCCCCATTCCCTACTTTTTGTTACAGTTAAGTAAAATAAGGGTAATGTTAGGTAAGATAAGGGGAATAAGGTCGAAACCTAACCCCCATCCCCCACAAAAGAGGATTTTTGAGTATGAGAAATCCCCCTCCCCTTTCTTTTGACTTTTTTTCAGGTAAGTAAAAATTTCTTCTTTGGCTGGCCCCCACTATAAAAAAACAATGCTACGTCACTGCTCAGGACTTTGACCTTGCAGTTTGACCCATTTTTGTAAAAATTTTAATAAACTCTAACCTTGGCCGAAACTTTCGAGTGGTTGGTGCTATGACTTTGACACTTCACATGTTTATTTTTTTTTTTTTGATAAGAAATTTTCTAGGGCCCAATTTTTTTTTTACTTTTGACCTTGCAGTTTGGCCAACTTTTGAAAAACATTAACAATGGCCATATTTTTATGCCCCCGTAAACGAAGTTTCGGGGGTATATAGTTTTCATCGTGTCTGTCCGTCTGTCTGTCTGTCTGTCTAGCTGTCTCTCTGTTTGTCCGCAAAAACTTTAACCATAACTTTAGATCTAGTAGAGCTATGGCATTTATATTTCACATGTGTATTTCTTGTGACAAGACCTTTCTTTAGGTACCACCAAATTTGACCTTTTGACCTTGACCTTGGAGTTTGACCCACTTTTACACAAAAATTTTGAACTTTTACTTTGGCCATATTTTTTTAACAGTATATACCAGGGCATTATACTTGACAAGTGTTTTCTTTGTTAGAAGACCTTTCATTGGATACTAACAACCTTGACCTTAGAGATTTCTGTACTTATAAAAAAAACCTTTAACCTTGGCTATTACTTAAAAACAGAAAGTGCTAGGGCTTTCATACTTCACATATGTAATCCTTGTGAGAAGACGCTTCATTGGATACCAAGAACCTTGACCCTTTGACCTTGATCTTGGAGTTTGACCTACTTTAAAAATACAACATTGACCATAATTTTTGAAGGATAAGTACTAGGGCTTTCATACTTCACATATTTAACCCTTGTGACAAGACCTCTCATTTGATACCAAAAACCTTGACCTTTTGACCTTGACCTTGGAGTTAGACCCACTTTTACATAAAAATTGCAAATTCTTACTTTGGCCCTAGTTTTTAAACAGTAGATACTAAGATTTTCATTTTTCAAATATCACTTCTCTTTGGCATGACCGGTCACGGTAGCCTAGTGGTAGAGCATTCGCTTCGTGATCGGGAGGCCCGGGTTCGATTCTCGATCGCGGCGCCGCGTCATACCTAAGATGTAAACAAAGGTAGTGACTGTTCCTTCGCCATGCGCTCGGCACTAGAAGTGAAAGTCACGGGTCTTTCGGATATGACTTTAAAAACGTAGGTCCCGTGTCACGGTAGGCATTGGCACGATAAAGAAAATGGCCCTGAATAATTTTTGACGCCCTTCACCGGCATCGGTGACGTCTCCATATGAGTGAAAAATTCTCAAGAGGGACGTTAAACAATATACAATCAATCAATCAATCTTTGGCATGACCTTTCATTTGAAATCAATAATTCTGACCTTGACCTTGGAGATTTCCGTACTTATTAAAAAACTTTAACCTTGGTCATAACTTTGAACGGTAAGGGCTAGGGCTTTCATACTTTAAATATGTAATCCTTGTAAATTTACCTTTTCATTGTATATCAACATGACCTTGACCTTGAAGTTTGACCTTCTTTTTACAAATATTAACCTTGGCCATAACTTTTGATCAGTAAGGGCCAGTGCTTTCATACTTATCATATGTAATCTTTAAGACAAGGCCTTTCATTAGAAACCAACAACCTTGACCCTTTGACCTTGACCCAGAGTTTGTCCTTTCTTTAAAAAAGTTAACCTTGGTCATAACTCTTGAACAGGTGGTGCTAGGGTTTTTTATTTCAGATATGTATTTCTTCTGAAAAGGCCTTACTTAAGGTACCAACATATTTGATCAGCATTAGAGAAAGCTTAACCTTCGCTATGTTGCCATACGGGGGCATCAGTGTTTCAAAAACTCATCTTGTTTTTAATGATTCATGCTAGGGCTTTCAAATTTCACATGAGTCTTTTTTGTGACAATGTCTTCCCTTGGGCAGCATTAAGTTTGACCTTGACTTACTTATGAAAAAAAATTACCTTAACCATTCCTAGAGAACAGTGATAGCCCAGGCTCTCATAATTTACAGATGTTTTTTTTTCTTGTAACAGATCTTTCTTTGGGACATTTTTTTTTCTTTATTTTTGAGTTGGACTTGTATTTAAGAAACTTTAACCTTATATAACCATAAGCTTCCATACAGGGGAATCATTGTTTCACAAACAATACCTGTTTTTGCCATTAAAAAGTCACAAGTTGTTAATCTTCTCTTGGATTTTATTGTATTTAATAATTGGAAAAGTCCCAACAATATTTGTATAATGCTGTTATATAAAAATTCAACAAGGCACCTGTAGCACATGCATGTACAAGATGTGTAATTGTATAACAGAGTAAAAAACAATGATCTTAACAATATTAGCTGAATGCACACCTTGAGCAATACTGAAAAAATGAACAGGTTTCTGTATATCATACACATATTCTGATAAAGTGCCCCACCACAGCATGAAAACAGTATAAAAACAGAAAAAGAATATATTTCTAGAATGTGTGTTTTTAGGAATGTAAAAGAAAACTTATAGCCTACAATGCCTGTACATCTACAGTATACAGATTATCACAGGTCATATATTAAAGCTTAAAAAGAAACAAATGATATGCACTTCACAGCTTTGATTTTTCATCTTGCTGGTCCTTCAAGAGAAATCCTCCTTGAGGGGAACTAGTCAAGCCGGCCTTGTCTTCAAACACTGTGTTGCCACGGACAACAGTTTGGTACACACGTCCCTGCAGTGTTCTACCCATATATGGAGAAACCTTGTTTTTGTAGTAAATTTTGTCTTCTGTTATCTGAAAATTCCAGTAAAAACTAATTTAAAAAAAAATGATAAAGAAATTATTTGTTATCCAACCATTAAAAAAAAACCCACACAAGACAACTGATGTTTTATCTCTGAAACATTTTCTGTCAGTTCAATTTCATAGATTTGAAAAAGTCAACATTGCAAGCTTTCGGTGTTCTTTACATAACACCCGAGTTTACAGTTAATTTTAAAGCCATATATGGCGTATGTACAATGAAAATTATTGGACTAAAATTATGAGAACTTATTATTTGTATCATTACTTTATATAAAGATAGAACTTTTCCGTAAATTACAAAATCTAAATCAATTGCGTTATAAAGATATCACAATTTAATTTGGATTCTTTACTCGGAAGAAAATACAAAAGATTTAAATAACACATTACAGAGAAGATAAAATCGTATTATTAGATGAAACGAGGTGTTCTCGGTGTTCAGAATTGTATGAAAAGCTTTGATTTAAATGTATCAACTATATTTCTTTACTTAATTTTGTATTTTTAAAAATATATTTTTTGATCAGTTACGCCATATATTGCTTTAATCAGTGAAAATATAATGCTTTTATAACATAAATGTGTTTAAAATGCATATATTACATTGTTCATTTCAATCTTTCTTGCTTTAATTATTATAGGAAATTTCTAACCTTGAATGGCGAGTCAGGGTCCCAGATAACAAAGTCGGCATCAAATCCTGGCTTGATGGCCCCCTTTCTGTTACTTAGACTGGCCACTTTGGCTGTATTCTCACACATCAATTTCACCATGTCAAACAATGTCATTCCGTAGTTACGACAATTTGTCCAGAAGAGAGACAAACCTTTAAAAAAAAAAATATTGATTTTATTAATATATTCATGCACTTGAAGACAATCTAAACAATAAATCTACACTATGCCAAATTGTTTTTCAATGTTTATAGAAATTCTTTTACAATCATGTAAGTCAGGAAGCAGAAATTGACCAGTACCCACCAAACTGTACAGAAGCAACCCCTCCCCAGGCCTCCATGAAGTCACCCTTTTCCAGGAGTTTAAGGTCGGGAGTGCAGGGCGAGTGATCAGACACCACCATGTCTATGTAGCCCTTCTTAAGACCATCCCACAGGAGATCCTGTTAAATAAATAATGCAATTATCAACATTTAATCAATGAAGATTTTGATTTTTTTGTGATTTTGTATGAAGAAGTTTTGTTAAAAGTGTATAAACTGTAATACGTCATGTATTCCCTCCATATGTTTGTAAAAACAAAATACATGTACTTTTATAAAACACTTATGCCCCCTCCTCCAAATACAAAGAATTTTCTAAGTCCAAGGGAAATAACTCTATCCAAAATGGATCAATCATACCCAAAACAAAACTTGACCAAGATATTCTTATGATAAATCAGTATACCAAATTTCATTTCAATATGTGCAACCTCTGCCAAGAAAATGAATGGAAAGTCCAAATAATTGTAATTTTCTAAGTCCAAGGGACATAACTGTCCAAAATGGTGCAATGGTACCCAAAACACAACTTGACCTAGATATTCTTATGATAAATCTGTATACTAGTACTAAATTTCATTTTAATAAGTGCAACCTCTAAATAAACAGACACTGATGGTGGACAGACCGACTGACTGACAGCCAGCAGCAAAGCAATATTCCTTCTTCAAAGTGGCCGGGCATAACAATATGCCATCCCTTCTTTGAATGGGGGCATAAAAATAACATGATCCAAAACTATTAGTGACAGAGGTTAATGGCCTCCATATATCTAAAATGATATCCGATATAACTACAGTGTTTGTGTACAGGTTCCCTTTTTTACCTTTAATTTCGTGACCAAATACATTAAAAAAGTTCATCTCCTCCTAAATTTGCATGCTAAACGCTGTAACTTGTCAGTGTACATTTTGCAAAATGGGGTTAAGGTCATAAAATAACTAACATTTTTTGATCCAAAACTATTAGTGACAGAGGTTAATGGCCTTCAATTTGAAATCATATATCTAAAATTTGATATTGATTTAAAGAAGAGGCCATGAACATACTAATTACCGTTTTCTGAGAGAGTGTAGGCAATCTGGTACATTTTCTTTGCCTTTTTCATGACCTTTTCTTAATTTTTTCATTGAAAATGACATTTAAAAAAGTTTTTCTCCTTGTTTACCTAAATTTGCACACTAACCAAGCTAAAGTTGTAAGGAATCAATAAAGGAATTTATTTCTCAAGTTTGATAAATCTGTAGGCACCTTTCATTTACTAGATCTTGACCTTAACATAATGTGTACCTGGTTTTTCTTCTCCCTGATTGGTGGACAACACTTGTACAAAGTGTTGCCATTGGGAACTGTCTCTGCATTCAGTGACAAGTAATGGTGACAGGTCTCCACGGTTAGAGGGGCCCCCTTCTGCTTCGCCGCTATAATAGTGGGCAGAGCCGAGGCAGCCGACAGGTGGACTATATGACATTTCACTCTGTGAGAGATTGAAAACATTACCTTAGATAAAAGTAAAGTGAAATTAGACTGAATCTTCACTCTGTATAATTTCAAAGTGTATCAAGAGATAAAGATATAATTAGACAGAGAAGAATATTGGGTGAAATAGTACATTGACTTTGGGATATACGAGGGTTGTCCCGTAAAATCGTGGACAAAGCGTTTTTCTCGAAAATTAATGGGCGCACTAAGCTGAAATTTTCAGTAAATGTTTATTCATCATATTTAAGTGTATCATAATGTTTTTGATAATATAATTATATATACAAAAATAAAGATTTTAGTCTGCTTGAAGGTGCACAGGGTACGGTCCTACGGCGCACGGTAAAAATAACAAGGTTGTATTAGAGAATATACAAGTATTCATTCGTAATAAAAGTTTTCAATGCATAAGATTAGGATGAAAATTATCCTAATTCGATTCCTTAATCAATTCTATCGTCTTTTTGAAAATTTCAAGGCATTTGGTTAAATTTTGGCTGTTTCCCGAGCATTCGAAATGGAAAAGTTGTATACAAAATACACGAAAAATGGCGACGTTTCATGACGTTACGGCGCACCGGAGAGCAGTTCAGTTAGATTAGGATGTTTTAATAACACTTTAAAAGACTTGAAATGAATACGGAAGAACGAAAATATGAAAAATATCACCAGATTTTTAGTATACAAATAAAATGGACGTTTTCTTAGCGAAGTCTTCTTGATTGAGTCCCCAGATAGTACAAAACATGCGGAAATGCCATTGTAATAGTAAAAGGCGACTGTCGAATCATTTACTTGACTGATGGTGAGAATACTGTCCCTAACTTGCTCATAAATATTCAGAAGATCACATGAGTGTGCCACATTGGTTCCTTAACTGGTAATAAACACTCACGTATGTAAATCAATAAAATTTCTAAATTTAAGTGGGGCATATCCAACTTTATTTTAGCAAACATGAAGCGTGATCGACGTTATCATAAACATAAAATATCACAATTTGTTTATTTATGCACATATCTATTTGAAATTTGCTATGTATATTTATAATATATGTACTAAAAAGTAGTGAAACTTTCAGAACGCAGTGATGATTATTTTTCAAACTAGACAATTTGTCCACGATTTAACGGGACAACCCTCGTACATGTATAAATGTAATCTGGTTGTTTCAAAGAAAAGTTGATCGATCTCTATTCTAAAACAGGTACACTGTACAAGACCAGGATAGTACTTTATAATCAGCGATATTTCTTGCGATTTTAAAATGCTAACTAAAGAAGCTATTCCACATAATACGCAATTAATGTTTAGAAATATTCAATTTTAGCAATGTCAGCACCCTCGCTAATAAAGCCAAAATTAAATCCTCACTAAAAATTCTACTTATACAGTATGTTCCATGAGTATAACCACATAATCACATTATTTTCTTTTTCTCTCTCCATTCTTTGATTCCATTTTCACATCAATCCAGATAACTTTGCCAAATTATGTTGTTATGCTTAAATTAATTCAATTATAATTTTCATTAATATCCGAGTCTAAAGTCATTGCTGTCATACTTGTATTTAAGGCACATTTCACACACAAGATCTATGGCTTTCTCTTCCATTATGGCTGGTCGGGATTCCAGGAATGTTTTATATTCCTCAGGATTTCCTATAAAAAAATAAGATCAACACTAATATCCCAAAAATCCCAAGTTTTCAATTGCATATTAAAGCATTAAGTCAAGTCAAGTAAATTTTATTTGTAGTCGGCACACACAGTACAACAGAAGTAACATGGGCTGTGGTAAGCTCTTTAACCAACTTTTAAATTAACATAAACACAAAGATAAAGTTAGTAAAAATATACATTCTTAGTAAAAAGAAAAAGATAACTTAAATGAACCATTAAAATGACACTTTAAGAGTAAGAAGAAAAAAAACCACAGATACTAGCACAAAAAAAGCATTTTTTGTCCACTGTCACTAAAGATTTCCTCACTCTCAAAGAGTGATTTCTTTTTCTTATATATGATTATGATAGAGGCATATCCCTGCCCTTATGAAAACAAACTTTCAAAATATCTTGAAATAGTTACCTATCTACTAAGGAAACTTTTCTTTTTTACTCAACTAAAACTCTTAACAGCTATATGAACATCATTCATAAGACAAGAGATTACGAAAAGATATTGTAAAGACACTGGAACGTATCAATTTTATTCAAATTGTTTAACACTGGTTTACCTTTTGGTCCACTGCATGCACAATCCATTTCTGCATGGAACTGGAAAAGAAAATGGTACATTAACGCATGACACCAATTTCGTACATGTACAATTAGTACACAATTATGCAATTAAAACTTATAAACATCATAATTTATGTATTTCTTAAGTTGAAATTGCATATAAATTTTCAGTCTAATATGAAAAAGCTTTTTTAATTTTTATTTTCATTTTTATTAATTAAATATATATTTTTCAATTCTATAAATGGATGGATTTTATTCCACCTTACCAGCACTGTGGCATCAGTGCCTTGAAGTGTCTGGAGTGCAGTTTCTAGGTCAGCTCGCTCCACATGTGGAAAATCATCCACTCCACTGTGTATCAGGAAACATTTAAAGCCCACCACGCCCGCATTTAACATGGGCTTCAGTTCTTTCTGTCATTCAAAATAAAAAAAATGCTATGTATTCTACATTTGATAAAGGGTATCTGATTATAGTTGAAAATACTTTTTTCCAGAATTTGGTGGGTGTTGCCAAGGTAAATACAGGTACATGTACATGTATGACACATTACAACTAATTTTTTGTCTGATCTGATTTGAAAGAATCAAATACTTTTGTCATAGCAAGTTTGGAGAAATTCTGTGACTTTGCAAACCTCGGTTCCTATTAATTTTAGAGTTAGTCATTATAGGATACTAGCTCCTACTGGTAAAATCATGAATATGAATTGTGAAAAATAAAACACTTTTCATGAAATTTCTTATTTTTTTACATTCTTCACAATCCAATAAATTTTAAAGGAGCAATTAAAAAAAATACAAACTTTTGTTATACCTTTAAAAATTTGTTCCTATACAAATCTATACGAAAAAAGTCGTAACATTTCTAATATTTTGCTGAGTGGGCATAAAAAAAATCGATGTTGGACCGCTGAGTGGGATGTTGGACCAGTCAGTGAGATGTTGGACCGCTTACGTCACAGAATGGGTGGAGCTTAATCTCATTTTCATTTGTTGGTGTTCAAAAGAGACGGACCTGAGGTTACTACATCACGAAATACATGTATGTCAAAAAAAATATATAATGAAAGGTATAATAAAACATTTATTGGCCTAACGGACTCAGGCAGACAGTTTGGTTTGAGGGTCCGACAAAACGCATATTGCCCGAGAACTCAGTCAATAAATGTATAATGTTGAATATTTAAATTTATCAAATTTTCTCCCTCTAAATTATTTTCAAGATGAAAACCAAAGATTAAATACCTAATGTAAAAGTTAAAAACGTTTTTATATAATTACCATTATTACTTGCAGACATAAATATAAAATGATTAAATGTTTTTTTGTTAATTTTTTTTTTTTTGTTTGTTAGCCTAGGAATTAAGAGTTGTGGCTGTATTGCAGAAAAATAAAATTACATCGATAATTAATGCATATTTTTTTCTGTAGCAGCTGCAAGCAAAGAAAGCATTTATTATTTAGATATCCTCACTTACAGAATTTCCTGGAACTATCCCTCCCCAGAAGGCTACATCCACGAAGCACTGGTTCTGGGCTGCATCCATTTTTATTCTAAAGGCATCCAATGTGGTTGTTGATGGAATGGAATTTCTGAAGATTACACAGTTAAAATGCCATATTATCTACACATACATTTACAGTTTGACAAAAAAAATTATTTTTATCAACAAGATGCACTTCCATAACTGCATGCATGTAGATCACAAAATTTTGCGACACCTTATTTTGGGAAGATGGTCATCGACTCTTTATAAGTGAGACATTAGGCCAGATAAAATTAATCTTTAGATTCTCATCCCCGCCCGCCCCTCTCAAAATGTCCCGCCCCGGTGTTTTTTATTTTCATTTTTGGGTGTTAATTAAAGAATCTTCACGTATTTTTATTCAGCAAGAATTTAGGTCAAAGTTTAAGAGTTATCTCCCGTCTGTATTAAAAGTCATTTATAGCAAAAGAGCCATGTGAAGAATGGAGAAAAATCGGCAATAAAATCAGTTTAAATATTGAAGGAAGAGATAATTTGTCAGTGTAGAGAAGACAGAGAAGAATAAATAGCATAAACACGTCAAGATACCGTAACCACCACTGGCATTTTTTGAATGAGATTTTAACTAACTAAAATATACATGAGGAAAATGACACCTGGTCAACTTTGAAGAAAAAAAAACATCGTTGGCAGACTTTTGAGAATGTTAAGTGCTAAGGAAATGTTAAATCTTAAAACTGTTCAGACCTAGGTTTTTCATTAGAATATTTCATTGGATTTTGCAAATATGATCTATTTTAATGTCGAATATGTCAAGTTTCAAGAACAATCAAATTTTTAAGCAAGGTCGAAATCTATAAATTTTACCCAAAACAGAGGGATTTGTTGGTAAAAACTACCGGGTAAAAGGTATTTGGGGAAAGGCCAATGAGAAGTCATGGATACACAATTTATTGGTATCCCCACTGGGTGTGCCGTATTATGTGTACTTGATAATTTGTTAATTATTAACTATGTATTTTTATTTTTTTTTAAAAAAGCAAGCATTTTTTTTTTAAATATTTAAAAGAATATGAAATGAAAATCTATTCATATGTGCATTAACATAATGAAAAAAAAAATGTGTACGAAGAGTCCATGTTTTGTTGATACTTATACAATTTAACAATTATAAAAAATAAAAAATAAAACCCGCCCACATTCTTTAGCAAATTAGGATGAGAATCTAAAGATTAATTTTATGTGGCCTTATAATAAATTCCTGAAATTGGTGAATCATTGGTTATTCAGTATTGCTCTATTTAATATTTCGAAATATAAGCTAGAATGAAATTTTCGTCAGCACACTGTCTTGCAATAATTACATGAAAATAAAGATCAAGCAAATGAAAAGTGCTTTACAGTAATCCAGAACTTACAGTGGCATGTCCACTATGGTGGTAATCCCCCCTGCTGCCGCAGCTCTTGTGGCGGTGGTGTAACCCTCCCAGCTTGTTCTCCCGGGCTCATTTACATGGACATGGGCATCCACAATCCCCGGCATTATCAGCAAATTCCCAACATCCTCCACCTTAAATAAAATTGAGTAAAATTGGTAGTGGTTTTTAAAGATAAAACTTAATTTAACAAATTAATTACACCTGCATGCATTCCGTGTTTGGTATTTCATAAAAAGTCTGACATTAAAAAAAATGGTAAATAAATTTTTTTCACCATATTTTATGAAACAGACTAGGAGATCATTCTATTATTTTGTGTAAAATGTTCTTGTTATCCAGATACAGAAAGGAACACTGTATACCTCACTGTAATCCTTGGCCTCGAATCCCTCAGTAAGGACCCGGCATACCTGTCCGTTCTGAACCTCAATACAGGCGGGTTTGATCTCATTATCCACCAAGACCCTCTTGCTGACAAACGCTTTCTTTGACGAGGCCATCTAAATAAAAACAAACTTTTATAAACTGATAAATAAGGCCTTCTGCTGTTCAGTTGATAAACACGTAGCGGCAGCCTAGTATCACTTGCAAATATGCAGATAATTACAATAAAAAGAGAGAACCTGCAAACTCCTTAATTTGACACTATATAAAACAAATCAATTGCTTACCTGTCGCCAATGACCGAACTTGAACGAAAACTAGGTCTTTTACGCGTGGTTCATGCAAAATAAGGTCACAAACGTGTGTAAAAGCCAAGTCGGTTTCAGTCCCGCTGATAAACTGAAGTGGCGGATTCAATAATTCTAGTTTAGATCGGCTGCTCAATAAATTTAAACTAAAAACAGACTAAAAGAGGACCACTTACCTGGTAGTTACGGACAAAGTCTTTCGTAAGGATTTTATGCCCCATTAATAGAAGATTCGGGGAGGGGGTATATTTGCCTTGTCCGTCTTGCGGTTGATGTAGCATTGTAGGCGAAAAAGACTGTCCACCTCTCGAAAGAGAATAACCCGTGTAGTCCACAAAACTTTAACGTCGACCTTAACTTTTGAGTGGATTAGGGCTATGGCTTTCATATTTTACAGGTGTTTCCCTTAAAATTGTGACAAGACCTTTTTTTTGGGGGGGGGGGGGGCACCAGACCTTTTGACCTTGAAGTTTGATCCACTTTGAAAAAAAACTCACTTTAACCTTGGTCATAACTTTTGAACAGTTGGTGCTAGGGCTTTCATACTTCACATGTAAATTCATAGTTAAAGGACCTTAATTTCGACGGATTATTTTATCATATTTCACAGGGTTTTTTTTTTCTAGTAGTAGGCTAGTCTGTAATGTTTTAATATGTGAATCATGACATTCTGTGATATCTTTATCTGAATAAAATGAAATGAAGTGAAAAAGGTGTATTCCTTTATTGTAACAAGACCTTCCTTTGAACACCAACAACTTTGATCTTTTGATCTTTTGACCTTCACCTTTGGAATTTGACTTGCATTTAAAAAACTTAAGCCCTCTCCATAAGCTGGGGCATCAGTGTTTCATAATGTGGATGATGCTACATTAAAATTATTTGATAATATTTTATTTCGTTATTAATTACCGGTGAAAAATCATTTTGTACATGGTACATGTATAGAACTACAATTTATATAATGTTATTATTTGATAACCGGAAAAAATATGTAACCGGTGAATATTTTCAATGTCAAAACGCCATAAGATTGAGCAATGGCAAATTCCAGGATTTAGTCAATGAAATCCAAGATTTAAACATTAAAAAGATTTAAAAAAAAAAAAAAAGATTGTTTTGAATTACTGATGAAATCATTGTTATGTATTAATTAGTGTTAACTCTCTTAGTACATCTATTTAAGACAAAGAAATTCTACGTTAGTACAATCAGATGATCAAGAATAATGTAAGCGTACAAAGAATAACTTAGTCTTTTTTTAATGACGTAAGTGCACTTATTACGTATAGTGGTACACCCCCTACTTATCTTTACCCTTCATAGTATAGTGAAATCAAGGATTGTAGGGAAAAAATTGGAAGTGATAGTAAGTTATCCCTTTCCCCCCCCCCCCCCCCCCCCCGAAATAGGATTTTCGAGTTTGGGAAACTTTTAATTTTTTTTTGTTTTTGTTTTTGCTTGTCAACTTTTTCAAGTAAGTAAAAAAAAAAAATTTTCTGGTTGGCCCCCCTACTTTCAAAAACGATGCTACGTGCCTGGAATTTAGTTATAATTTTTAATTTTTACACAATCAAAGACTAGATGAAATTTTCAAATGTAAGTTAAATTAATAATAAGGGACTTAAGTTTTAAAATATATCAAATAAATAAGATTTTTCACACATACTAGAACTATGATGGCTTTTAAATGCTTCAAATTTAAGTACAGATTTGAGCCAAAAATCCGTAAAAAGTGTTATTTCTCTCTTAGTGAACGATCAAAACTTTTAGTTTTTGTTTCATTTTGTACCTTTATGTGACAACTTTACTATATGTGAAAATTGGAAAAAGTTAAATATAGGAAGCATATAAAAATAACTAATAAATGCTAAACATTTAAGAAAAGTAGAGGAAATTCGGATTAGCAAATATCCATTTTATTTAAATTATCCATGTCAATTTGGTAACATCATCTTATAGGCCCTATATGGTAGTATCTTTTTATGCAAAAAGAAAAACATTCAATCTTTTGAATTACAAGTAGGGATCCCTTGACTGGAAACAGTAATTTTTTATTCTTAATGAAAAAGGTAATGACCTTGACCTGACCTTGTCACTAATAGTAAACGGTCAAATTTAATCTCACTGATACCATCACTTAGTGATATTGTCCTCTTGATTCTGTGAAAATTTCATTAATTTTTAAATACAAGAAATGTGAGAAGAATCCTACCTTAATTAGTGGAGTATACATACCAAATACGAAGTCTCTATCTCTCACGGTTCAAAAGTTATGGCGAAGGTTAAAATTGACAACAGACGAACAGAGAGACAAGACAAAAACAATATACGCCCCCGATCTATCAATCGGGGCGCATACAATAAATGTTTCTATGAAAATAAAATCAAAATTGTAAAAAAAAAAAAAAAAAAAAAAAAAAAAAAATGGTGGCTTTGCATAACAGCAATGTTCATGAAATCATAAAAGTGCACATCAAGACGGACAGAAAGTGGACTGCAAGGAAGACAGTACAAGAGGCTGATTCACGCATGAGGCAAACCGACATTGTGGGAAGTGTGATTCACGCATGAGGCAAACCGACATTGTGGGAAGTGTGACAATATGCGGGCAGGGGGTTAGAAATACATGTAATGCCATCGAAAAAATGGGGAACATCGTCAGAAGTGGAAAAGAGGCAACTTCTGCAGAAAGAAGTGCGCAAAATGGAAGAGCACCCAAGAATGGTGAAGGCATTGAAAAAGCAAGGAGGCTGGCTAGTCTGAGAAGGAGCCCGAAAGAAGGAGTTATCTTCAAATAAGATTTGGATAACACAGCCCCACAGCCTGCAGCTCCAGCTAAAGTCGGTTTTATGAAGTGTTACCAACGCAAACCAATCTGATAACGTGGATGGGGCCTGAGGGACGGGCCAAACTGCAATCTTTGTGGTAGACCAGCCAACCTGGAACATATCCTGTCTACGTGTTCAGTAGCTTTAACAGAAGATACTTATGGAGACGTGACAAAGTTCTATTTGTTATTGCAGGCGTGCTGGAGCAAGCAAGGAAGAAGCCTCGGAAGACCGAGAAAGGATTGAAGTTTGTAAACTTTGTAAAGGCTGGTAAACAGTCGTGCTGGGGGAGTGGGAGGAGGTGGACTGTTGGGAACCGCCATGCAGTGACTGGGAAATACAAGCAGATTTCAACAGCCGAATGCATTTTCCACAGGAAATAGCATCTATCAATTATAGTTCAGATATTGTTATGTGGTCTCCTGCAATCCATTCGTCATTTTACTGGAAGTTACAGTGTCATAGGAGGACAGCATTAAAGAAGCCCATGAGCGGGAATTAAATGAATAACAGAATCTGGTTGCAGACTGTCAACAACAAGGCTGGAGAGTATGGTTTCTCCCAGCAGAAGTTGGATGCCGTGGATTTGTAGGGCATTTTATGTGGGGGCCGGTGGCAGAAAGGCAGAAATGACATCCATATAAATATGGAAGAAGCGAGATGCAACACCAAGATTCTTTGTGTTAGTGAATGAACATTTAGCGTGTTGCAGTGAAGGCGGAGAGCTGAGTAGTTCCGGACTGGGACTTGATCATCCCAGTCGGCGTACCTGTGGAAGTTGTAGTGGACAACGCTGAAACAACCATTGCAGGGGAATCCACCTGAGGACCGGACCATATATAGTGTATCATATATTATACCGTATCAAGTTGAAAACAGGTATAACAAGCTAATTCAGAGAATTCGTGTCCCCCGCTTAGGGAAAAAGTCGGCTCCCCCTGACTGAATTTGTAGAATTATTAAATGTATACATGTATACTGAAGGAAATAAAATACATGTATGTCAATATGCATATAAAGATTTGATTGCTTATTCTTTATTATGTGCATAGAAGATTCTTTTGATATGGAATATTTATCACACTATAATGATGATTTTATAACCTCATAAATTTTTCATTTCACATGCTGAATACTATCATTTAGTTTAAAAAAAAGTATTTAAAAAAAAAAAAGAACGGTCCGACCGAGATTCGATCCCGGGACCTCTCACATTAGAAGCCAGAGACATAACCACTAGACCACGGAGTCGCTTTACATGGAATGAAGTATATGCAGAACTGAAGTCACATAAATGTATATATTCATGTTTTCATGTTGGGTATTCTCAAAATTTTACACAATCCATGGTGTTTGATTTATTTAGCCTTTATTAAACAGTTATAATAGATGTAATAAGAACATAAAGTCCGCCGAGAACCTGTTTTATACGCAATAACTCTCCTCATGCCCCTGCGCTAAAAATAGCGACATGTAATACTATAAATACTAATAAAACAAACGGGGCGGGGCACTTTGAGAGGGGCGAGAGACGTCCTAGGGAGTTTTGTATAAAATTACATTGCATAAGCTCAAAATCTTCTTGAAATATCGCCCGGAAATGATAGTGTTACACACAGACAGAATGTATAAATTTACGACCTTGAATTTTGACCTTTTGACCTCAAAATCAATAGGGGTCTTCTTTAGGCCACAGGGAGTTGTTATGTAAAATTTCATTGCGATAGCTCAAATGGTTCTAGAGATATCGTGTGGAAACGAAAGTGTTTTAACAGACAGAATTTGCTTATTTATGACCTTGACCTTTTCAATAGGGGTCTTCTTTAGTCCATAGGAGTTGCTATGCTAAATTTCATTGCAAAAGCTCAAAGGGTTCTCGAGATATCGTGTGGAAACGAAAGCGTTACAGACAGACAGAAAGACGGACGGACGGAAATGAATAGACGGACGGACGGACGGACGGACGAACAAACCCAAATTAATATCCCCCACTTTTCAAGCGGGGGACATTTACCGAATTAATTTCGATATTATATAGTTTTCTTGCGCACCAAATTTGTATTGATGTTAAGTAAAAATAGCGTTTATAATTTATTGTCCCCCGCTTGAAAAGTGGGGGATATTAATTTGGATGTCCGTGGATTTGTAGTCCGTCCGCATTTTCTGTCTGTCTGTAACGCTTTCGTTTCCACACGATATCTCGGAGCTTTTGCAATGAAATTTAGCATAGCAACTCCCTGTGGAATAAAGAAGACCCCTATTGATTTTGAGGTCAAAAGGTCATAGGTCAAGGTCATAAATAAGCAAATTCTGTCTGTTAAAACACTTTCGTTTCCACACGATATCTCTAGAACCACTTGAGCTATTGCAATGAAATTTTATATAACAACTCCCTGTGGCCTAATGAAGACCCATATTGATTTTGAGGTCAAAAGGTCAAAGTTCAAGGTCGTAAATTTATACATTCTGTCTGTGTGAAATACTATTATTTCCGGGCGACATTTCAAGAAGATTTTGAGCTTATGCAATGTAATTTTATATCAAAACTCCCTAGGACGTCTCTCGCCCCTCTCAAAGTGCCCCGCCCCGTTTGTTTTATTAGTATTTATAGTATTACATGTCGCTATTTTTAGCGCTGGGGCATGAGGAGAGTTATTGCGTATAAAACAGGTTCTAGTGGACTTTATGTTCTTATTACATCTATTAGAACTGTTTAATAAAGGCTAAATAAATCAAACACCATGGATTGTGTAAAATTTTGAGAATACCGAACATGAATATATACATGTATGTGACTTCACTTCTGCATATATTTCCTATCATGTAAAGCGATTCCGTGGTCTAGCGGTTAAGTCACTCGCTTCAAGTGTGAGAGGTCCCGCGATCGAATCTCGGTCGAACCTTTCTTTTTTTTTCTTTTTTTTTTGAAATACTTTTTTTTTTTTTTTTACTAAATGATAGTATTCAGCATGTGAAATGAAAAATTTATGAGGTTATAAAATCATCATTACAGTGTGATAAAAATTCCATATAAAAAAATCTTCTATACACATAATGAAGAATAAGCAATCAAATCTTTATATGCATATTGACATACATGTATTTTATTTGCTGCAGTATACATGTATACATTTAATAATTCTACAAATTCAGTCAGGGGGAGCCGACTTTTTCCCTAAGCGGGGGACACGAATTCTCTGAATTAGCTTGTATATTTTTGTACCCATGAGAACACTCTTCGACGAAAACAAAAACCGATTAACAGAGTTAGAAATCACATAAAAATCCACATCAAAACTGTCGGAAGAGTTCTGACGTTGATTTTTTTTTTACCGATATACATAAACACTCTGATGGAAAATGGGCAATTTTCTGTTGTGTAAGATTTTCTGGTATTTCATCAGAACTGAAAATTTTTGCCCCGCTAGACCGCTTTTCACAAAGCTCTTTTATTCGTGGCAAACAGGTAAATACTATGATTTGCTTCGTTGAATAAACTGGGTAAATATTGACAAAAATCCCGAACTTAATGGATAAAACAAAGATTATATGCACAACTATCTATAAGTAGTTAAAGAAACAGGTATAAAAGGCATTGTGATTATCTGTATAGTCAAGAGCGTTTTGTGACCGATTGTTATCGGAGAGATTTGGTGCTAATTTCTAGGACCCCAACAAACATAAAAACGGACAGTGACCTTTTGTACACAAACCGTTACACCATCGTGTAAGCATGATTCTGACCCGAGTGTGTTTGTTTTTTACTTTTATCCAACTTGGAGCCCCCCAAAATGAAGGTAAGCCGTCAATTCGTGTACTCTACAGAACAATCAGTATGTACAGTTTAGGTATTTTGTATTGACAAGTGGTGAATACCGGTGCTGTACATGTTATTATTGGAAATGTAAACGATTAAAACTATAAATTCTTAAACAATGTTTATTACTACATGGACATTAATTAACTACCTGTGTAAACATTTAATATGAATACAGCTAGATTCAAAAGTTGATCACATTCGTGCTCTTCATTACCTGAAAAGTAAACTACTCTCTCTTTCTCGCGCGCTCTCTCTCTAAATACTGAGTATCCAGTATCTCTTATATCTCTGTATGAGTATCTCTTGAAAAATGCTTCTTTAGCCCTCCCCATCTCTGAACTACCCCTTTTCTCTATTATCCTCATAAATAGCCGAAATTTTTTTTATATAATTCTTATCTTTTATAATCCACTTATATGACGATCCATTGATACAATGAAAAATGTATGTCCAGGACGCGAAATTCTTGTATGTTAAGCGCACGAGAGAGATAGAGAGATCGAGATCATGAAATACGTTTATATTCCTTAAAAAAAGGACGCTAGCCGGGCGTAAAAAAGTTCAAAAGTTTCACCATGTTTTACAGTTATATAAAGACTCTTTACATATACATGTTATTAAATTTAAATCATTAATAAGCTAGTCTTGATAGCATGATAATAGTATGTTTTGTATATAGATTGAATGTATGAATTTGCCTCGGTCATCGCAAGATAGACTTAATACTATATTCAGATTGATATTTTTTTAACGCTGGACGACCAAGGTCTTTAGACGAAAGCGATATCTAAGGCATAGAATGCAACAGCTGTGGGTTTTTGGTTCTTTTATTACTTTTAAGTACATTCATAATTTTACTCAGTGGACTTTCTTTACAAATTGAATGTTAGACACTTTTGTATGAAAGTGAATAGGGATGCAAATACTGAAAGACATTAATGGAAACCTAACAATTTTTTCTGTCCTGGATCGACTGATCGGGGCGCATATTGTTTTTGCCCTGACTGTCTGTCTGTTTGTCTGCATACTTTAACCTTCGCCATAACTTTTGAACCATGAAAGATAGAGACTTCATATTTGATATGCATACTCCACTAATCAAGCTCTTTCAAATGACCTTGTGATCTTGACTGTCAATGACCTTGAGAGCTTGACTTTGACCTATATGCTAAGAATAGCTTTTTTGAACCTTCGCTATAAAATTTGAACCATGAGAGATAGAGACTTCATATTTGGGATGGATAATCCACCAATTAAGTTCTTTCAAATGACCTTGACTGTGACATATTTGCTAAAAATAGCTTTTTCGAACTTTGTTGCCACCGGCCGTAGTGTTTCATTTCATGATAAACATGATGAATTCTATTGTCAGCTTTTCTTACTTATGTAGCAATATACCGTATCACTTGCAGATGGTGATATTTATGAATAATTTATATAAAAATTATTATAAGTATTAACAGGAGCCATGCATAACATTGTAAAACTGTACATTTTTGTTGCAATTATAGAGAAAACCCTAGTTTCAGCACTAGTCGTTCGATAGTTATGGCCAAGGTTAATGTTTATCAAAAGTGGGTCAAGTTCCAAGGTCATGGTAAAAATCAATGGTAATCAATGAAAAGTCTTTTCACAATGAAAAATATTAAATCCATAGATCCGAACATTTAAGAGTTATTGCTTGGTCAAAGGTCTTCATAAGTAGGTAAAAAAGAAAAGACCTAAGTTGTTGGTATCCAAGGAAAAATCTTTTTATAAGAAATATACTTGTAAAATATGAAAGCCATAAAAACACCAACCCTTTAAAAGTTATTGTTTGATTTAAAGGTTTTCAAATAAGGTCAATCTCTAAGGTCAGGGTCAAAGGATCAAAGTTGTTGGTACTCAAGGGAAGTACTTGTCACAAGAATAAACAGGTGAAATATGGAAGCCTATACCTAACCTTTCAAAAATTATACTAAAGTTTAATGCTTTCAAAAGTAGGTCAAACTCCAAGGTCAAGTAAGAATTACATGTATAAAAGTTTTTTGTACCCAAAGAAAGTTTTTCACAAAAATACATGTACATATATATGACATATGAAAGTAATGTCACCAACTGTTGAAAAGGGTAAAGCCTACGTAATGTTTTTTCTAAAGAAGGTCAAACTCCAAGGTCAAAATTGTTGGCAGCTAAGAGGTTGTGTCATAAGTACTAAACACGTGAAGCATGAACCAAAATGTGACCAAGATAAAAGTTTAGTAAAATATGCAAATTCTGGGTCAAACTTTAAGGTCAAAAGGTCACATATATCGGTACGCAAGGGAAGGTCTTGTCACAAGAAATACAAAACACACATGTGAAATATGTAAGCATGAAAATATGAAACTTATGGGAAAAGTTTTTGCGGTCAGACAGGCAGAGCAAAAATTATACAAGTATGTCCAGAAATCTTCAAATATGATAGCATACTTGTAAAAAGCAAATGAAACAAACAAAACCCCTCAACAAAATGCCTGAGCCAAAGAGCCAAAGCATGATTTGCGATATGTCGTTGATTATTTTGTATATACAATTCTGTAATTTGACATTTTTTTTCAGAACCCAGTCATTGGCTTAGATTGGCAGAGGATGAACTGGAAACTGCGCTAAGAAGAACAGCTAACACAAACAGAGCGAAGAATGTGATTCTGTTTATAGGGGACGGTATGGGGCTGACCACCGTCACGGCGGCCCGGATATACAAAGGTCAGCTCAACGGACAGCCAGGGGAGGAAAGTGTCCTGGAGTTCGAGAAGTTTCCAAATGTCGGCTTATCCAAAGTAAGATAATGGTCCCCGTACACCGAGTCTTAAAATAAAAAAACAATACATTATTATCGGTGTATTTTCTTTCTTTTACTATGTAGACGTACCTGCCCGACAGACAAGTGGCGGATTCAGCCGCCACAGCCACAGCGATGCTGACCGGTGTCAAGACAAACTGGTACAATGTGGGGGTGACGGGGAAAGCCAAATTTGGGGACTGCAATTTTCCCAAAGAAGCCGAGATAGACACCATTTTTCGCCAGTCAGAAATGGAAGGTTGGGCAAAAGAATTAATTGTCACTTTTTGTTTTGTTAAAGCAGCTAGTGAACTCTTTATAATTCCTTAAAAAAATATTCAAAGCAGGTGTACAGCATTAAGTTAATGTCATTTAAAGACATAAAAAGTGCATAAAAATCTTCAAATACAATATACAATGTACAGAAAATACCAGAAAACTTGTAGAAACTGAAATATTTCTGCATATATTATATAAACATTACATGTAGTTGAGTGTAACATTGAAAATTTTCACCCCAAGAAAACCATTGTCAGTCGAGGCGTAGCCGAGGTTGACAAAAGTTTTCGAGGGGTGAAAATTTTCAATGTTACATTTAACTACATGCAATATTTATTAAATAAATAGACTGAATTTTTTATACAAATACATATAACAGTGAACCGTGCGCGCATAAATTCTGCGCAGTCGCTATTTTTTGAAATATCACCTGTCGTTGACTGTTGCTACGCTGGAGGGCGTGGCTTCATTATTCAGCGGGTAATAGTGTTTTTAACAAATGTTTCTCGACCAATCAGATTCAACTAATTTACAATAAAAGTATAATATTGTTTAATATCCTAGGGAAATCTACTGGAATTGTTACAACTTCTAGAATAACGCACGCCACGCCTGCTGCAGCTTACGCCAAAGTCCCTCAGCGTTACTGGGAGACGGACGCCGACTTACTACGATATAACGTAACGGGGCGCTGTACAGATATAGCGCGACAACTCATCTACGATAACAACGAAATTGATGTAAGCCAAAAAAAACAACTGAAGTCTTTATTCAATAAGCCATAAGTTTTTAGCAATGTATTCTTAATTTCATTTCATGAATATTCAGTGGATGTAAATATTCAATAAGTAGCCACAAGTTTTTAGCAATGTATTCTTAATTTCATTTCATGAATCAAGGAAAATTTGAATATTTGTTTAGGTGATTTTTGGAGGCGGTAGACGAGCATTTTTCCCTAATACAACGAGAGACCCGGAAACAAACTCTAGCAATTTGCGAAAAGACGGTCTGAATTTGATTCGGGTAATTTGGTATTGATGAATTGATAAGAATTTTAATTTATGTAAACAAGTATTTTTTTAAAGAAGGTGAACCACTCACTTAAATTAAATTATCTTGACTGTCCAGGAATGGAGGACCATTATGGAGGATACTGGTCAGAGTTATAAGTATGTGGAGAACACAGAAGAGTTCCAGTCTGTCGACCCCTCTGTCACGGATAAAGTTCTGGGTTTGTTATACATTTATATATTTTATCCATAAGTATTGAATATGGCGGCATCAATAAAATATACAATAAATATTCAATTCAACTTTTGCATTAGATGGTGAACTAAAAATATGTATATATTGTATGAAATAGGATTGTTCGATAGTAGCAATATGCCGTACGAGCTGAACCGAAATAATGGACCGGATGGAGATCCCTCTCTTCAGGAAATGACGAAAAAGGCCATCGAAATCTTGCAGAAGAACGAGAATGGGTTCTTTTTGCTAGTTGAAAGTAAGTTCTTTTATTTCTTTTTAAATTACCTGTATAGTTTTACTGGTTTATATATTTTTTGTACACTAAAATTAAGCATGTGCGAAAAAAAATGAAACTATCGGTAGGTTGAGTGCTTTTTCTACTTCGCATTTATGTGGATTTTATTTTCAATGTTCAGGTGCCAGAATCGATCACGGACATCATGACAGTAAAGCTAAGATTGCTCTAACGGAGACGATTATGTTGGACAAATCTGTAAAGGTGGCGGCGGAAATGACGAGTTCAGAGGACACACTTATCATCGTAACAGCCGACCATTCTCACGTGTTCAACATCGCGGGGTATCCAAAACGAGGCAATGATATCCTAGGTATGAAAAAAAAAAATTATTTACGTGCTCTCATACTTTACAATTTAAGTTTATTATAGAAAATACACTCGAACTCCGATATCACGTATACATGTACCATGGATATGTCGAAGTGATTTGGAAGTCTCAACCACATATTCTTTAAGTATTTAACCTTCGATATCTCGAAGTTTTTTCTCAGTCCCATCAGAATTGAGATAATTAACGAAGTTTGACTGTAGTTGTGCATTTGTGTAACTTTCCAGGTGTCGTCAAGCCCATTCCCAGAGCTTGGTTCCCCGCAGACAACAAAGCCTTCACCACCCTACTGTACGCTAATGGACCCGGAGGTATCCTACCCAACAAACCAAGGCATGACCCCGACAAAGTGGACACAAGTTAGTTAGATTGACCTCAGCTCAAATAAGATTTTCAAAAAGAAATTTTTTATGCAAATAACTGTTCAATAATTGTGACTTTTGATGATAATTAAAGCAATCATTTTTGATTTGTACACATAGTTATATTAAGAATCGATTTGAAAGTGAGTTCATACTATGACACGGGGAGGGGGGGGGGCGACGATTATGACCTTGCAGAAGAAATATTATTATAGATTTTGTGGTATATTTTTCGTGATATAGCACAAACTTCTGATTTACAACATGATAGAGATATGGCATGTTTTACAGCTGCTGATAACTACGTACAGACAAGCGCCGTGCATTTGGAGGTAGAGACGCATGGAGGCGAGGATGTTCCCGTCTATGCACGTGGTCCCTGGTCACACCTTATACACGGCGTGCACGAGCAACATTACATCTATCACGTGATGTCACTAGCTTCGTGTGTGGGTACACAAAAGACAAAGTGTCCCAAATCTGTAAATGCTGGGAAGACTGACACAACGAATCGCATCACAGTATTGAGTCTTGTGACAGTTTTATGTTATCTGATCAACTCATTATGATATCATCTTTATGTAGATTTGTAAAATCATTTTCTTTCTGTTTGAATGTATTAAATGTGGCGCATTCCTTTTCATATGGGAAAGTTAAAGTTGTAAAATAAGTATCTCGTTGAGACTTCGCAATATACCTGGTAATTAATATAGATTCACTTTAATATCCAAGACCTCTAAATTTGAAATAACCCCCCTCCAAGAAATATTTCTAAAATTTGTTGTTGTTTTATTTTAAGATTTCAAACTTACCATAGGTTTCTCATTAAGCCGCTTCACCCGAAACAGGCACATATTATCTTAAACAATAAAAGTATGTCATTACATAGATAATATACAAAAATTAATTATAAGATTGATTTAATAGTTTATTACAACAATTTACATGGAAAACATAGACCAAAAACCTTGTTGACAAACAGCAGTTCCTGACGGGAAGTTAAGATCTGATTTGAAGTCACCTTTGAAAAAAATACTTTTATCGGTTATATCTAATTATGAAGAGAATTCAAACCCGAGTATTCTTTTCCATTAATACAATTCTAAGTCATGGTATATCTTTTAAAAATTAAGAAATTAACTGAATATAATCCATAGTAATTTTTATATTAATATGCATATTTACATCGGATATTTTTAAAGATTTTTTAAAAAGGGAGTTTAGTAACGAGGGCTAGAATATTGCCCGTGTACACTTTGTTGTGGAAAAAATGCTTGGGTTTGTTCTTCATAAGTTATACATGTAAGCGATAAATTTAATTTTTCGAAGGTGATTTCACGCAATGTCAACAAATGTCAACAAAGGATTATTTTTTGTGTGACCTAACAAAAATTATTTTTTTAACTTTTGAATTTTGATATCTTTAAAAAGAAAAAGACTTTGGGGATATAATTTGACAAAAGATGAAATAATTTATGGACAATTATTTTTCAATATATTTTTTTAGTTTAGGTTTAGTATTGCTCAATTAATTTGGTTTCCATGTGGTGGTAGTTCATAATTTTTCAACAGACGCCAAAATTAATGTGGGAAAATGCAGTCGGTCTTATCCCCCTTTTTTAAATTTTATTTTTTTTTAATGCAATGTCTCAAAAATTTAAAGATTTGAACTGTTGTATTGCTAAAACAATGGTGAAATAGTTATTAAATCTAGATTTGCTTGAAGATAAATTAAAGATAAACAAAATCAAATGTAAACTCATACAGATCTTGATACTCTCTTCTCCTTTCTTTAATTCATGTGTAACTTGATTTGTTTATTTTGTACCAAATATATTCAAAAAAGGGATACCATGCATTAGAAAAGGTATGTAATTTTGTAATGAGTGAATTTCAGTATAAAAGTATTGTGTATTAGAATTGATGAATAAATTTTCAGTTCAGCGAAAATATGCGAATGTTTGTTAGATGGGAAGTTACGTCAGTGTAGTGTGTGACTGACTTCGTTCACAAATGGTCCGACGTTTGGTAAAGTAGACAATTGGGCGTGACTAAATTAGTTCTTCTAATTAATGCAGCACGTAGTTAGAATATTTAGCGTAGGGATGAATTACCTTTGACTGTGGAAGAAACTGTCATAATGGACCTAGTGGTGTATATGTGTCTTCTTTTAGTGAATTTTCAGGTTTCAGATGGAACACATCGTCAAGGTATGTCTTAGTACCTCCACCTTCAACATATAGGTATTCAAAATAGAAAATTAAATTAACATTTGTCTTAAAATGATATTTGGTGGTTTCAAAATTTAGATTATATAATGTTATTTGTCAAACCTAAAAGTTATTTTAACATACGCATTTATATCCGTACATTAGTAAGCTTGAATGTTTTTTTTCAATTCCTGCATGTGTATATAGTTTTTTTTTAACTTTCTATGTTCAATTTTATTTTTAAAAAAAACAATAAAAGGGGTCACACAAAAAATTGTAATCCGAAAATTTTTAGTTCTTAAAAATGGTATAGGTGTTAGATACCGAGAGAGAAATGACAAGTCGATATGGTGAGAGAGGCTCTAAATTAATGACAGCGAATTTATGCCCAACAGCACCATGTAACTGGAACAATAAGAAGAGTACTTCATTAATAAAACAAATGCCACATTGTGTTTCTGACATTCACATTAATATGTTAACCTCGTCATTCCCGTTTTTATACATTGAAGTAAACTGTCTCAACACTAATATATCATGCATAAATATTTTTTTAATTATAAACTCGGTATATATCAATAATAATAAATTATTAAATTTTTATGTATATGCATATATATACTTATATAATTGTACTTAAAATAGGAATATTTTTTATTTAATGAAGACTGCAGTGTATATTTCTGAAATGTAATGATTAAAATGCACATAATTATAAATGTATAAACGTGAGGTTCTGATCTTCAAAAAAGTTGCTGAATTTTTATTAGATTCGGTTTCTACTGTAATCAAATGCAATGAAAAGGTACAGGTTTAAATAAATATGTCTTTAAAAAGACAACAATGTGCAAATAGAGGGGATAGAGTCTTGTGGTAATTTTGGCCTTCAAATATCATTAGCTGTAGAACTGCTGCTCGCCGAAAAAAAAATTATGAACCAGACTGGTCATCCATCCCAATTTTTTCCAGACCAGGGAGCTACAGATCTGTAGCTACAATTATCAGATACTAGTATACACACAGTGGAATGAGAATCCAGGGACGGATTAATGAATCAATTTTTTTTTGGGGGGGGGGGGGGTATTTAAAACGACGTTCGATCCTGAAATTTTAAGTCTTAAACTTTTTTTGCCAAGTATATTTTTAGTTTCTACATACATAGCTTAATTAAAATTCAAATCAAAAAATGGGGGTCAATATGCTTCTTTTGGCGCTACAATACATTTAATAGGACCTTTTTGCACTGAAAGAGTTTGTGTCTTAATTAAAAATTTTATTTTTGACGTTTCCTCTCCAATATTTATATCCAATTAAAGCATGAAACAAAATGAACTCTAAGTTTGTTTAAAAAAAGACACTTAAAAATCGCAACTAAGAAAACGTTTTAAATTGCTTCGCATAATCAATTATTTGACCTTTCTGCACTAATAAAAAGTGATTTTTCTGGCATTGAAAATTTAATAAGCAAGAAAATTATTTTAAAGTCTTATACTTTTTCTGATCTTAAGCAAATAGGCCAAATTTATCTTGAATATTTAGAAAAGAACATCAAAAGTGGGGGTATATGATGTAAATTTTCAGATATTACTGAAAAAAAGTCAATTTTACGTTAAAATTGGCTCAATTTTTTCCCGGATTTTCAGAATATATTTACTATATTTGTCACACTTTGTCGATAGAATTCATAAGAAATAATTTGATAGATATTTCAGAACCAGCATAACACATTTTACTGCAAAAAAAGTTTTTTGTGCAACCAGGAAGGAAAAATAGGAATCCTAAATTAACAGTACTGTTATAGTTCAAAATGGAAAATCCGGATCCCCACGGGGCTTTCCATTTTGTTATAGTTCAAAATGGAAAGCCCCGTGGGGATCCGGGTTAGAATAGGTCCTCAGTACCCCCTTGCTTGTCGTAAAAGGCGACTAAATGGGGCGGTCCTTCGGATGAGACCGTATAAACCGAGGCCCCGTGTCACAGCAGGTGTGGAACGATAAAGATCCCTCCCTGCTCAAAGGCCGTAAGTGCCGAGCATAGGCCTAAATTTGAAGCCCTTCACCGGCAATGGTGACGTCTCCATATCAGTAAAATATTCTGGAGAGGGACATTAAACAGTACACAATCAATCAATCAAAATGGAAAAACTGAATATTTTCGTCTAAAAAAACCTTCCGCCACAAAATATAGTCCCTATCTTAATTCTGCTTGAATGGAATTTAATCACTGTTTTTTATTTGAATGTAGTTAAATTTGCTCTGTAGAATTCAGATTTAATGTTAGAACTTAAAACTGATGCAGAATTTTATAAATAAAGGACCTTACCAAATTACGCTCAAAATCTCAGGATCGAACGTCCTTAAACAATCATTTAAAGTAGGATTAAAAAGATTAATAAAATACCGGCAGGTACATGAAGTTTTACTCTGAAATAATTTTGAATTTCAAAGTAATATTTAAAACTATATATGCTGGAAAAGACCAGCAAATTTATTTATGTGGCAAATTTTGTGAAATAGCGCAGCCTAAATTTAGCATTGTTTGATAATAAATATTTAAAATAGTGATTATAAGTACTAAAAAGAGTGAAGATAGCAAGTACTGCAGTATGATTTGAATAATTTACATAATTTATTAATTTTAGTACATTTTAAATTACGATAAAAAGCTAAAACATTAATCTCCGTGTAAATTTTATTTCTGTGCAATGTGCATACTGAAAGAGAAATTATTTATAGGTACACGCACAGTTATTTCTTTGGAGTCATAATTTAATCTGCATGATTGAGAAATGAGAATAAATTAAAATGAGCTTTTAATATATATGTATTCAAACAATGATCACCAGAAGAGAAACAAGAGGCCCATGGGCCACATCGCTCACCTGAGCACTGTGGCTAGGAAAAAGTAGAATTGGTTTATTATTGAAAAGTTTAAATCCAAAAGTAGTCTCATGACCAATCATTGCTTTGCTATTCTTGAGAAGATGATTTGTAAAGAATTTCCCTATATATTTCTATGTAAAACTTTGGTTGGCCATTGTGGCCCCGCCTTAACCCCGTGAAAATGATTTAAACAAACTTGAATCTACACTACCTGAGGACGCTTCCATATAAATATGAACAATTATGGCTTTGCTATTCTTGAGAAGATGATTTTTAAAGAATTTTCCTATATATTTCTATGTAAAACTTGGTTTGGCCATTGTGGCCCCGCCCTACCCCCGGGGGTCATGATTTGAACAGACTTGAATCTACACTACCTGAGGACGCTTCCATATAAATATGATCAATTATAGCTTGCTATTCTTGTGAATAAGATTTTTAAAGAATTTTCCTATATATTTCTATGTAAAACTTTGGTTGGCCATTGTGGCCCCGCCCTACCCCGGGAGTCATGATTTGAACAAACTTGAATCTACACTACCTGAGGACGCTTCCATATAAATATGAACAATTATGGCTTTGCTATTCTTGAGAAGATGATTTTTAAAGAATTTTCCTATATATTTCTATGTAAAACTTGGTTTGGCCATTGTGGCCCCGCCCTACCCCCGGGGGTCATGATTTGAACAGACTTGAATCTACACTACCTGAGGATACTTCCATATAAATATGATCAATTATGGCTTTGTTATTCATGATAAGAAGATTTTTAAATAATTTTCCTATATGTTTCTATGTAAAACTTTGGTTGGCCATTGTGGCCCCGCCCTACCCCCGGGGGGTCATGATTTGAACAAACTTGAATCTACACTATCTGAGGATGCTTTCATATAAATATGATCAATTATGGCTTTGTTATTCTTGAGAAGAAGATTTTTAAAGAATTTTCCTATATATTTCTTTGTAAAACTTTGGTTGGCCATTGAGGCCCCGCCCTACCCCCGGGGGTCATGATTTGAACAAACTTGAATCTACACTACCTGAGGATGCTTCCATATAAATATGATCAATTATGGCTTTGATATTCTTGAGAAGAAGATTTTTAAAGAATTTTCCTATATATTTCTATGTAAAACTTTTGTCGGCCATTGTGGCCCCGCCCTACCCCCGGGGGTCATGATTTGAACAAACTTGAATCTACACTACCTGAGTATGCTTCCATATAAATATGATCAATTATGGCTTTGTTATTCTTGAGAAGAAGATTTCTAAAGAATGTTCCTATATATTTCTATGTAAAACTTTGGTTGGCCATTGTGGCGCCGCCCTGCCCCCAGGGATCATGATTTGAATAAATTTGAATCTACACTACCTGAGGATGCTTCCATGTAAATATGATCAATTATGGCTTTGTTATTCTTGAGAAGAAGATTTTTAAACAATTTTCCTATATATTTCTATGTAAAACTTTTGTCGGCCATTGTGGCCCCGCCCTGCCCCCCAGGGTCATGATTTGAACAAATTTTAATCTACACTACCTGAGGATGCTTCCATACAAATATGATCAATTATGGCTTTGTTATTCTTGAGAAGAAGATTTTTAAAGAATTTTCCTATATATTTCTATGTAAAACTTTGGTCGGCCATTGTGGCCCCGCCCTATCCCTGGGGGTCATAATTTGAACAAACTTGAATCTACACTACCTGAGGATGTTTCCCCATAAGTTTCATCTTTCCTGGCACACTGCTTCTTGAGAAGAAGATTTTTAAAACATACCACCAAATTTTAGTTAATTCGCAATTATCTCCCCTTCAGTGAGGGCGTGGCCCTTCATTTGAACAAACTTGAATCCCCTTCACCCAAGAATGCTTTGTGGTAGTTTTGGTTGAAATTGGCCCAGCGGTTCTTAAGAAGAAGTCGAAAATGTGAAAAGTTTAGAGACAGACAGACGGACAGACGGACGGACGGACAGCTAGACAGCTAGACAGACAGACAGACAGACAGACGGACGCCGGACAAAATGTGATCAGAAAAGCTCACTTGAGCCTTCGGCTCAGGTGAGCTAAAAAACTACTAGTATTTATGAAAAGAAAGGCAATGAACGTGCATTTTTCATAATGTGGAGAAAAACTTCAGAAATTTATACACCACACTGCATGGCCAATCCCAAAGAAGCTAATCTCTGTCTTGCCTTCTGTAAGACAGTCCGTCAGTTACATACATAATAAGAAATATGAATTCTATGTACTTAATTGTACGTCTTATTTTTCTTCAACTCCCCCAACCCCAATAAAATTTTAATTTTGAAGCCTTTGAATTTGTAGGAAAACCTGACTGGTTTGGACACGCCCAACGGGAGCTCCATGAAGCACTTATTCGCAATTACAACACCAACAAAGCTAAAAATGTCATCCTTTTTGTCGGAGACGGTATGGGTATGTCCACAGTTACAGCGGCGCGGATCCTGAGGGGGCAGTTAAATGGAAGTCCCGGCGAGGAAAATCTTCTGGAGTTTGAAAAATTTCCTCATATTGGTCTAGCAAAGGTATTCAGTGTAATTGCTGGATTTTTAATCTTTTGCTTCAAGTTAACCTGAGTTTTGGTAAGGTTCTTTGTCCCTCTGACTCGTGTAAAGTTTGATTGATTTTCATGCTATGGATTTTCCAAAATAAATCTTAATTTAACATTTTGGGAAAAAGTTATTTTAGCGTATTCAGGTGAAAGTTGTTTTTCGTATTAAAGGGTCTACGAATCTTGAACCCATGTTTCTACGTGTTCGAATAGATAAAACACCGTTTCTTTATGCCCTGTCGTGGCTAGGGCACAGAGTATTTTACTTTGACATAGCCATCTTTTGTCCTACAGTCTGCCTGTCCGTCACACTTAATGTATAGCTAAGTTCCAGACAAACTGTTGAGATCTGTGCACTGATAATATTGTTTAGAACTGTTCTATTCTGACCTTGATTTTCAGTATGTGCTTGACCACACTATTCCTCTTTTATTCCATACACATGAAATAAAACATAGTGTGGAAAATTACTCAAATTAATCATATTGTTGGTAAAACCTTGATTTTAATTTTCCTACTTAACATTTTGCTCAATTTTTAATAGTTTTTTTTAGAACTACTCAAGAAATTTTAGTAATTTGTTAATGAACAGAAGATGGAATTAACTTCACTTACTTTACACAAGGTATATTCCAGCGACAGACAGACGCCAGATTCAGCAGCCACTGCGACTGCGCTACTCTGTGGGGTCAAGACAAACTCTCAGCTGATTGGACTAGACGATTCGGCAGTTGTCGGAAACTGTACAAGTCAATTTGGCGCCGAAATCAACTGCATGAATGATTGGTTTGAAGAACAAGGTACATTTGCATCATATTACAAGGTGTTCGTCTTATTTTTAAGTGTGTTGATCCTTGGTTGCTAAAAAACTCTACAATATGACCCTGTAATCGAAGATTCGGAGGTATATATAGTTTTTGCCTTGTCCGTAGATGTCAGTTTACCTGGCTGTTTGTCCGAAAAAAAAAATAGAACCTTATTTATAACTTTTGAATAGGTGGGGATATGGCTTTCATATTTCACAGGTGTAATCCTTGTGACAAGATTTTTCTTTTGGTACCGTCGAATTTGACCTCGTGACCTTGGAGTTTGACCAACTTTTACCAAAATTTTCCGAACATCAACCATATTCATAACTTCTGATTAGTAGGTGCTAAGGCTTTCATACTTCACGTGTGTATTCACTGTGATAAGGTCTTTCATTGGGTATAAAAATACTTGACCTTTTCACCGTGACCTTAAAGTTTGGCCCAGTTTCAAAAAAAGATTAACCTTGACCATAACTTTTGAACCGTTAGTACCAGGGCTTTCATATTTCAAAGGTGTATTTGTTTTGACAAGACTTTTCTTTTGGTACCATCAAATTTGACTTCCTGACCTTGATCTTGGGGTTTAACCCACATTTTCCGAATTTTTACCGTAGCCCTAATTTTGATTAGATTAGTTGGTGCTAGCACCATCATACTTCATATGTGTATTCACTGTGACAGGACCAATAATATTTGACCTTGACCTTTGGGTTGACCAACTTAAAACTTGGCTATAACTTTTGAACCTTTGGTACTAGGGCTTTTATATTTCACATGTGTATTCCTTGTGAGATGTCCTTCCTTTGGGTACCAACAAATATGACCTTTTGACCTTGACATTGGAGTTTAACCTGCAGTTGAAAATTTTCGACTCTCCCCATAAGCTGCCATACGAGGGCATCAATGTATCACAAACACATCTTGTTTGTTTAGGTAGATCCATGGGTATTGTCACCAATACTAAGTTGACACACGCTACTCCAGCAGCTGGATATGCGCACGCAGCCAGTCGTGTTTGGGAAGGCGATGTTCATATGCAAGGAGTTCCGGGTGGCTGCAAGGATATTGCTCATCAACTTGTCTACAACAACTCAAACATACAAGTTAGCTTCTATTGTAAAATTAATTCAAAACGAGAATCTTGAAAACTGTGGATATGGAATATTAAAGTTTACGTAGTATATTTTATTTTTTTTTATAAATTTATTTTAGATTTTGTTTGGTGGAATCTTGTAAATATTCTATTAAAGTGGACATTCTGTTTAGGTCTTGTTCGGCGGAGGTAGGCAATATTTCATTAGAAACAGACAACAGGACCCCCAGTATGGGGACGCATTCATTTCATTTCAAAGACAAGACGACCTGGATCTCATTGAGGTATGGCTTGTGATAAACATTATTATCCAACATTGAAAAGTTTTTGTTTGGAAAATATTTGTGGTGGTGGTGGGGGGGGGGGGAGGTTGTTCATGAGCCCCACCCCACCCCTTTGTTGCTACGCGTGCCACTCTATCTGACCTTGGAGATTTGACAAATTGAGTTCTTTCAGGGTTCTAAACCAAGGATGGGATGGCAAAGCTGTGTTGTTGATATCTTTTTTTATATGGGGTACTAGTCTTTGTTTTAATACTTTTCAGATCTGGGGAAGAGACAAGAAGTGGAGAAGATACACCCCTAAATACGCCTGGAACAAACAACAGTTTGACGCTATAGACCCGGATCAAACAGACTTTGCGCTAGGTATAGTGGACAGACACTTGTTTATATAATAAATGTTTACCCCATACATGTATTATATAATAAATAATTAATAACAGTTTGCCCCATTTATATTATAATTAAATGATAAATAATAATATACGGGGGAGGGGGTTAAACTTTTTACAGAAGCAAGTATATATGTGGTATAGCAAATGAAGTTCTATATGATTGAAATATATTTACTTAAAAAAAGAAATTAAGAAAAAAAAACATTTTTCTGCTTCTCCCACTACAAGATTTGTGATAAGCTAAGTATGTTTGTAGTGAAGATGTTTGGGGAATAGGAAGATTAAGGAAAAATCTTCAAACAAGACTTGTATTTATACATTGTACATGTACTTGCATTCTAGAATAAGACAACTCATTTCTGTCTGATTAAAAGGCCAAACGTAAAGTATGCATGAAAACCTAAATTTTCAGGTTTATTTAATCCACAACATATGCAGTATGAACTGGAGAGAGACAAAGGGCCTAATGGTGAACCCTCATTGGCGGAAATGACGGACAAAGCCATCAAAATACTGCGTCATAACGACAGAGGTTTCTTTCTTTTGGTGGAAGGTATGATGAAACAAATTTATATTTGCGCCAAAGCCATTTTAAAATTAACGAAATTTTAAATAGTTTAATACAATGTAGTTTCAAAATTGGTTCTTACTAAGTTTTGTCACATGCTGCTTTCAGGAGGGCGGATAGACCATGGGCACCACAATAATACAGCAAAAAGAGCTCTCTATGAAACCTTGGCATTCGAAGATGCGGTAAAAACAGCATTACAACTGACAAATTCTAGTGAAACCCTCATAGTTGTAACCGCTGATCATTCTCATGTGTTTAATATTGGAGGCCATTCATACCGTGGAAATGATATACTAGGTGAGGGAGTTCATGTGATTTTGTTTAAGTATAAAAGTTCATTAGAGCAGAAATTATTCAAGCCTTTTAGATTAAATGTTTCAAGGATTTTAATTTTTATTAATTGGGTAAATAATTAATAATTCTATTTTCGTTAAGGTGTTGTAAACCCTATCGCTCCTGAAGAGCTACCGGTGGATGGCAATGCCTGGACAACATTAAGTTACGGAAACGGGCCCGGATATGATTGGGGCTTCCGGAAAGATCCTAATTCGCTTGATACAAGTAAGATATGTCTCAAAAATAAAAGATTATGGCCAGTGAAGTAGCATACTCAAGTCATAATAGATATACTGAAGTTTTGAATTGATCCTAGACTGTGTAATATATCTAAGAAAACTAACAAAATACATCTATGACATTGGTAGTCCAAAATAGTTTTTTTAAAAAGCTTTTTTCATGACTTTGGTATTTGATGTTTTCCTGGCACATAAATTTCAAAATCTAAAAAAAAAACAGAGCCTGGAAAACATCAGATATTTTGGACTATAATATAAGTATTGATCGAATCATATCATAACTTTGACACATTAGCATGTATACATATTGATGCTTAATTCAGTCCTTGTTGTGTATATTGTTACAGAACACAATGATTACAGACAAGTGAGTGCTGTCCCCTTGTTGTACGAGACACACAGTGGTGAAGACGTCCCAGTATATGCCAATGGACCAATGGCTCATCTGTTCGACGGCGTCCATGAACAACATTTTCTCGCCCATGCCATGGCATATGCAGCCTGTGTTGGCATTAATAAACAACACTGCATACAGCATGCTCAAACCAAACCAGTTTTTACCCCAATGACATAATGTCTTCCAAAAAAATGTCTTATTAAATCCTGGTGATGTTTCTGTCCATTAATTGCTGTGTCAAATATTTAATCCAATCAATCCGATAATCATAATTTATTATTGAAACATCTGCTCTTTTCTGTTTGTTTAAAACAATCCATACATGAGTTAAGAAATATACTGATCGAGTAGTTTTCTTCATTCAAACAAATAAATCCATGAGATTAAAGATAATCTAAATGAGGGTCCTTTTATAAAGGGAGATAATAAAAGTTTGTTCATGGACTAAAAAAGTTGCTGCTTTTTCAAATCATTATTTTGATGGTTACCATCTAAATAGGATATTCTCTAGAAAGAGAAGAGATAAATTGCCAAAATGACTTTTTTTTTGTCTACCTTGAAAAACAAAAGTACATCTGCCTCTTTGGTCCAAGATACTTTGGCAAAAAGCAGATAAGGAAAGGACTTATGTGCTAACCACTGAAACTTAATGTTTTTAACCTTTTTTTTCATTTAGAAAAAAAATTCTCCATACTATAGGCCCTAGTCTTATTATATTAAAATATGGGGAATTGAGAAAAAGGTTTAAAACCTCAAGTGCCTAGGGTGATAACCATTTCAAAGTTGCTACAAAAATAAATTATTAAGTCCAAATTTGTATTAAATTTTAATGTAATATATTGAATTTATCAGAAATATTGTATACAAGAAAATACAACTACATAATTATATAATTAATGTAAAGTGTAAAAATGTGTACAATAGTAACAAAACAAAAATATATTGTTCAAATATAATGACTACAAAAATAAAGACAATTCAAAATATTTAATTTGAAGACATCAGATTTGGTTTGTTATTTTTGACAATTTTAAAAATTTGCATAATGGTAGTTACCAATATCGATTTTGTTAAATTTGTTATTTAACTTGAAATGTATGTAATTTCACGTCAAACTTAAAAATGTTTCACACAAATAAATGAAGAAATCTAAGTGTATATATATAATATTAAATAAATCACTTTAAAAACACTCAATAATATTTTGTTATATTTCAGCTTCATATATTTTTTTATGGGATGTATAGAAAATTTTCAAGTACTTGGTCAATATTCTATCTGTTTGCAGTTTATTACTATTCACAACACTTTCAGTTAAAACCAGACAAAACCCTCAAAACTGTTGCTAACAAATACACCACGATTATTCCTTATCACAGCTCTGTATTCAATACTTCTGAAAAACATTTCAGACTGCTCATATAACAACACTGTGAAATCTTTCATTTTCATGGGGCGGTAATCTTTCTGGTATGAAGAGACCCACAATTTATGTCCTCCATGAAATTATGTTTAAATTCCAAGACATATTAATATTCTACAATTTCTCTTCCATGAGATAAAATTTGATCCCATGAAAATAAATGATGTTAGAGTTTGTAAAATCATACAATGGCAGCTCTTCACTTTTGCAAATTACCCTGTGATATAGTCATTTACAGTACAGTCATACCTAAAAGTCTTAAACAGGGGGAAGGAAAATATACACTGTAGAAATCTGAGGATTCAAAAACTCGAATTCATATTCATTAAAAATGTTTGGATCATCAACTTACTTCAACATACGCCTTAATGTATTCAACATATCAATGAGCAAGATAATGATTTTCAACTGTATCAACATTAGAAAAAGACTTTTGATTAGTTTTCAAAATCCTTGTATTTTTTATGAGAAAATAACTTGTTTTCAGCAAAAAAAAATGAAAAATAGTAAATATCAAGACATTAAATATTGCACAGATGCCATTACTTAGCAGACCCCAATACCTACATAGAAAGCTCTTGCAATATGATTCTTGTTATAATATTTAAAATTTATTTTTATTTTATATTTCATATCAAGCAAAATTGTGAAGCTTCTAGACCTACATGGTGAATGATTACTGTGGCTGTAATAAAAAGCACTAGGAAGACATAAAATGTTATTCAAAACCCAAACAAGTATTCCCAAACTTTTTTTTCCTTATCTTATATAAATTTTTTTTTTAAAGAACATATTCTATATTTCATTGAAGTAAAATCTGTATAAACACAAGGATATCGAACTTCTAATTTCTACACAAAATTTTAACTTTCGAGTCTTTTCAACTTTTTGAAATGACTGAATATGTTGCCCTAAAATTAAATTTTTTAAATACATGTACAGTCCTTTATATATTCTGAAATCAATACTTGAAATAATCGCCTCTTCATGATAAATATAACATGTAATGTGAAATAGAAATTCATTATTCTTTTTAAAAAATAAATGGAAAATGGTCTTTAAAGCTTTGAACATGATCAGAAAAACTTCAAAATGTAAAACTGAGAACTGCCAAGATGTAAGTGGAACATCACAAAGAGATATATTACTTAGTGAAAATCATATTTTGTAGCTATGTTGTTACAGTCATTTCTTCTCTCTGTTATATTCAATTCTGGCTGACTGTTTGGTCCCAATATTGCTTCAAAATCAGTTCTTGGTAAACATACGTTTCACTGCTGCTTGCAGTTTCCCTTCACTTTGTCGTGTTTAGCATTACCGGTAGATGCCCTCTTCTGTTTATCTAAAGTCGACCTTTTCTGACCTTGAACAGGTTGCCATGGCGATATAACTGATCCTTCTTGTGAAAAGTTGTCATCTCTTGATACCCCAGTATCTGCAAAGGACCCATAGATAATGGCATCAGTGTTTGGGGGGAATGTTTCCATAAAACAAAGAAAGTGATTTCTGCTCCTATGGCTTTGTCAATAAGAAATGCATGTACATGTATTCAATTTCTGCTCCTGCTTTCTTTTTAGTGGAAAAGCAATAAATACAAATTTTAAAAAATCTAATAAATTATGAATTCAATATTTTTTTCTTTAAACTCCTATGTAGGAGGACTGCTTATTTGTGTGACTAGAATGACCCTTTATATCAGTTGAAGATTCACAACAATCGGTTATTTTTTCTGATGAATAAAGACACATAGAATGGATGAAAGTGATACAACAAGTTCAGTTAACAACTTTCAGTGTCTGGATAAGTGTGCATTGAACATTCAGAGATGAGAGAAGTCATGCATGCACCTCTACGTAAATCTATATGTTGGTGCTATCATATACATGTACATACTGTTATTATGGAACAAAAAAAATCTATCTACCTTCTATATAGGAATCTATTCTATAAACAGTTAGTAAAACCATATTAATTTTAAAAGAAATATTAGATTCAAACTTTTTATCTTGAGATTCTTATTTTTCTTAAAATTTTAATTTCTTGTTTTACATTCTTCTATGACAGATACTCCGAATTGTCATCTACATGTAAATAAATTCAACTGTGCCCCTTGTGTTAAATGTACCATTACAAACTAAACATAGTTCTTTTTTTTATGGCCAAGCTCTTTTAAAATTTTAACCATGATGCAAAATTAAAACATTTAAATACATAACAATAGTTGGATTATAAAATCATCTTACACAAAACAACAATTAAGTAGTAAATGCTAAGTTTGTTCACGTATTCATTCATTGAACCTTCATACCCCCAATAAATCCTCTCTGAAAGGCCATTTGATTCCACGTTCCTTTTGGTCGCCTAAGGCTTCCGCGGAGAGAGGGGTCCCATTCTAGTTCTGTTTCTGTGTCAAAGGTTAAACTGGTTAGTGCATTCACACCAAACTTCTCTCAGGTAATTAACAGCAGAAAAACAGACAAAGACACAAAGACAAATTTGTTTTGACTACAGGTCCACGACACCCGATGGAGTGTGCTGAATGAAACGGTACACAGAAATGATGTCACAATAAATCTACAGGAAATGTACAGTAAAAGTTTCATGCATTTACATGATCAAATTATTTCAAAAATTTAGACTGTATAAAATTTATGCCATGATTTTGATTTAGAAGAATGTTTAAGAGACAAATTGTAAGAAGGATTCCATGCTTATGTCAAAATATTGTTTTTCTTTTTCTTTATTCTTTAACTGTATTCAAATGGATTTCTTTGTGATCTATAAAGTTTTCGATTTCCTGTTACATCAATGAAGAAATAGCATCTTCAAATTCTTTTTTAACAGGTTGTAAAATAAAGGTAGATCTATACAAAGGCAAAAATTATTAAACTTTTGCCCCAAAAAATGTTTAATAGGTTTGAGAATATTCAAAGGAATTCTTCTATATGTTACTCTAAGACAAAGGTAGTGTGGAGAGCTCTGAGTGATTTGAGTGAATTCCAAGCCCAGACACAACAGACAAACATACGTTACCTCTGACGGGCAGGGAACTGGCCAGGGTTACTGGGACTTTAGCCTCCGTCTCATCTTGTTGGAATTCATGCGCTCGGCGATGGTAGGTAGGGTCAATGGCTGCTGCTATGTTGAACGGCATAGGGTTGCTGACTGCATAGTGATTTTCTTCTGGGGGTCGCGACGAGACCCTCGACTGTTGTGGTGGTGGTCTGAGCGATAAAAAAAAAAAAAATCAAAATATCACCCAGCTTACGTTTACTGATTTTTTATCGAAATGACTTGGTATTAATCATCAATACCAAAGGCTTGTTTAAATTAATCTACCTGTAAGGTATTTCCTCATCACTATGGTAACTACCAGGTGGGGAGAGGGAGGGGACGTGGTCACTCAGGTCGGACCTGTTGGAGTGTATCCTCCCTCGGGGTGGGGGACCCTGAGATTCCATCACCGAGTTCTCCAGCCATCTCTCTACGTTCTGGACACTACTGGCCGAGCTATCGCCTCGAGAGGGCAGTCTTTGGTCCATTCTCGGAGCTCTTTGGGAAATGTTAGATCTTTGGGAGGAATTGTAAGCACCATGGGATTGGGAGGAATGTGCACTGGAATTGTGATTTTCTGGACTTCTCTGACTTCCCGAGTTATCCGCTGGTCCATTGTTCAGGGACTGAAGGAAACTGTCTCTCCGAAGCCTGTGGTGGTCATGTGACCTTTGAACTGGAATATCTGACCTTTGACCTGGTAAATCAGGAAGTGGTCGTGTTGCTGGGTTTGTAACCTGCTAAATTAAGAAGAAAAATTGGATACAGATCTATTGCATTTTGTCTGTATCAGTACTGCATACCAATAGGGCTAGATGGAAAGTACAGTTTGTAGCCAATATCAAAATAATACCTGTTGTTTGTTTTTTTCTTCCTGTTCTTTTTTCTTTTTCTGTTTGGCTTTCTTTAGTTTAATTTTTTCCTGTTCTTGAATGATCTTAGCAAGTCTTTCATCTTGTTCTTCTATCTCTCTTAGTTTATTGCGATCCACTTCAGCTTTACTTCGCTACAAAGACAAAAATGTATGCAAAATTTAACACTTAATATAAATCTAGTTAGTAAATACATGTACATGTAAAATGTTAGAATCATCATCCAGCGATTTAAAGAAAAGACTTATGGGCAACTATGCTTGCTTGAGTCAACATTCTTATAATGATATGTTGATACATGTAATTCATTCAACTTACAATTCATGATTCAAGCACTTTTGATTTTATATTGAGGACTTAACTAATCTTTAAAATCCAAGTTTTCTTTTCAGTCAGAAGAGCTCAATTGAGCTTCTGGCATATGTGAGCTTAAAATGATAGACCTGCAGCCCTACAAACCTTAACACAGTCCAAGGATTTTTCATTTGAAACTTTTCAAGAAGCAACACTTGAATTACATGAAAAGACAAATGAATATAAACATTTTTTCCCTACCTTGTGTTCCTGCTCTTGTAATAATCGAGCCAATTCCTGAAAGTAATAAGTACATAATAATAGGTGCTTTAAATTCAATGTCTTTTTTAAAAATTCTTGAATATACCTGTAATACTGTACACGTACATAATGGGGTATTCAAAATTAAGTGCAATCACTGGGTATAAAGTACATGTATTTGGCATATTCATGAATTAGCGCTACACACTTCTATGCCATATATTGTATTCATATATGATTTCTTGGCTGTATTCATTAATTAATTATCCGAAATGTTGGAGAATACTCTCCTGTACATACCTCATCAGCTGTTTCCTGTATAAATCTTCTCTGGTTCTCGTCCACATGTTCTGGTAGATGGGGATAAAAGTCAGAAAAATCACCGTCATCTTCAATCCTTCCTGTATGTGTCACTCTGTGGAAAATAAGGTTTACAGAATTATCTTCTCAAAAATAAACCATGTAAATCTCTAATAAATTAGTTGTATACAGTGATAACAATATGTTGTTTACTGTACATCACAAACTTTTTGAAACACCTTATTTTCATGAGAAAGATTTTGGGCTTTGAGAGCAAGTCAAAATTTTCATGAATTCTGAACAATGTTTTAAACTACATGTATAATCTTTAATAATAATATATATGAACAAACTAGAATCTAAATACTTGAAAAGAAGATTTTAAAAGGTTTCCATATATATCTATGTAAAACTTGTCGGCCAAACTCATGATTTGAAACACACTACCTGAAATTACACAAAAATAAAGTTCTCTTGAATTAAAAGTGATTTACGTATGTAAAACCAGTTGGCCAATATTGGACTTTGTCTGGGTAATGAACACTTAATAGAGGTTCAAGCTACATGAACTTCCCTTCTCAAATAAACCTACAAATGACAAACCAATTTTTGCAATAAGATTTGTTCTGTCTTATTGGTAAGGTCATTTTCTGTTAAAAATTATACAAGTCAAATACTCTTCAGTTGATTAATATCTTCAAAATTTGAACTATTCATTATAATCATGATTCATTACTATCACATGCAAAACAGTCTTTTCCATCCTAATTTTAGTTGTAACAATGTCAACAACAACTTAATCAGATCAATGCGGAATGTACGTTTCCTTATTTTTGCACTTTGTTAAAGTGACACATCAAAAAAATAGACAAGGAAGAAAAAGGCCTATTTGACACAATGACCACCTATAAATCAATCTATTGAAGGAAAATGCCTACTTTGATCTAACCTTCGTTATAAAAACCATAATTTCAACTTATGCTATGCAATGTTGCTTGTGTATTTTTGCATGAACATTATAGCCTTATGCTATTTTATTTGTTTCAATACCTTTTTAGATATTAAATACTAGTGTCTATATTCATATTTTTTTCTTTTGATGTTAAACATCAATGGAAAATTTTTAATTCCGTATAAGCAGAATTTTTAGCGAGGATTTAATTTTGGCATTATTAGCTAGGGTGCTGAGATCGCTAAAATTGAATATCACAAAAAATTAATTGTGTCTTCTTTGTAATAGCTTCTTTAGTGAGCATTTTATAATCGCTAATATTACATTTCGCTAAAAATAAAATACCAGTTTTTAAGGACAAATCGCTAAATTTGCGTCTCGCTAAAATTACCACCTTTACGGTAATTTTTTATCCAATACAAAGGTTTTTTGTGACTTTTTCTACCTTAGACCCCCCTTTCCACTTTAAATGAAGACAATACCCTTTATTTTTACTTTTAACATAGATTGTGGCAAGTACAAGTATGCTAGAAATTGTTCTGATATTGTTTGACAAATCTTAAACTGAGAAGAAAATTACAGCAAGTGCTTAGACAAACCTAGATAAAAAAATAAAACCCTTGTGCCTCTGGCTTTGTTAACATATGTTGAATATAAAATAGAGCAATATCCATATTCTTATCATTTCCAATATACCTGAACTATATTTGAAATCATGTCATCATAATGCAGAAAGCTCTTGAAATAAGAAGATAATGAAACAAGACCAAATAATATGTTAGTAAATTCTCTAACCACTGTGACTGTTTACATTGACATCAACTTGTTAAAAAATAAATTTAAGCTAGATTTCAGAAACATACAAGTAAAATTCCAAATAAAATATCATACTACTGGTAACAATTACATACATACAATCAAATTATACAAATAAAATACAGATATCTATAGAGATATACATTATGGCATGCATATGTCACAAGAAATCAGTCTTAGAACTGTCAAATTTAGTGCAAGTCTTAAATTGTTCAATGGCAATAGCAATGTTCTAACCGAGCTGTAAGTTCTAAGACTGGGAAACTCCAAGTACAGACTAACAGATTGTAGCAAAACTTCCACACTTCTTTTTAATTGTTACCTTATTTTTCCAGTTCTATTCAAAATGTACATTATATGACACATTTGTTTTTATTTCTGAAATAAAAGTGCAATCTATCAAAAGTTTCCTGTTTTTTTGTCAATTATGCATGAAATACATGAAACAGACCCAATGGTCCACAATGCTCACTAAGTCATGATGATATAATTTTATATGTTTTAACCTGGCCCCAGTGACCATTTCAGCAGCACAACTCAATTAACATATTTATAAAGGAAAATTTATACAGAATGAGTTGATTAATCATAATGTTCTTGTTTCTAAGATGATATGAGACTTCCCCTATTTTCATATGTGTGTAATAAATTTGGGGGAAAGAAGGGTAATATGAAACTGTATCCAACCCAATGAAACTCTTAGAAATAAGATTGATTGATTGATTGTATATTGTTTAACGTCCCTCTTGAGAATTTTTCACTCATATGAAAAGAAGATTTTAAAAGGTTTCATATATCTGATGCCGGTGAAGGGCTTCAAATTTTTAAAGATTTTTTCCTATATATTCCTATGTAAAACTTGGCACTTGGCCCCACCCTAGCCCCGAGGGCCATTGAGCAAATTGAGGATGATTCCACATGAGTTTCATCTTTCCTGGCCCAGTGGTTCTGGAGAAGAAGATTTTTTAAAGATTTTTCTATATATTCCTATGTAAAACTTGGGTCGGCCATTTTGGCCCCACCCTTGGGACCTACGTTTTTAAGGTCATATTTTTCCGTAAAACTTGGGTAGACCCGTGACTTTCAAACTTCTAGTGCCGAGCGCTTGGCCCAGTGGTTCTTGAAGGAAAAGATTTTTCCTATATATTCCTACCTTTGTTTACGTCTTAGGTATGACCACATGAGTTTCACCTTTCCTGGCCCAGTGGTTCTTGAGAAGAAGATTTTTTAAAAATGCCATTAATTTTTCTCTAATTCATAATTATCTCCCCTTGGAAAAGGGCCCCTTCCAAACTGATCCCCTTCACATAAGAAGTGCCAAGTTTGGTTAAAATTGCTCCTTAGAAATAAGACAATTTTGCCATAGTTATAAAAACAATAGAAGACAAGAGATATTTGTAAAACACTTATGCCCCCTCCCCCAAATAATTAGAATTTTTTTTAAGTCCAAGGGGCATAACTCGGTCTAAAATAGCTCAATCTAAGCCAAAACAGAACTTGACCTACATATATTTATGATAAATCTGTATACCAAATTTCATTTTAATTTGTGCACCTTCTGCAAAGAAAATGAACAGAAACTGCAAATAATTGGAATTTTTCTAAGTCCAAGGGGCATAACTTGGTCAAAAATGGCTTGATTGTATCCAAAACAGAACTTACATGTAATTGACCTGGATATTCTTATGATAAATCTGTATATCAATTTCATTTCAATATGTCCAACCAATACGAAGAAAATGAACGGAAACAGATGGTGGATTGAGAGACAGACTGCATCAAAGCAATATCACTCCCTTCTTCGAAGAGGGGGGGAATAAAAAGGCTTTTTTTCTGAATTCAGTTGAACTTTGGTATCGGAAATACCAATATCGTAAATACCATGGATATGTCCAAAAAACTTAAGTTTTGTTCAGATAGGTGTGCAGAGTGAAGACCATAAATTTTGATCAGAATAGTCCACTTGAATCTCTTGCTTGGGTAAGCTCAAATGAACCCCATCAAGATATAAGACAAAGAGATACTGTTTGATAAAATGAAGCAAGACCACAGTAGTTATGAGAAGACACAGAGTGACAGTGTAACTGCTTCATATCAATATGTAAACATTTGATAGTAACTAATGTAAGATTTGTAGTTCCTCGCAAAATTCTTTAGGACACTAACAAAACTATTTGTCTAGGTTTGATTCAAAAAGAATGTTGGTATAATTTTGAGTATGATTTTGACTGTACCTAGGATGTTCGTAGTTTTGACTTTGCCTGAGTTTGATTTACCAAGAAAGTTGGTACATTATAATTTTGAGTTTATTTACCTAAAATGTTGGTGTTTTTTGAGTTTGTCTGAGTTTGATTTACCTAGAAAGTTAGAAGTTTTTCTAGTTTGTATGAGTTTGATTTACATAAAATTTTGTATAATTTTGAGTATGATTTACCTAGAATGTTGGTAGTGCTGAGATTGTTCAATGTTGATAGTTTTTAATTTGTCTGAGTTTGATTTACCTAGAATGTTGGTAGTTTTGAGTTTGACTGAGTTTGATTTTCCTAGAATGTTGGTATTTTTTTTAATTGTCTGAGTTTGATTTACCTAGAATGTTGGTAGTTCTGAGTTTGTCTGTCCACTGCTCCATTATTCAGCCTGACTTCTCTCATAGCTTCATTAGCACCCACCACATCTGTAATGTACAGTATCATTTAATGGATTAAGTGACTACTTCATCTGAGAATTAAATACATTTCAATATCTTTCTTAAGTTAACAAGGTGAATCTATTAAGAAAGTGAATCTATTGAGCTCTGACAAGGCAAGAGTCAACCTATTTAGCTTACCAAATGGAGAATGAATCTGAATTAAATAATTTCAATGTTTCTTAAGTTTACACAAGGGGTTATTGAATCTACTGAGCTCAGGAAAATGGAAGTAAATCTTTTTAAGTCAATTCAGAGAGGGTGAATTCACACAAACATGGAGGAGGAAGCAATTTATTTCAAATGAGGGTGAATCAAGCCAATCAAGACTAGGTCAGGGAATGTTACATTGAAAATAAAGCATGGCTACTGAGCCTAAGGTTAGACTGAATGCAAGGAGCCTAAGGTTAGACTGGATGCTAAGGAGCCTAAGGTTAGACTGGATGCTAAGGAGCCTAAGGTTAGACTTGATGCTAAGGAGCCTAAGGTTAGACTGAATGCTAAGGAGCCTAAGGTTAGACTGGATGCTAAGGAGCCTAAGGTAAGACTGGATGCTAAGGAGCCTAAGGTTAGACTGGATGCTAAGGAGCCTAAGGTAAGACTGGATGCTAAGAAGCCTAAGGTTAGACTGGATGCCAAGGAGCCTAAGGTTAATATAAGGAGCCTAAGGTAGCTCAGAAGAAGGTTAATGGAAGCCTAAGGTAAATATTTTTAAGGTTAGAAGCCTTCAGAAAGGGTGAATTTACACAAACATGGCTAGGAGCCAAAGAAGAAGCCTAAGGTTTATTTAGACTTGATGCTAAGGAGCCTAAGGTTAGACTTGATGCTAAGAAGCCTAAGGTTAGACTGGATGCTAAGTAGCCTAAGGTTAGACTGGATGCTAAGGAGCCTAAGGTAAGACTGGATGCTAAGAAGCCTAAGGTAAGACTGGATGCTAAGGAGCCTAAGGTAAGACTGGATGCTAAGGAGCCTAAGGTAAGACTGGATGCTAAGGAGCCTAAGGTAAGACTGGATGCTAAGAAGCCTAAGGTTAGACTGGATGCTAAGAAGCCTAAGGTAAGACTGGATGCTAAGAAGCCTAAGGTTAGACTGGATGCTAAGGAGCCTAAGGTAAGACTGGATGCTAAGAAGCCTAAGGTAAGACTGGATGCTAAGGAGCCTAAGGTAAGACTGGATGCTAAGGAGCCTAAGGTAAGACTGGATGCTAAGGAGCCTAAGGTAAGACTAGCTACTGGATGCTAAGGAGCCTAAGATTAGTGGATGCTAAGAAGCCTAAGGTTAGACTAAGGTTAGGATGCTAAGGAGCCTAAGGTAAGAGACTGGATGCTAAGAAGCCTAAGGTTAGACTGGATGCTAAGGAGCCTAAGATTAGACTGGATGCTAAGAAGCCTAAGGTTAGACTGGATGCCAAGGAGCCTAAGGTTAGACTTGATGCTAAGGAGCCTAAGGTAAGACTGGATGCTAAGAAGCCTAAGGTTAGACTGGATGCTAAGGAGTCTAAGGTTAGACTGGATGCTAAGGAGCCTAAGGTTAGACTGGATGCTAAGGAGCCTAAGGTTAGACTGGATGCTAAGGAGCCTAAGGTTAGACTGGATGCTAAGGAGCCTAAGGTTAGACTGGATGCTAAGGAGCCAAAGGTAAGACTGGATGCTAAGAAGCCTAAGGTTAGACTGGATGCTAAGAAGCCTAAGGTAAGACTGGATGCTAAGGAGCCTAAGGTTAGACTTGATGCTAAGAAGCCTAAGGTTAGACTGGATGCTAAGGAGCCTAAGGTTAGACTGGATGCTAAGGAGCCTAAGGTTAGACTGGATCGTCTGTGTATGTACCTGGGGGTAGGGACCTGGCCACCAGCCCCGCGACCTCTGAACTGTGCTGAAGCTGCTGCTCCAAGATCTCCCTCTCCCTCTTCAGTTCCTTAATCCTCTTCTTTTCCATGTATTTCTCATACCTTTGTTGTTCTTTTTCAAAAGCTTTTCTTGCCATTTCCTACAAAAGCGTAAATCTCTCATTGTCTGTTAACTGCTTTGGTCTATTTAAAAGGCACATTTGATAAAATGTTCATCTGAGCATATTTTAGCAATATTTTTGAAACCTACTTAACAAATACATATAGACACTTTTCTCTAGTGCATGAATCTATTCTTAATGCTTAATTATCAGTTGAGGAGGAAGATTTTTACACTTCTAAATTAACAGCCCTGTATTCTGTGAAAAGAAAATCATCACTGAGATATACACTGAGTCTATAGTGATCAACTAGCTTGAAAATATCCACTGTAGCCTTGACCTATATAAATTGAATTTTGATGAACTTTTGACATTTAACCTCATCCTGTTGTTCCCTCTGCCTCTTCTGAGCTGCCTCCTCCCCCATCAGATCTTGTTCTATTCTTCTGGCTATTTCTGCATCTTCTTCAGCTCTGTTCAAGCATATTTTTTATGGTGAATTGAATAATGCAAAGATTTTGCAGTTTAACATTATATAATTATTTTGGTTCCAATAATGCAAAGATTTTGCAGTTTAATATTATATAATTATTTTGGTTCCAATAAATATATGTAAGAGAATATTAAGGTGCAAATGTATAGAAGCTTAAAATTGAGGGCATATGGCATGCATTATATTGTATCTGTTTTGACTTGACTTTTTTTCTGCACATTTTTCCCCTATGAATGAATAACTTCTGCTGTTCTTATCATGCTTAAAGGTAAATTGCACCTTAAGTAAATATACCTACACAGGAAATATTTCGGGGAGATTTTTTAAAAAAATTTCCCTGTAATAGGTTCTCTTATTTAAAAAGTTACTCACTGCATATTCAGGGCCTGTAACTCCTGGTAGCGTTGCTCTTGTTGTCTACATTCCTCCTCCGTCTGTACCACACGGGCCACGGGAATATCCTCCCGCACGGTTCTCCTGTTGAATCTATTCAGGCCATAGTGTCTCTCAACTTAAACAATAACCAATATAAAGATAATAACAGCATTTAAAACTTAAACAATAACCATAAACATAAACATAATAACAGCACTTAGAGGAACTGTAAATATAATATTACAATAATGGCACTTAGTATACATGTTTAGTCATCATCGTTTATATGGGAGTGAATCATAATGCTGTTAATTCTCTTCAGACTCTTTAGATTATAGAGATAGTGTTCTGTTTCTTACTTTCTCACACTTAATGACTTTCATAAAAATGAATTGAAGTTCATACGAAAAAAATGAACTAAATAATGAGTCATATCTGCATGTACAAGAGTAAAATACGTACTTATATATTTCTCTCTTATAATTCAGCTGTTTTATCTATTCCATCATCTTAGTACATAAATAGAAGCTTCTTCTTTATAAAATTGCAATATAATGGCCAAATGATTACATGAACTTTAATTCACCCCTATACCAGAACAGGTAACATATCAGATCGAATGATACCATGTAATGAAGTGCTAAATGAGAATGAGCATTTTCCAATATATTATCCAGATACAATTTACATGCATGCCAGGCATATACATACATGTAAATATTGTTTTATTATACTTTTACACTATCAGTACAACATTCTAAGGGCTCAATAGTAAAATTGGAGATATACAAGATTCCTCCTGGGTATGCATAAACTATTACAACAGATGTTATATATTACAATAATGATCACAAACTATTATATTGTTAGATTTGTTATGTATTACAATAATGACCGTGTCCACGATAAAACGTGAAAAGATAAGGTCAGAAGTAGGAACTGTTGTAACCGATTCTTTATGACTCACATTCTTCATTCTGTTCCTGGTACGCCATCGCTCCATCCTCGTGAACCATGAATTCTTGGCGAACTATAAAAATATAACCATAAATATAATCATGATAATATATAATAAAGATTCAAACTTCAAAATTTCCAAACTACGAGATATGTATAACACAATACAAATACATAAAATAAATAATAAACTAGAAAACTGACCAGTCAGCAAGGGCCCCGCCATGGGATAGAATTATAAGGGTGCAGCTTATGGAATGATTAAAAAATTTACGAAGAATAAGCAACAGCAACTGTATTCTTAAAATTTCAAGATAATTCCTGAATATTCAAAAACCTGTAAATAATATCCTTGTATTTACATTACGCAGTAAAGAACAACTTAACATTGAATGTATATTTAAACAATAATGAAGCTTATCTGCCAGCCTTCAATGAATGCAAATATCATGAAGGCTTGACCTTAACTTCAAACATACAGCAGTTGCAGACAAAGATTTTCATTAATCTTAAAGTGACAGATAAAGAAAAGCCTACTAAATTTTCTGCAGCAGGCTAGATAATTAATCCCAAGGGATTAATTGTACCTCTCTCAATTTTCTTCTAAAGTTACAATAAGAACTTTTTCAGTATGATAGAATGGGGTTTTTATACAACTAAAAAATTAATACATGTATTCTTGAATTTACATAAAAGGAAAAAAGTAAAATAAAAAAAATATTTTTTTTATTGAAATAAAAAACATATCTTCTTTTTATCTATTTCTTGTTTTTAAGAATTCAATGAAATCATAACTATTTTAACAAAAATAAAGTATAAACATTTATATTTACATCCACATTTCAGAGTGTTCAAGCATTCCAAATAGACTAACTTCAAAACAAACTTCACTTGCAGACAGAAGTGGTAATTAATCTCAATGTGACAGATAAAGATAATGCTCTGGATTTTCTTCAGGAGGAAAGCTAATTAATCCCAAAAAGAGCATTCAGTTTACAATGGGAACAGCTTCAGCAGTTATCTCTCTTTGCCAATGCATTCTTATATAAAGTTAAGGAATCTACCCCACCACCCCAGCTCCAAACCAGGGGACACAGAGAAACAAACTTAGCATCAAAATATGTCTTTCTGCTTATTGAACTACCATACCAAATTTGATCTTAATTGGGCAACCACAAAAAAAGTTATTAGGAAAAAACAGAAAATTTGTGGACGGAAGAAAGACACAGACAGAGTGATTACTATAGTCCTTGCGGGGCCCTAATAAATATATGTATTTTTTTAATTCTCTTTAAGTCTTTTTGAAAGACAAGCAGTACATGTATTGTGAGATTTTTAATTTTAATTTTACTGGGCATGAATTCATGATACACATGCATATTAATATGTAACAAATCCTGAAATTATGTGATAATTACACACTAGTAAACACGAAAATTTTTTAAATTGTGAACCTCATCTATGTAGTTATACATGTATACATCTAAATATACAGCTCACATTCTAACATGACAAAAACTTACTTAAATACAGGCATTTTCAGTGTATTATAGTTTATGTATTCTAAATTTTTTTTGATTAAACTTGACAAACAAAGTAGAATTCAAAATTTCACAACAGATTCCTCTAATCTCTAGTTAGTTGCTATACATGCTATACCTACGGGCCTATATGTGAGCACTATTAACAAATCAGTGTCAAACTGCCAAATTACACCTTCCTTAAAAATGACACACCCAGGGATACCAACTCAGCTCCTTCCCTAGTTAGCAGGTCTTACAATTGTCATGGTATGGTCATGGCAACAAATGAAGCAGGAAATTAGAAAGTGTAATGGACTTGACCAGGATTTGAACCCAAATCCCCAGTACTCTAGACAAGTGCTCTACCACTGAAATATCTACCCACCAGCCAATAAACCTGCCTGACTTAACATTATTACATGAATACTTGTTCTAAATTTAGTAACTTTGCAATAGTTGTTCTGGAGAAGAATTTATTACTCTAATGTTCAGTGAGTACCAAATCAGACGAAATCAAGATAAACATCATGTTTTAAATTATACATGTACTAGGAGTTGGTTGCTTAGGGGAAAAAATGCTCAGAAAAGCTAAAACACTTCCATGACTATACATGAAACAAATTGTTTCTGATCATAACAAAGTTTAAAAAGAAAGTATGAGAGAAATTTTTGTACCTTCAAAACAATTGTTAGTTTGATACCCGGGATATAACTTTAAAATATTATATTCTTGATAACGTCTTGCTATAGTAAATGATATAATTTTGTAGGAATATGTTTTTGTGAGACAATTGCATAATGCATGTACAGTTAAACTCTATTTTCTTGAATTTTGATGCCTTGAATACCAAAAATATATTGTTGTGAGGTTAAATTCCCAACTACCTTTATGTTTTAAACCTTTTTATCTTGAATTCTACGATATCCCAATTTTTTCTTGGTGCCAAGGTCTTTTCGAATTTCAGATAATGAGATTTAACTGTACTTATTAGCAGAGCATAATATAGTAACTCTATCGTCCTCAAGTTAGAGTGCATTTCTATTATTCTTTTTCTATGAGAAATGAAGCAAACAATATATCTTTGACTATATTTAAAGCACCACTGAAGTCTACTGTATATTAAATATAATGTTGTCCAATATATATTATAATGTTTAATATTACTTTTTGTGTGATTTTATGCTTTAAGGGAAAGTGTAATCTGTGTATAAAAGATTTCCAAGCCGAGTTTGGCCCACTCAGATGATGGACATTTCTCTAAACATTAATAGTAGGATAATAGATTGAATCACAAAGAGAATTAAATGATGTCACAAATATTGTTTCTAGCTGATCCCACACTCCATAATTTACACTTGTAGTAACATTTGTTTAAATACTATAGGTATGTTTAAAATATGGTCAACTGAACAGCAAGTACTAAGGTTTCCAACATTTATAAATGTTATAATCCACTTGTGATGACAGTCTTTTGAATGAGGCTCCATTTTTTCAGGAATGAAGATAATTAAGCTACCAATTCATTTGGAAAACATACTTTTATATATTATGTGCAAGGTCACACTTCCATACCCACCTCTTGTTGGTAAAAAGCTTGTTAGAATTTAGTAAATATTATCAAGCTAATTACATTTTAATGAGAATCTAGATATTAAACCCAGTACCCTTTACATGTGAGTCGGGTGCTCTCCACACTGTACTATGCAGTCTGACGTTGTCGAAATGGGATTTAACTTCACATTTTCTTTGCAGTACTAGAACTTACAAACATTAATTGTTTAAATGTTTATGCAATTCATACTTTATAAAAGGTGTCTTCATCATAAAAAGACAAATTAACAAAAATTATGAAAATTTATAAACAGGGGATTTTAAATGGGTCTATATCCTCATAACTCTTAATTCCTTGAAAGCAATCAGCATCAGCACAAAGCGGTATATGGACACTAACCCATATATAATAAAGAGGCATTTGTGAACTTTAAATCTTTGATTCTTTGATCCTTTGAATTTTGCCCCCTTTCAGTGCAAATACTGCCCTAATGTAAAATGTAAAGCCTGAATGTCACTATTTCACTCAGAGAAGGAAATATAAATACAGCAATATACAATGTACTATTAATATTTTTTATTGTCAAGGTTAGCAACACAAAACTATATGTAAATACCAGCTTATTCAAATGTTGACAGCTGTATTGTGTTTTATTATATAGAATATCTACAAAATGATATTGTCCTAGATGGTGAGGGCTTGTCCTGAGACACAGTTAGATTATTGTAACATAAGTATATAGTATTGTATGTCTGTATTGAAATACTTATTGCTATTTGGCTTGCAATATAATAGCATATAGGACTATTTCTTTCCACATAATAAAATGCAGTATATTTTCTCATGAACTACATTAGGTAAGTATGTAAGCATGAATATCTACAATATAGGCTACATGTGCACCCTGTTTTGTTTTAAAAATGACAGTTGAACGGCGTAGGCAAGTCATCATAATATATAATAAACATTTTACTTCTAAACATTTTACTTCTACCTACACTCGTAAATTTGTACATCTTGCTAAAAATCTTTGTTGGGTACTATAAATCTATATCACATGGTGCACAAAGCAAAACTAAAGAAATTGCATAAATAAATTGAGGGAAATTAAAATTATTCATTTTCTTGGCATGAATATTGTTGTCCAACTTTCATCTCACCTTTTCACTGCAGGCCAAATGTGACTCAGAATAAACAGGTAAACAACGTTCCTGAATCTCCCACCCTTGTGTTAACAGGGCATTTGAAGTATCAATTAATTAGTAGCCACTTATAAAAATAAACAATTTATCTAATGTTATAGGAAAAGTACCCCTTCTTACAGGACAATATGTTAAATAATCATGTAAGACCAACTGCATTACATGTATTACAATTGTTCTTCAAGAGCGACGGTCTTCTTTCTCATATCTTAAAAAAATCAATTTTTTAGCACTTTCAAATTATTAATTTTTTTTAAAGTTTACGACCCAAGTAACGATTATACCTAATCATGTTAAATTGTTAATTAACATTATTAAATTAATATGCCAGAAGCCCTACTGTACCTTTTGCCACTTTTCCCCTCTGAGGCATTGTCCCTCTGTCTTGACGATCCGAATCCGACATGTTTCCAGAATACATCATGCAGACAAAATAATTTCACATCAGTTCGCATTCTCTGTCATCATTAATGTACTTAACATAAGTGGAAGTTTCCTTACGTCTATTTCTGGTAACTTTCATTCACAAACCGGAAATCTACGAAACTCAACCGGATGTTCTAAAATGGTTTAACTATTTACCGGAAAATACGCATTTTATTGGGGAAAATGGGTTGATCCCCCTTTTTTTAAAATTAATTATGCATTTGTTTACATAAATATAAGTAAACATAGCTTCATTTCGTATTGTTACGAATAATGATATAATTAAATATTATCTTGTTTACCAACAATATCTTTGTCCATTTATCAGTAATCAGGTTATTGTGTCATCATCTAAAAATAAATTCTCCATCCAAATCGTACTTTCAAAAAAATCCCTCAGTGCTAATAAAGGACACTATTATGAGTGATTTAATGAATTCTTCATGCAGTATACCAAAGTCATTCTCTTTAATATGATAATCTTGTCAGGCTGAAAGAATCCAAAATGTTATTTTTTCCAAATGTTTGAAAAGACCAGTCATTTTTTTTTAGATTTCATATAAATATCATCCTCACAACGTCAGGGGTCAGTCATTTCTTAGATTTCGTGTTGAATAAATTGTGAGGATGTATAAATATATATAGAATCTAATTGATTAATACAACTGTACATTTTTAATTTTATACCCATTTTTTACATATTCATCAAGATTAGTACAACTGTAAAACGCGGAACAAAACGGAACGGAAAGCGGAACGGAACGGAAAACCGAATGTATTATTTTGGATTAAATCACTTAAAATACACAGATGTTATAATAAATTATCTATTTTGTACATATTCAACCCCCCATTATTAAAACAAGTTGATTTTGTTATGCTAAGTCTCTTATTTACGAAAATCGCTAACATAGCAGTCACCTAGAATCGAATTTGAAAAGGGGGGATAAACGAACTTGAAAAGTATTTGATAAGCAAAAACAAAAAAAAAGGGGGGGATAAAACACAAAAAGAAAACAATTGTTTGATTCGGGTTGGGGGGATAAGTTCCAATTCCAACATCTTTCAGTACTATTTTTTTTTACAAACTTTAATACTACCAGGGACCAATATACTAACTTAGTATACATGTAGGTCCCTGATACTACATTAATTACATTCACAAAAAGTGTGAGGATGTCAACTTGACCGAACATTTCCGCATAGGTTTTGAAAATATTTCCTAAATGAAATGGAAAGAGAAATAAAATGAAAAAAAAAATTATTAAGATTACGTTTAGGGCAAACCTGGATATAAACATCTCTTATACACACTGGTTATTAAAATTTTATTCAAAATAGAGTCGCTTTCTATATATCTAAATTCTGGAAAAACTTTCATAGATTTAATACAGAATCTTTGCATTCAATGAAAATAAATTTTGTTTGTTTGCGGTACATATGTGTGTATTTTTTATTTATGTATATGTGACTCGTAAAAAAATGTTTTTATCCTGAGAAGTTGTAATTATGCTTTTGCAAAATATATATAAGATTTGATAAACCATTTTTTATTGTGGCTATGTGCTACACAGACCCGGAACTGCCACTCCCCTTTCATGATTCGCGAATTCGACACTGCGTGCATAATATGAATATCATAACCAATTTTTACAGACATTGACACTGGAAACAAAATGAAAGGGGGGATGGGATCAGTAAAAAATTTCCAACATACAACAAATTTGATAAGCCAAAATAAGGGGCATACTCGCTTCTCATGATATCGCGGGTTACACTGTATCGCGGTTTATTCCAAAAATTCAGATACATATATAGTTCATATCCTTTCTGTTAAAATGCTATCTGTTTGTCGTGCGGATGAAAACTTTTGTTATGGTAAAAAAGTATGGAACATGCGTCGGTAAATTTTTTATATTCAAATATAACGTAATTTTTTAGATTTCCATTCCCTTTTTTATTATATTAAGATTGCTGATTTCATAACCTGGTAAAAGCCATAATAAAGTTCATGGTTTGAAAATCTATAATTTGTATAATTGTTTAATTTTCATATAGAATTACATCGTTCATATGAAAATAAAATTTGAAGTCTACGTAAGCCACAGGTTTCCATGTTTTCCTATACACAAGAGTGCCCAATTTAGCTTCCCGTTTTAAAAATAGACAACAAATTAAATATTGCAAATTTGAGAAATAATTTGACATTAAAAAGTTAGACCATAGATTGGTTTATAGAAAGTACTTGATGAAAGTTAAAGTAAACAAACTGGAATAACACTTATGCAAAAGGATTAAAGATTTTCCCATATATTCCTTTGCCCAAACACGAAAATCCTATTTCGTGTGTGTGTGTGTTGGGGGGGGGGGTCGAATTTCTTTCAGTACCATTTTTTTCACGGAGGGTGTGTATGACTCATGAATATATAATAGTTTACAATAAATTTTTATCAGAAATGATTTTTACAACAAGAATATTGCTCTTTTATGTGATTCATATCGAATCTATGTTATTCGTTTGACAAAAATTTTCCGTTTTCCGTTCCGTTTTCCGTTCCGCGTTTTAGCAACACCCAGTCAAACCTCACTATCTCAAACCCAATGGAACTGAGAAAAGATCGATACATTCAGGATATGGAAGTTCTACACTACAACATTCAAATCCCAGGATGCAGCCTAATTCCACACAAGATTTTTTTTCCCAATCATACTATAATGTAAGCCCAAGAACCAACTAAAAGTTTTTGTCTTCAAAATCAATAATTTCCAGGGAAAGCTAGGAAATGTCAAAAGAAATGCAAATTTGAAATATAAAAGTCTTAGCTAGCCCCAGCTATTCAAAAGTTATGACGATGCATGGTTAAAATTTTCCAAAAAATAGGGAAAACTCAAAGGTCAAGGTCAAATTTTTTTATGTCTCCATCAAAAATATACCAGTACAGAATAAAAGTCTCCCCAAAAAATTTGACACACCCCCTTTGTGATATAGATTGGATGCTTTGTATGATTTGGACAATTTAGAATCCACACTACTTCAGGATGCTTACACAAAAGTTTCAGCATTTCTAGCTGGCCTAGTGGTTCAAAGAATTTTTAAAGATTTTCCCATATATTTCAATGTAAACTTGGATTCCCTATTATGGCCCTGCCCTACCCCAAAGTTAAATCAGACAGCAGATTTTTTAATGATACTACCCTATTTTTGTCTTTTCTTGATTTTCTCCCCATGCAAGGGGACTTGGCCCTTTATTTTCATAACTTAAACTCCCCTTCACACCCAAGGATACTTTGTATCAAATTTGGTTAAAATTGGCCTAGTGGTTCTTGAGAAAAAGTTGAAAATGTGAAAGGATAACAGATAGACAGCTAGACAGATGGACTGACAACCCAGATCAGATCATGAGCTAAAAAAAGATCCCACTCTAAGGTCAAGGTCAAAAATATTTTTACTCTAGGAAAGGTCTTGTCACAATAAATGCACAAGTGAAGTATGAAAGCCCTAGCACCAACTTTACAAGTTATGACCAGTTCTTATGCAAAATGGGTCAAACTCCAAGTGCTAGCTAGGTGAAGGTCAAGATTAACAAACAGATAAGCAGATGGACAGGACAGAGCAACAACTCCTAAATCCACAATTTAGAAGATAATCAGTAATATGGACATATATAACTAAATATATACTGCAAAACTTGCTGATTACATAGAGTTTAAGTAGAAATTTCCCTCAAGCAAATGCTAATCACATTTAATTATACTGTATATACATGTATGTGTAATGACATTGAATTTTTATCTCAGAATGCACATACTCTATTTTTTTTTAAGAGAAGCTCCACACCAGGAAGGATATACATGTACTAGAAAAAAATGCATTCAATATTAAATAACTATAGGCACATGTACATTGGAAGTACTGCTTTACATCATTATAATATGATGATCGTTCAATGTTTATCTTTTAAAGAACTGATAGAGGGAGACAACTTCATTCCCTCCATAGTCTTCTTTATAAATCTTTTTTTTAAGTTCGAGACTGAATCACAAGAAGAATCCGTTTTACAACACAGGAATTTTATTTACCTGAGACAAATATATCTTACATACAATGTACATTCAAAACCTGTGCACTTAATTTGATAGTTGTAAAACCCCATGGGCAAACAAAGGATTAAGGTTCTTAAGTGAATACATATTTCATTGCATTGCAGATCTTATATTCTTCAACTTTGGATGGGAAAAGTCACTTCATTTCTTTACAGTTTATATGTACATAGGGAACAGTATACACATGTAAATGTAACTATTTATGTATACCAAATTAGAATTTTTATCAATATTGTAAGCTTCTAAGGCAGAACAATAGCAACAAATAAGAGGCTATTATCAACAAATAAGAAGATATTATTGTATTAATAAATATCAAGTGAACAAATAAAACTCATACATACATACATGTAACACAAGTTACTGTAATAATATTGAAGGAAACAAAAGCAATTTATCTATACATAGAAAAAAAATCCCTTGCAGGTTCAAGAACTCAAGAAAAATATATTTGTACATTTACTTTGGAATTTATGAATTTCAGATTCTAAATAAAAAAGAGATATGTTTTCATAAATGCAACACAAGATTCTTATGGACAACAAATATTAAAACATAAAACCGTGGGTTCTTATTGTGCTGTAGAGACAATCATTCTCAAAATAAAGCACTATCTCAAGATATAATCACAGGTTTGCTTCTCAGCTGTTACTTTGTGTTATATTTAGTGAACCTTAGTATTTAAAAACATTATTTAACTTAGGTTCAACATCTCATTTTTTCATCTTCCTCATTTCAAAAAGAAAACAAAAGGAGTAAAAATAAAATTTCACACTTCTATTTTTATACATTGTACTATATTTGATTCTTCAAACAAATTTATCAAGACTTATACTACCACTGCATTCTGTATATATAGTGTTTTATTTTTCCTGGACATGAGAAGGGGTTTAGCCCTGTACTTGTAGCATGGTAGCTTGAGATGAATACAAATAGATACATATGTATAATAATTCTTTCAAGCATTTCTATACATTTGAGTCTATTAGCACTTACAGAATCTCTCACTCAAAATAACCAATAAAGTTGTGCACAATTAATTACAATGCTCCTTTCATATTTAATACGAATAGGTGCACTGGGTCAGATTTAGAAACATTGATCTCAATGCTATTTTCAAATATTAAAATTGTAGATTCATTCTATATACATTTTTTTAAGATAAATAAAATTCATATTCAGTTAATTTAAATCCATGGATACACAACAGTCTTTGGATATTGTTTACCAGCATAGGTTTGTATTTCACTTACTTACTTTTACTTGTACATTACTTAATTCAAATCTCATAAAAGTAGTAGTTTACATTTACATTTACAAAGCATTCGAAATAATTTTAGAAATCAGAACTTTCACACTATGAAAATGCCAACATATAGCTTGAATGAATTGCATATAAAAATGGTATTGAAACTCTGTATGAAATTAAACCAACAACTCTCCCAAAGTCTTCATGAGAAAGGAAATGATCACAGGGATGTAAAGAGTTTGATGAAATGCTGAAATAAAAAGATAATAAACACTATAATATGTAGCTACATGTATTATAGGATTAAACGTTCTTTTTTCAGAATTTATCGATGTGTAAGTACATTTCTAAAAAACTGAATAAAAGTGCGAAGCACTTTTATGTAAAGTTTGTGATAAATAGCTTTGAATACACATCGATAAAATTCTCAAAAAGCGTTTAATTCTTATAATTCCAATTACGAATTTTCTTAATTATTAAAATTATTTCTCTTTGAGGCCGCCATACAATCCGTTATTTTGTCCAGCGTAGGAATACTTTATGCCTCAAAGAAACGTATACAAGATGAATATAGATAAAATCCAACTTTATTTGTCAAAACAATCAATAATTAAACTTATAAAAACTCATTGAATGTTGTTTAAGTCAACAAATATCGTAAATACGCGTATTCTCCAAAATAATTCGTCCTTGACCAAATGCCATGTTGACGTCATGACGAAAGTTGAAGACCACGACGTCCTCGATTTGCTCTGAGGTTCGTTTAAAGATTTAGGGAGACACATGGGACTGTAGGATGTAAATATATGAATTTGATGCTGAAAAGGCAAGAGCCCGAGGTACGTTTCTTTTCCCTATCACATTACGATACCAACTGAGCTGATATGGAACGTCGAGAAAATGACAGCATGATCAGCGATTTCAAAAATTCACACTCGTGATCCGACAGTGACATAAACATAATATTCCCGTCTGTCAGTCCTGTTTATCTCTTTTTGATTCATTCATTTTTTATTATAAGTTTTTTGTAATCATAATTTAGCTAAAACGGACTAGAAGTATGTTTTCATTGTTTTTACAACAGTCAAGAAAGTAGTTCTGGTTGAAAAATTCATCGATATGTAAACTTTTCCTTGAATTTGTTCTCGCCCAATCAAAACACAAGGAATCGATAAATAAAATTAAGATTGGAATTATTAATATTTAAACAATTTTGTAGATTCAAAAAGTACATTTCTAAAAATTCTGATCAAAATACAGAAAGTTTAACTTCATATACATGTATAGCTTTGAATACAACTAAAATTCTCATTGTAGCCTACCTCTAAACTAGAGGCCCATGGGCCACAACACTTTTAAGTCACTAAACCCCGCCTTTTTTCATCAGCAGATTTCACCCCATATATTCCAATGTAAAACTTTGATTTCCCACTGTATGACTGCCTATGGCTTTGCTGTTCTTAAGAAGATACTTTTCCCCTAACTATTCCTATTTACCCCAGTTTATGCTGATCCCAAATTATGGCCACAACCTACTTTGAAAAAACACTCTACCCTCACAGACACAACTGAAACAAAATTGAATTCACTCATTAAATGAATCTTTCATATAATTTTCATCTTTTCTGACTCTACAACTCTTGAAAAGACTTTTTGCCAAGTTTGGTTAAAACTGGCCTAGGGCTTCTGGTGAGAATGAAAGTGTGAAAGACAGTGGACAAAGTTTGATCAGAATGACTCATTTGATCTTTGTTCCAGCTGAGCTAAAATGTTGTTTCACAAAATACCCAAGTGAGAGAAATGTTAAGCCATCTTTAAAAGATTATTTTGTCCCCTCCCAAAGGACTGGCTAAAAATTGCCTCACTCCAGAAAACCATTAATTTTAATTTATGCATTCAATTATATAAAATTTGAAAATTTAACATTGATCTTGGAATTGTCTGGGAAAAAAAAAATTCCCATCTACCTACCAATATTTTTATTCTGAGTTCAAACATTTTTAAACGTTAGCATTATCAAATGGTGATTAAAAATTTAATTCTGAATCAAAAGATTTTTCATTCTGTTTGCAAGCAATGCAAAAGATAAACTGCTGACTTTAATTTGCTTTTTCCAACTCTAGTTTCTATACAGTTTATATAAAAAATGTAGTAAAAATTTCCTTAAAGGGTGATTACTGTAATATGACTTCCTACATGTCCAGATGTGGCAAAAAGAACATGGCTTGAATTAGGGGTGGGACGATACAAGATTTTTAAAGATTTATCTCCTATATATTGGCACGATACTATACATATCTCGATATTTTGATAAATTATAAAACTATTTTAAAAAATTAGTATTTTATTTCATTTCTTGTCTTATCATTCAATCAACATGATAAATTATAAAACTATTCAAAAGAATAAGTATTTTATTTCATTTTTTGCCTTGACATAAATCAACAAATTATTTTATATAAAATCATGTGTGCTTTGAAATTAATACTTGGAAGTTCATCAATATCATTCACTAAAACTTTATAAAAACAATAATACATGTACATATTATTATTACAAATTCCTTTTATGAAGTTGTTTACAAATAGTTGAGTAGTTCATCAGAGAACACTGACTAAAATTCATTTAAAAACATCACATTTACATTTTTATTAATTGCTGAAAGTCTGTAGCAAAGCTGAGATTACAAAAAAAATATGAGATGGACTAACAATTAATAATATCAAATACTCTGGAAACGATGCTTTCTGTGTAGGCACGCATTACATACAACTTTTCTTGTCCAATCTTCCCAGTGGTTAAAAGTGAAAACATTTTACCCCTAAACAACGACTTCTTACTTCTAAAGTGTGTTTTCAATAATCAACATCATCTTTTCGCTTCGTACGACTACGAGCCGCCATTTTCCGAGGACATGTACTTTCATTTTCAATTTTGGATAGGTCGTTCGTGTATCGTTTCGTACCGATATTTGAATGCTTGTATCGTAAACCGCATCTTAGAGGAAAATATCGATATGTATCGGTGTATCGGTATATCGTCCCACCCCTAGCTTGAATCTTTGTTTGTTTGTTTATTCAGGAAAATGGCACATGTCATGTAACATAAATTGGCACATAATGAAAAAAAAACATAAGATCTCTAAATAAAACAATGACAGGGATACTTGCAACATGGCATTCACTCTTACCTGAATGTTTTCTATGAAAATTCATCTTGACTTTTTCTGACACACCGTGCCACACGTTTTTTGAAGTCTTCTGGTTGTTCTCTCCACATTTTCTACAAACCATAGAGTAATATTGAAAACAAAGACATTAACACCAAACACAAAAAAAAAAAAAAACATAAAGGGGACATAGACTACAAGATAAGATAAGATAAGATAATTTTATTTTCCAATTTTGGGCCCATAAGGCATAAAGACTACAAAACTCACCTGAGTATGTGTTACAGTTTTTTAAAGATATTTTTATATCTCTATGAAAAATTATGGCCCTACCAAAACTTTGTAAAAGGGGTCTGTGTATCAACACAGCATAGAATGCTTCAATATTAATACAATGTCTAACTAAAATGGCCTTATTGTGATGATTATGACGAACTTGATGCTGATTTTAGCTGACTCTAACCCAGGTAAATGAATCCACAAAACTTGGGAATGTTTGCAAATTAATGTTCCTTAAATTATGGTTCTCGAGAAAATTCTTATAATCAGGTAAATTTACTTTCTTATACGGTCATATGTTAAACTGTGATCCCCTATGGTGGCCCGACCCTACCCTCCCTCATCTACCATGATTTTAACATTTTAGAATCTAAATTACCCTAGCAAACTTCTATATACATGTACTACTAAGTTTAACCTTTTCTGGCCAAGTGGTTCTTGAGAGATCTTTTTTTATGTACCTACTTATCATATCTTTTCTTGGTTACCTCTCCATGGAAGGGGATTTGGCCCTTTATTTGAACAACTTTGAATCCCTTTAGCTCAGGAATTTTGTGTGAAATTTGGTTTAAATTGGCTTTACAAAATAATGTAAATTTGCTAAGTTTACAGACAGACTGACACCTAGAGAGATAGACACTGGACAACAGGTGATCAGAAAAGTTTACTTTAGCCTTTAAGCTCTGGTGAGCTAAAAACATAAATTTGGGTGTTGATTTCAAAAAATTGAAATGCTCTTCAGTCTTCATAATATTGAAATGTAGCACTATGTTCATTTACTCTAACTTTTCTAAAACTGAACTACTAGAAGTAATTACTGGAAAAATAGAAACTATTAAATGATTTTATAAATTCAGAATGCTTGACATTTAATCAAATGTTAACTAGGTACAGGTATAACAGATAATTTTAGAATATATTGTGACAGTGGTTTGTTTTAATACCATAGACCTGTTGTTCACTGCCCTTGTACTTACAGCTGCATCCACATTGGCTGGTGATTCATCATTGGGATCAGAAATCATGGATATTACACTGACTAAAATAGTTTCCACAGTATGTACAGGTAACCAACGTTCTGAGGCTGTTTCATAGCCATATTTATCATCACCTGGCTCATGAAGGATAGAAATGCACACCACTCCATCAGGACCAACTGAAATTAAAAAATGTTTTGTACTATCTTAATTCAAACTGACAAAGTGATAGATAAGAAGTAGAAACTATATTATGTTTATGTACAGAAGGCCAAACAGTCCCTTGACAATGGGTGATCCGAAAAGCTCTTGTGTTTACAGTTCAGGAAAGCTAAATCAAGAGAAAGATACTTCAGGCCTACTTCTTAAATGCAATTAGATTTTCTCACCTTTTTACACTCAGAGAAAGATATTTGTTCCTTATTATTGCTTGATAATTACTGTACACTTGTTAACAGGTTTTCACATTCATATTACAAATATTTTTATCGCAAACTGAATTAACAATAACAGTTTGTAGATCCAGAAGTAGGAGTTTTATTTGATCTAACTGAATTATAGCTACATGCTAATTAAAACATAAATTGAATTTACAAGGAATATGTTCATTATGAAATTCTCAATCCTACTTGTAACACTGAGCCTCTAAAGTTCATACACAGGGAATTTTCAATGAGATATTATTAACACATTCAATATACAGGTTAATTTTTAATTTTACATTCAATGCACATCAACCATCGTTCTGCGCACAACATTTCAGATTTTTCCTTTTATATTTCTTTCCATGTGAGTTAATTTTTATGACAAGAACAGTTCATTTGTCAGAAATGGTCATATCTCGGCAACAGAATGAGTGGATAATAACATCCTTTCCAAAAATAAGCATGGCGAACCATTCAAATCTTCTGTAAAGACCTTATGGATAGGGTGCATCCTTTTTATCATATCTAATATGTTTAAAATCTAAAGTAAACTTTATCATTGTTCAAATATTCAACAAAAGTGCTAATTGGAGGTCTTTGATAGCAAATTGCTTAATTAAAAATACACTTTTCACTTTTTCACTGTTTAAAAAAAATTTATAGGAACTCATTTATCTCTATAAACTGTGTACAAATTATTATATGCAGTTTCTATATTACATTTGTACAGTCCTTAACATTTTTTATCACAAGTGACTGAAATAGTGACGTCATTTTCACATTGTGACGTCACAAACAAGGAGAAACTTTAATCAGCATATGCTAATTATAGACCTTGTGTATGGCTATGTGTGTACCGAATTTCATTCTGATCTGAATTGTGGTTTTGTTGATATAGAGATAGTTTGCGTACTTTTTGATCACCCCTCGTACAACATTTCAGACTGCAAATTATAGACTAGCATCTTTTACAGCAAAGTTTACACTTTTTTGTTTTAAAGAAACTGAAGTAAATACAGTATTCATTCCTGAACATGGCAGTGCTGGGAATCTTTCCAATAAACATGGGTGTTGTACAATGTTTAACTGGGTTCTAAACTACCAGGAGACTTACTGTTTGGATGCCAAATATCCGACTTGAAGACCATTTTTGGAGGTCTATGAGGGTATTCCTTTGGAAACAGGAGGTGGGCTTTAAAGAATCCTCCTTCACTGAAAATTGGAGCAAATGTTGTTCATCCCATGGCATTGTTTCTGATTCAGAACTTCATTCAATTGAATTTTAAAATACACATTATGATCACATACGACAAGAATTTGTTATGAGACTACATCAAATTTCTTGGATTCTTTTCCATCTCTCTGGTTTATTTCATTGAAAGGTATATTCTTTCTTTACTGCTTTTAAATTTTGACATAAAATTAAAAGAACACATAGCAGCCAAATATAAATTCATTTGAAAAAGTCTATACCAGTTTAAGTGTTTCATTTTAATATTAAAAGATTATAAAAATGTAAATGAATTAGTCCAGGTATTTTTGTACTTACTATGGGGTATCCTGTGGCCCAATTATGACTACCTCCCATTTGTATAAGTCTTCGTCATCTATAAGGCCTGCTGAAAATCCTTCTACTGGATTTTTGTTCAAATCTTAGAAGACAAAGTTAAAAACTATATATTAAGTCATACATATTAACAAGAATAATACACTCTAAGTACAATTATTAAATGTTTATAATTAATTATATTATAACTACAGGTGTAACTAAACACAGTGTATTGTGATGCAACGAGGATTAATTTGAAACATTAACAAATAAAATGAAATATAATGAAATATCATTTTTTTCAAATATACTTTCCTGGTGTATGCAATAAAGACTATTAAAATCAAATTTTTATGCTCTCATAATCAAAGATTTGGGGGTATATAGTTTTTGCTCAGTTCGTCCGTCTGTCTGTATGTTTGTCTGCAACATCACTGACCTTGCCCATAACTTTCAAGTGGATGGGGCTATGATTTTCATATATTACAGGTGCATTCCTTGCAAAAAGACCTTTCTTCGGGTTTCACTAAATTTGACCTAATGACATTGACCATGAAAATTGACCCACTTTAACAAATAATTTCCAAACTTTATCCTTGACTATAATTTTTTAATAATTGGTGCTAGAGCTTTCACACTTCACATGTGTACTTGTTGTGACAAGACCTTTCAATTGGTATATATTTTTTTTTTACCTTGACCTTAGAATTTGCTCACTTACAAACAATAATCTTTAAAATATCCTTTGAACAGTTCATCGTAAAGTTACATATTTCACAGGTGTTTTTTGTGTGCGAAGACCTTTCTTTGGATACCAACAATTTTGACCTTTTTACCTTGAACTTGGATTTTGACTTGCATCTGAGAAAGTTCAACCCTCACCATAAGCTGCTATTGGGGGGCATCAGTGTTTCACAAACAAATCTTTTTTTTTTAATTTTAAAAATAAATGTTAAATCAACATTTTCTTTCTCAAATAGAAAATACAATTTTGGCAAAACCAACTGGCAAAACTGACAATATTCAATCTGAAGCATCATCATTATAACATGGAACTTTTATTCATTTCTGTTAACATGGTTAATTACTTTTTTATAGCATAATTTTTTTTATTATTCACATTCCTCTGTGATTCTGAAATTGTATTTCTATTTGATTAAATCATTAATGAATGCATGTCTTATGCAAATAGACATATCTTTTTCTTATATATAATAAATGGCCTTGCATAGTACAGCCAGTAAATCGTTCAACACAACAACCTGAGGACATGTTAATCTGTATCCCACTTTTTACTTACGTAAAAAAAATCCTTGAAATATTCGATAATCTACATTATAAAACCTAAAACACTGTTCAAAGTCACATTTTCATTTCCAAAAAAATAAACACGCTTGTTTTCTTTAAGATTGGTTATTCATGTATGACGAAGTACATGAAGTATCGAGTTGTTGTGAGCAGTCGATAAAGGAAGGGGGGTGATTAACTTTCAGCTTTAAAGAAATGACCAACATTTCTGTATAGTTATAAATAATTCGGGGAAAATGAACTCTTACCAGCCAATTGTTTTCTTAAAAGAAGAGCTGATTGTTCGCTAGCCATGAAAGAATGTTGATGAACAAAACTTTCACGTTCAACGATGAATGCCTGGAAGTATATTTGGCGCAAGCGCAGTAATAGAAGTTAATGCACTCAGCTGAGAGACAAGGGCAGATAAGTCAGTAGAAAGTTCAAGGATGATATTTTTACAGTCTCAATAGCCTTCATTATATGTCACTTTAGCAGTTTTTTATTTTCTGTTTTGGAGTTTTTGCATTTCTATGAATAAAAAGAGATTCATTTGTAATTTTAAGATCTATTAAATTTATTAAAACCAGTGACGCATAAAACAGATAAATAATTTTCATTTATGTTTTAGCTTGCATTAAATATTCTTATTAAATTCCAATTTCAAATTTTGCAAATTTATCAGTAATGTAAAAATAAGATTTTTTTTCTATAATAATTGTAAAACATATATCAACAATTTTATTTCAAAGCAGAAAATTTCCGGAACTCTAAGGGCCAATTGAAACGCACCTAAAATTATTTACATTCTATCAATATCCGGTGTAGACTACACATTGAAAAGTCATCTGTCACTCATCTTCAATCATTAATAATGTTATTCAACAGACTGTAAGAACTAGAATCTCTCATATTTATTAAAGATGTTCACAAGACGGAACTGCATTTTTATAAGGTACCGTTCAAATTTGATTTGCAATATACTATTACAGGGGCGTCGGCAAGTATATTACATTGGGGAGGCTGATTGAAAAAGGGGGGGGGGGTAACTGCATGTGTTTTTACTTAAATTCAAATTTCTACCAGTATATTGATATATTTTCCCATTCTGTCAATGTTTCAAAGACTCCACCTGATTAAAAAAAACAAAATCGTTTTATATGATTTTATTTACGTCATGTCATAAGCACATACGAGAAGCACGTAGTTGAATAAATATTATTTTGAGATGCATATATACTTATCTTTAAAATAATCAATTAATAAGCACTAATAAACACTACATAAATGAAATCTGTTCATTAAATAATACACAATGTCACTGCACTTTAAAAGCGTCCAAAAATGAAGCTTCTCCCGTGCTGACACAAAGTCATTACAACTGCCAAAATGTTCAAAACATTGTGTTATAAATGATGTTTTACATATAGCACTAAGTCTTTACTCGACGCAAAGCAGAAAATGTTCAACACAATCAATATATTAAAATTTGTATCCTTTCAAAATATCATTGAAAAGATCATAAAAAATATATATCTTTTAATGTACTTACTTCATAATGTAACCATGCGTATTGTTTAAACCAAGTGGGGTTGAATGAATATACAGTTTTTTCAATGGGTGGCACTGTAGCTTGCCGAAAGAACGCTTACTAGGAAATTTAAAATTAACAGGTTGATTAATACCTTTTAATCCGGCCATTTTTGAAATTGAAATGTAGAATAAGTGTAATAATATTAAAAAAAAATCATCTCAAGTTGTTTTAGACAGTGATTTTAACTAATTTTCAGTTTTTTTAATTAATATGCTCATACGTTGTAATATTTTCGATAATTGTTTAATGACTTGCAATCATGTTGAATCATCAAAGCTTCCAAACATCGATCGACCAATTAATTGGACAATGAACAATTTGTAGCAAACCCGCACTTACAGCAATCATAATGACTACCCTGTTGTGTACACACGCCAGGTACAGGTATATATAGACATGCATGTATATCCCGTTTGACGTCTGTGTAAACAATAGCTTGTACACACTTTGCCGCTCCATTGACCACAGAACATGCAGAATGCCGCTATACTCGCCGCTTCAATGAGCAGATTTCGCCGTTTAAAAAAATCATTTTAAAAAGAAAAACAATCTCACTATTTTTTTTTTTTTTTTTTTTTTGAAAATTATTGGGGCGGCGTGGCCAGAGCCGCCCCTTTGCCCTGTATTAGCAATATTTTCAGTAAGACCAATTTAGTTTGATTTGTCCACTTTCTGTAAAATTCTTTTCAAAATTCAATTTTTCTCCCATGGGTCCGTTCTAGCTCAAACTTACCCAAAGATTGCCTTTTGATAAAGGGATTTTCATTCTAACATCCTGTAGTAGGAAAGGAGAAATGCACGAAGAAAACGTATGGCTGGACCGGGAATCGAACCCCGGGACCCCTGTATTACTAGTCAGGTGCTCTATCCACTGAGCTATCCAGGCCGATATCCACTGTAAATCCTAATTTTCTACAATCCTCCCTCCTTAACAGTCTTCGATTTGAAGACATTAGTTCAAGGGCCCTGCCAGGAATTATTAATTTAATTCAACTTTTCCTACTACAGAACGTTAAACGGCCCGGATAACTCAGTGGTCAGAGCACTTGAATCAATTATTTTTGCATCATCTTATATTTAGGATTTGTCAGTTTGAAACTCGGGAATATTTCTCGCACACGAATAAAAGTTGGTTAACAGTATTTGTTTCATTTAATGTTATTTATGTATAGTCATAATGTTTATATTGAATATCACTTGAATTGCATTCCACAACCTCTAGCTATAGTATCTCTAGAAAATCAGATTTGAAAATGATTTTTTTTTTCAAATGACTTTAACATATTCAAACATTTAAGTATTCATTATCAATTTTTTTTGCCTCAATTCTTTATTACTCTCTGAACCAGAATCACTTTAACATGCAAACATTGAGGTCATTATCAATTTTTTTGAATTACTCTCTGAACATAGGTAAGGGGTTTGTCATGAGTGTGGGATATTAAAAATGAATTTCTTACATGCAATATATACATTTCTCTTTTGCAGCAATGCAGTTAATTCATATTGCCACAAATTGATGTGGGGAAAATGCATAAAATTAAAAGGAGTATCGAAATCTGTTTTTGAGAAACGTCATGTGACTACAATTGTTGCAGGTAATTGTTTAACTGATAATGTGTTAGAAAATACAATTCTACAATAACAACTAACAAGCTTTGAATTTATATTTATTAATATCATAATATTTACATCCACTGAATATTTTCTCCTTTATTTCTTAAGAAAACCCATTGCGTTAATCACTGCATGAACTACATTAGGCATGTCGCCTGTACAGATTTCTTGATCAGTGGCTGTTCCATCAATGAAACGTATAAAGACGTTCGCCTTATTAATACAATAATTAATCTTTTTAAGCTTACTTTAAATGATCATTTAAACAGATATAAATATAAACAATAAAATGTCTTTCTCTGTAATGTTATTACTGGAATTAATGGTCGCAGCTATTGCGTAAAAAATTTACATAACCCGCTTATGTTAACACTTACTTAACGCTTACATTAATTCCAGTAATAACAATCAAAGAAAGCATTTTATTGTTTAAATATATATAAAATAAAATTAAGATTTGAGTATTTAATTCAATAATTTTAAGTTCAATAGAATTTAGAACATGCCTATTTTCCCCTTTTCATTTTAAGCATGCATATATTTTATTTTTAATTTTTTTAGTTCAACAGGATCAAAGTCTTAAGTGAGCTCTTGCAATAGATGTGTGATGAAAATATGTGCCCTTGTGTTTGTTTTTAGCTCTACTGGTCAGAGACCAGATTATGCATAAAAAATTAATTTCAATATAACTTGGCACACAAGTAGACTAAACTAAGATACATAATTCCGTGTATCGGTTTTTGATTTCAACGAACGGTGTTGGCGTTGTTACTAAAAATAGAAATTTTTGTGAAATTCTTTCAAAATGCTACTCCTCTTACAAATTTGGTCTGATTTCAATATTACTTGGCACACAAGTAGACTACACTAAGATACATAATTCTGTGTATCGGTTTTTGATTTCGATGAACGGTGTTCCATGTTACTAAAAATAGAAATTTCTGTGAAATTCTTTCAAAATGCTACTCCTCCTACAGTTTTGGTCTGATTTCAATATAACTTTGCATATAAGTAGACTAACTAAGATACATATTTCTGAGTATCGGTTTTTGATTTCAACGAACAGTGTTGGCGTTGTTACTAAAAATAGAAATTTCTGTGAAATTCTTTCAAAATGCTACTCCTCCTACAAATTTGGTCTGATTTCAATATAACTTGGCACACAAGTAGACTACACTAAGATACATAATTCTGTGTATCTGTTTTTGATTTCGATGAACAGTGTTGGCGTTGTTACTAAAAATAGAAATTTCTTTGAAATTCTTTCAAAATGCTACTCCTCCTACAGTTTTGGTCTGATTTCAATATAACTTGGCACACAAGTAGACTTAAGATCATAATTCTGTGTATCGGTTTTTGATTTCGACGAACGGTGTTGGCGTTGTTACTAACAATAGAAATTTCTGTGAAATTCTTTCAAAATGCTACTCCTCCTACAGTTTTGGTCTGATTTCAATATAACTTTGCATATAAGTAGACTACACTAAGATACATATTTCTGTGTATCGGTTTTTGATTTGGACAGTGTTGGCATTGTTACTAAAAATAGAAATTTCTGTGAAATTCTTTCAAAATGCTACTTCAAATTCAGTTTTAATCTGATTATAATATAATGTGGCATGCAAGTAAACAACACTAAGAACATGATTATTCAAGGATCATTATTCTCTTTTTTGCTAGTGTAAAGTTTCAATTCCCAACTGCTTAAGTACTTTCCTCTTCCTTTGCTATAAGTACAAACCAGTAGAGCTTCAGTCTCGACAGAGACTTCTGGTTTTATTAATTATCTGTAAATTTTTCCCATTGTTGACTTCTCATGAACTAGTGAAACATCCTCTTACAAGAAGGAAAAAAATAGGGTTTGGTCATCTACTTGAGAACTACTTTTCCAGAAATGAAAATTTTTAGCAAATGCAAGTTTGTTTTGTCAAGAACACATCAGCATATGATAATTTAAAGAAATACATATGCAAGCATCCTCAGGTTGTACAGATTGATCCATGTTTCTTCAAATCAAGCCGTATGTTAAAGTATGGGAATATATTGGGAAAAAAAATCTCTCAAGAACATCATGGACCATATTTAAATTTTTTAAGTTCAGTGAGCCACAACATGGAATGCTTTGCTAATAATTATTTAATATAATAATGTACATTAGTGCACTGTGAAAATTTTCTGCACAGTAGTCCATGTTGATGTTATGACATGAAGTGATGGACATTACATATCCTATTAATCTCTATATCTTCAACTTAGAAGCAGGACTAAGACCATGGTTTGGGTGAACACATGATTTATTTTAGTAAGACATCAATATGTTTCAGTGTTACATAATAACCAATAATACACATAGAAACTGCAGATTACATAATAAGCGATAATGAACATAATAAACTGCAGAACACTGAATATCTATAAATATAAATCATGTGATAAATCTCCACTACACTAACCACTCATATCACTTTCACTCAATCACTTTCTCTCATGTTCTTAAAGTTGGGCGGGAGGGGTGGTATAAAAAATATGCAACAAATGGCTGAAAAATTTTGACAAGGTCTGTGTGCACTGAAAAATTTTTTGAAAGTGACGCTAAAATGGTAGGTCTTTCCTAATCTTATGAAAATACGGCAATTTCATTGGTCAGAATTTAAAAGACAGTCCAGCGTTAATTTGATTGGTTTAAGGCTGCGAAAAACAAGATTTTGATTGGCAGGTGCAACTTGTTTTTCCAGGGGGTGGGTTGTTTTATCGCTTTTTTGGTTGTGTGAACCCTGGTAACCAGAATTACTGTATGACTGGGGTTTATCCCAATGACCAAGGGGGTGACAGCTACTTGTCTGACCGGAAGTAAACAAAGCAACAAAACAAAACAATAGCAAAACAAAATGGCGTAATTTCAGATTTGATTAATAAATATTAAATTACTTTAATCTATCAAATTTACAGTTTAATACTTATATGTACATTAATTAAATTCATTTCATGATAGACCAATAAAACACTTGTATCACCACCACCTTGTTTAAATGGTGCACACTAATTGATATGCTAAATTTAGGGAGAAGTTGGAACTGTTTATCTTGAGCCTGGCTTTTGATATTTATTTATTTATTTTGCCCCTGAACTTTGTTTAGTGCTTGTGATGTCAAAAAAACTTTTAATGTACATGTATTGACCCCTCCATTCCATGTTTTTATGAATGCAGATTGAAGTTTTTAAGACATTATAAGAAAAATACATATGGAATGTAAATATATGAATATGAAAGCATTTCCATGCATTGCTGATTCAAGTTTATTCAACCTTGGCACCTTGGAGGTAAAATATGGGGATTCAAAGTTTAACATGTGAATATACCAGCCAGTACATAAGATGTTACAAAAAAAATCTCAGAAGTTTGGCCAATCATAATAAGTAAACATTTCCAAGTTGTTTGGATGCAAATTTTTATCGAATTATGGACTGTTAATTTACGGAGGACTGAAATCAATCTGATAAAAATCAAACTTTCCACTTATTAGCTTCTTTATTTTGATGCTCATGTGACAATCAAAATGCCAGGAAACTATAGTGAAGGTTTGACTTTAATCAGGCTCTGGGGCTAAAATTGGGGATAAAACTGATTATATTTTGTGTAATGAATGTTTACCTACTACATGTATAAATATTAATTATTTCTGAGTTTATTAAAAAGATTTTTTAAAGCTAGGCTATGTTAGACATATAAAATGAAAGCATCCATATGTTACATGTGTTATGTAGATTTAAGTTCAATTAAGTCATATGACCTATGAGGGTAGGTAGGGGAACAGTATGGAGAAAAAATCCTTTAAAACCTTATATGTTGAACAGCAGGGCCAAATTGACTCAAGAAGAATTGTGACCAAGTGGTCTCTATTTATTCTGTATATGTACATTTTGTTTTAAATATTTATTTTTCTTTTCAGCAAGAGAGTCTTTGAAAGATTTGGTGGGAGGAACTAAGAAATTAATTGGGTGAGATATTTAACAAATGCTAAATTACATATACATCGCGTAAAATCATGATTTGATAAAAATTGAAAACTAGAAATGTCTGACACATTGCTGACATTGGTACCTCCCATTAGTTTGAAATGTTTTTTGGAAAGTTTAATTTCAATTTCTATTCAATCTGATTAAAATCAGATCTTAATTTGTTACCCTCTGAAAATCTGATGGTCGCTGTACAGGAGGGTAACAAAGATCTGATTTTAATCAGATTGTTGATACTATTGTCTTTCAAGCATGGGAAAAAATATTTGTGCTTAAGTTGTACATGAATGCCAGTTACAAATCTTGTTAGATTTTTGTTTAAGATCCCTTATCTAAAAGGATATATGAACTATGATTAGTTGCATGGCCCAACTCCAAAATATGGACAAAGTAGTACCAGAAAAATTACTTATTTGCACATATTTCTACATTTCAAGGATTTCTACAGACTGAAACTTTCCATATGTTCTAGTGTTGACTGGGGACAGGTCGGTGGTAATGATATGGCATGTAATGATATGAATTCTATATCTTAAATTTCAAGATCACTGTGAAATGGGACATATATTTCTACCCATCTAATAATGTAATTCTAAATGGCATGAATTATATCTGTGTATATAAGTTGTGTTTTTTTACTTGATATAGCCCTAGTTATATCTTTGTATTGTCACTATATACCTTACATTTATATTAAGTACGCTTGGACAAATTTCCGCAGAAAATTTGTGACCGTGTACATAACGTAAATTAATACCACGTGGAAAAAAGTACTTCTACAGTATCGGCAAAACATTTAATGTCCGTACTTAGAGAGAGATATTCATATCATTAAATAAAGAAAATTTTTGTAGACTGTGTAAAACAGTCATCACAAATGTACAGGATTTCAAAATTGCAGCTTTTTAAATTTCAAGTTGAATTTGTACTACAGGGTGAGTGATGAGTCCAGTAAAACTGAGTTGGGGCCGGTGGCAGAGTCTCAAACGGAACTTCCTGTCCGTAGAATGTCTGACAGTTATTCTGAGGTCATTATTCCATTATCCGATGTTGTCGCCAGGCAGAAGTACCTCAATCCAAGCTTAAAAGGGGTACGATTTGGAAGAATTCTAGAAGATTTGGACACATTTGCAGGTAATTACACATTCAGATAATCATTTTATTTTGTAACACTTTGTGTGCAAGCTCATTACATCATTAAATAAATTATTATTTAAGTTTTTAAAAAGTATATAGAACTAAGATGGAAGTAAATCAGGCTTGCCATATGATAGTACATGTATATGTTTTTCTTGTATACAGTAAAGTAATTTTGTACTTTCAGTTTACATTAGTTATAAGCATACTGTGGTGGACAGGTCGAAGAAAGCAGCAATATCCATAGTAACCGCTCTGGTGGATAGGATAGGTAAATATCTACAGAAAATGAAATATCCCAAACTATTTTGATGTTTCTTAGGGAATGATTAATTTTTTAAAGTCTTGGTATACATTAGACTCTAATTTTTGTATTTTGAGTTGGTTAGGGTTAAATTACAATAAAGTTTAAACTGAAACCTTTATTACAACCTGTAAAGTTTATACATCCATAAAAAAAAAGTTGTGCCATTTGATCAAAATAAAGTAAATTCTTAAAACATTAATATAAAGATCATAATTGAACTACATGTAATCCAAATATATGCAGAGAAACAGACAGACATTGTGCCAGATTTAAATGTCAAGATGACGGGAAACGTCACATGGGTTGGAAAATCCTCAATGGAAGTCACAATGAAACTACAACAGGTGATTCTTTTGTTTTTATTATAAAATCACATTCAGTTAAAAGTTCATAATACAGTAAATACTTTTAAAAAATGTCAACGAAGAAAAGTTATTGTACTATCATATATACAGTATTTCAATCTTTTATGTAAGTGTTGCAACATAATTCAATTTTAATCTTTTGATCTTCTCACAAACGATGAAAGGTGAGTCAGTCAAAGGAACTAATTTCAAATAGATAAGGAAATGTTGGTTTTTGTATTCTTTGATGGAAAGCCAAGTATGATCATACTGTCATAAATAGGAAAGACTGTCAGTATAATTTTTTGTTAAAGTACATAGCATGTTAATCAACTAGGCCTAAACTACCGTAAGTGTTTATTTTATCTTACAGGAGGTGAATTCTGCATTAAATACCATACTTATTGCTAAATTTCTGATGGTTTCAAGAAATCCAGCAACTAAAAAGTAAGTTATGTGTTGCTGGACAGAGAAAAAAAAAAGAATGCAGAAATTAATTGATTTCATACTTGTGTATTCTTTGCCAGAAATAAAGAAAAGGTAATTAACTCTCCATCTGCATGCTTAAAAGCTCAAGGGGAAAAAATTACCCAAAGTAGCAGAAATTTGTTTTGCAAAAAATTAGTGTTTCAGGAGAATGAAAAGCGAATTGAAATTTTAAAAAGAAGTATTTCAGTACAAATACAACTGAGCTCTTTTTCCCTTTACAGGGCAGCAGTTGTATGTCCATTGAAACCAGAAACTCCTGAGGAAGAAAAGACATTTCAGCTTGGAGAAGGTACTTAATAAAGCTAAATACTTCTCATATAAAAGACATTGTCCACCATATTTCTCATTCATCATCTCTATACCGACAACCCCTACATAAACCAGACCTCTTAACAGATCAAAATATTTCACTGTATAGGTCTCAGGAATGTGGATGTACATAATACATTGTCATTACTACTCTGTCACGATGAAATTATGAAATTTTAAGCACTTTTTTCCAAGCTAGGTGAAAAGGTACATCAAATATACAAGTTAATACATTACTTTAAAAATCTAAGACCACAAAAGGAATACTACACAGAATACTACAGACCAGCCATGAGTTTCTAGTGTGCAATAGGGTGTAACGAAATCCAAGGGTTTATATATACATGTATGTACCTATGTGACAGTGCCTATTTATGAGTAGTGTTCAGCTGTAATATTAATGTAATATTTTTTTAATAAATTTTTTTAATACTAATTTAATATTAGTGAAGAAAGCACATTCAAAGATAAAATTCTGTTTTGTTATGAGAATTTGAATTTGTTCATATAGCATAAAACAGAACTAATGAAATTGCACTACCCAAGAAAGCCAGTTTAAGGACCAGTGTATATAGACTGTATGGTGTACAATGAATTTAAGTAACAGTTCATCTTGTGTAAACTATAACCTTAAAGCAAGTCAGATGATACATTTACTTGTAAGAACAATCAATCTATATTCTATTTTTAGCAAATAAGTTGGTGAGACAAGGAGAAGCAAAGAGAAATCTTCTTAAAACCCACCCCAGTGAGGAAGAGAGAGAAATGATCCACCAACTGTTTCTTCAGACTCTGGATCCTAAGTAAGAATCCCTGTCACTGACTTTAAGACTAGTAAATGTGCAAAGATGTGTATACCTCTACATTTAGTGATATGTACAGTTTGAACATAAGCAAAGTCTGCAAAAGAAATTATTTTTAAAATATTAAAGTTGGCTTAGGCTTTAAGCCATCGTGTTATTCACAAATAGATATAGAAATGATTGAGAGTGCAGCAAGTGTAAATGAATGTACTATGCTTCATTTATCATATTATTGTAGCTTCCAAACATTTCGTCATCGAGTGAAGCCAGAAAACAGTGTGTGGATGGAGGACACAATCTTAAAAAATCTCCACATTTGTTTCCCGGAGGTAATTTACTACATATCTTACAATTAAAATACATGTAGTACAGCTACAAACTTTCATTTCAAACTGAGAAATTGTGAACAGATGAAGAAACATTTTAGAGTTCAAAACATATTTTTTACACCTCTAAGAAATAACATTGGATATAGAATCACAGTGTAAAATATGCAAACTTTGTTTCTTGCTACTGTTATTCCCAGCGTGTATTTGTAAGTACAATAGCTGCTTTATGTTCACCAGGCCAGGAATCTTTACAACAAGATATTTGGTGGGTACCTGATGAGGATAGCTTATGAATTAGCCTGGGCTAATGCTGCCCTCCATTGGTAAGTTCAACATTGCTCCATTATTGATGCAGTTAGCTTTTCACAAGACTATCTCCAATGTCAAATTCAGTTTAGGTTTTCTTGTCATATGCATCAGAGAAAATCAACTCTTCATTATTTCATACCCAGAGATTTATTTTGGGTATGCCTGACCTATATTCCAAAGTTAATCTATTCCTGTTGTTCAGTATGCCAAATACTTCTAAACTTATTTCATGTGAAAAATTAATAATTTTTAATTGCAAAAAGCTAAACTTTTATATATCTGTACTTCTGAAGTATAAAAATCCTGCAGAGAGACAATTTTTACAAATTTCCTGTTTACAATAAAACAGGCATATAATGATTCAAGTACGGGGGATGAACAGTTTTGCTTAGTTATAAATTGAATTTAATTCCTTTATCTGATAATTTAAAATGTAATTCAAAGGTACAGGGAATGAAAATCACTTTGCTTTCAGCACCAGTTTATTTTAAGCAACCATTGTCTAAAAATGATAAATATTTGTGAGTATTTCTTTCAGTTCTTCGAGGAACTTCAGCCTGATGATAGTGGATGATATTGCCTTTCTGAAGTCTGTAGAGATCAGGTCTCTTCTGTTGATGTCCTCCCAGGTAGGGCTTAAGGCAATCATGTACAGACTTCACAATTCAATTGGTTAAAACTTTAATGGCAATAGACAATCGAGTGCTTTGAAGTGGTACAATTTTCCATTTGATTGAAATGTTTTGAGATCTCTTTAGAAAGTAGATTGTCCAATAATGACATGTCCATTTCTTCTGAAAGGAAAAAAAGTGGTCAGGTGATTCATTCAAATACCTGCAGAACGGGTACTCCATAAATACAATAGCCAATCATATCAAAATTTTACATAAGTCCATAAATACATGATCAACCAATACATGTGTTATGGACTTATGGTAACTCCAATAAAGATGATAAATTGATAATTCTGTACATATTTGTTGCAGTACATGTTTTACAGAGCTGAGAAGTCTTTAACTCTCTCCTAACTTCATAAAATCTCCATTTCAGTTAAAATTGTGTTCTTTCTTGTTTCTAAAGAAACAAGCATGTCATTATTTAATAACAATTGATGATCCAAGACACAACACCCGCTCCCAATTTTTGTTCTCTTTCAGGTTGTATTTACACGGGATACAAATTTACAGATACACGTCCACGCGGAGGTTATAGACCCCGACGATGGAACTCGATCTACCAGCAACAATTTTCATTTCACTTTCAAGTGCCATGAGCCAACCATACCAACTGTCATGCCTAAAACCTACGCAGGTATGGGACCAGAAAGTTTAGCTTAATAAGAGTAAATTTGAATTTGCATCCTCTTATTTCACGAACTGTGAAATCACTAATTTTTGTGGGGGTCTAATTTCTGTTGTTTTGGAGGCTTGGAGAGACCAATGAATTTATGACCACCACGGAATAAAAAAATTTCTTATGCTTTATGTACAACTAAACTTTCTCCAGCCACGAAATCAAGTCCCCACTTTAAGAAATTGCTTAGAAGGATATCTGGATATCTTCACAGTACATGTAGCTTTAATTGCTAGGTTTTAGAGAAAGAAAGTCAGCATTTTTCTCTTATAATCTTGCTATTTTGCCAGATACATGTACAAATGTATTTAGCTGTCATAAGATCCATATTTTTTGCACATGTTTTTAATAATGTAGAAAGATGCATTACCTCTTTGAATTCATTCAATGAGATAATCATGCTTTAGAAAGAAAACTTTCTAGTTTTTATTTTTTTAAATTTGAATTTATTTTGTACATTTCAGAGTACATGTTGTACCTGGATGGAAAGAGACACTTCGAGAGCTGATCTTCAGTTTGTTTACAGTAAAACACAGTTATAATGAACATGCTTACAATGAATTGACACTTACAGCGAAGTGATCTTAAATCCCCGTGACTTTATTATATATTGTAAACTTGAGAGATGTAACGAATTACACTTATAAGTAAAATTGTCCGTCCCTGGCATTTCGTTATAATAACAGTGTTTTACAATGTAGTTAGATACAATGTAGTTAGATACAATGATAAACAGGATAACTGAATCAGTAATGTGTGTACACCAGTAAATGATCTGATAATGATAAATAGGATAACTGAATCAGTAATGTGTGTACACCAGTAAATGATCTGATAGTGATAAATAGGATAACTGAATGAGTAATGAGTGTACACCAGTAAATGATCTGATAATGATAAATAGGATAACTGAATCAGTAATGTGTGTACACCAGTAAATGATCTGATAGTGATAAATAGGATAACTGAATGAGTAATGTGTGTACACCAGTAAATGATCTGATAATGATAAATAGGATAACTGAATCAGTAATGTGTGTACACCAGTAAATGATCTGATAGTGATAAATAGGATAACTGAATGAGTAATGTGTGTACACCAGTAAATGATCTGATAATGATAAATAGGATAACTGAATCAGTAATGTGTGTACACCAGTAAATGATCTGATAGTGATAAATAGGATAACTGAATCAGTAATGTGTGTACACCAGTAAATGATCTGATAGTGATAAATAGGATAACTGAATGAGTAATGTGTGTACACCAGTAAATGATCTGATAGTGATAAATAGGATAACTGAATGAGTAATGTGTGTACACCAGTAAATGATCTGATAATGATAAATAGGATAACTGAATCAGTAATGTGTGTACACCAGTAAATGATCTGATAGTGATAAATAGGATAACTGAATCAGTAATGTGTGTACACCAGTAAATGATCTGATAGTGATAAATAGATAACTGAATCAGTAATGTGTGTACACCAGTAAATGATCTGATAATGATAAATAGGATAACTGAATCAGTAATGTGTGTACACCAGTAAATGATCTGATAATGATAAATAGGATAACTGAATCAGTAATGTGTGTACACCAGTAAATGATCTGATAATGATAAATAGATACTGTATATACTCGCCTATAAGTCGGTTGTATTTTTTGACGTTATTTTGATGGGATTTGCTATTGGCCTGCTTATACATCGGTACAATTTTTTTGCCATAATCTGGTGACAATTTCAAGTTAATCCATTGATTTATAACCTGGATTCAATAAATATTTTTTCAAACTGACACTGATATTCAATCTAAAATTAGTAAACAAAAAAGTAATGCTCACTTAAACAATTAAAATACAATTAATGAAATATGTCAATACTTGTACTTTTTATATATAATCTAAGTATACATAAATTATCTTATATATCCTGGCCAGACATTTTCTTAGATAATCATGCGGAAATGTAAATAAGATACTACCTTTTAGCCTCTAGAAAAGTGCCAATCTCTTTATGACTCGCCTATAAGTCGGACATAGAGTTTAAGACCAATATTTAACTGCCAAAATACCGACTTATAGGAGAGTATATACGGTAACTGAATCAGTAATGTGTGTACACCAGTAAATGATCTGATAATGATAAATAGGATAACTGAATCAGTAATGTGTGTACACCAGTAAATGATCTGATAATGATAAACAGGATAACTGAATCAGTAATGTGTGTACACCAGTAAATGATCTGATAATGATAAATAGGATAACTGAATCAGTAATGTGTGTACACCAGTAAATGATCTGATAGTGATAAATAGGATAACTGAATGAGTAATGAGTGTACACCAGTAAATGATCTGATAATGATAAATAGGATAACTGAATCAGTAATGTGTGTACACCAGTAAATGATCTGATAGTGATAAATAGGATAACTGAATGAGTAATGTGTGTACACCAGTAAATGATCTGATAATGATAAATAGGATAACTGAATGAGTAATGTGTGTACACCAGTAAATGATCTGATAGTGATAAATAGGATAACTGAATCAGTAATGTGTGTACACCAGTAAATGATCTGATAATGATATATAGGATAACTGAATCAGTAATGTGTGTACACCAGTAAATGATCTGATCATGATAAATAGGATAACTGAATCAGTAATGTGTGTACACCAGTAAATGATCTGATAGTGATAAACAGGATAACTGAATCAGTAATGTGTATACACCAGTAAATGATCTGATAATGATAAACAGGATAACTGAATCAGTAATATATGTACACCAGTAAATGATCTGATAATGATAAATAGGATAACTGAATCAGTAATGTGTGTACACCAGTAAATGATCTGATAGTGATAAACAGGATAACTGAATCAGTAATGTGTATACACCAGTAAATGATCTGATAATGATAAACAGGATAACTGAATCAGTAATGTGTGTACACCAGTAAATGATCTGATAATGATAAATAGGATAACTGAATCAGTAATGTGTGTACACCAGTAAATGATCTGATAATGATAAATAGGATAACTGAATCAGTAATGTGTGTACACCAGTAAATGATCTGATAATGATAAACAGGATAACTGAATCAGTAATGTGTATACACCAGTAAATGATCTGATAATGATATATAGGATAACTGAATGAGTAATGTGTGTACACCAGTAAATGATCTGATAATGATAAATAGGATAACTGAATCAGTAATGTGTGTACACCAGTAAATGATCTGATAATGATAAATAGGATAACTAAATCAGTAATGTGTGTACACCAGTAAATGATCTGATATTGATAAATAGATAACTGAATCAGTAATGTGTGTACACCAGTAAATGATCTGATAATGATAAATAGGATAACTGAAACAGTAATGTGTGTACACCAGTAAATGATCTGATAGTGATAAACAGGATAACTGAATCAGTAATGTGTGTACACCAGTAAATGATCTGAAAATGATAAACAGGATAACTGAATCAGTAATGTGTGTACACCAGTAAATGATCTGATAATGATAAATAGGATAACTAAATCAGTAATGTGTGTACACCAGTAAATGATCTGATAATGATAAATAGATAACTGAATCAGTAATGTGTGTACACCAGTAAATGATCTGATAGTGATAAATAGGATAACTGAATCAGTAATGTGTGTACACCAGTAAATGATCTGATAATGATAAATAGATAACTGAATCAGTAATGTGTGTACACCAGTAAATGATCTGATAATGATAAATAGGATAACTGAAACAGTAATGTGTGTACACCAGTAAATGATCTGATAGTGATAAACAGGATAACTGAATCAGTAATGTGTGTACACCAGTAAATGATCTGATAATGATAAATAGGATAACTGAAACAGTAATGTGTGTACACCAGTAAATGATCTGATAATGATAAACAGGATAACTGAATCAGTAATGTGTGTACACCAGTAAATGATCTGATAATGATAAATAGATAACTGAATCAGTAATGTGTGTACACCAGTAAATGATCTGATAATGATAAATAGGATAACTAAATCAGTAATGTGTGAACACCAGTAAATGATCTGATAATGATAAATAGATAACTGAATCAGTAATGTGTGTACACCAGTAAATGATCTGATAGTGATAAATAGGATAACTGAAACAGTAATGTGTGTACACCAGTAAATGATCTGATAGTGATAAATAGGATAACTGAACCAGTAATGTGTGTACACCAGTAAATGATCTGATAATGATAAATAGGATAACTGAATCAGTAATGTGTGTACACCAGTAAATGATCTGATAATGATAAATAGATAACTGAATCAGTAATGTGTGTACACCAGTAAATGATCTGGTAATGATAAATAGGATAACTAAATCAGTAATGTGTGTACACCAGTAAATGATCTGATAATGATAAATAGATAACTGAATCAGTAATGTGTGTACACCAGTAAATGATCTGATAGTGATAAATAGGATAACTGAATCAGTAATGTGTGTACACCAGTAAATGATCTGATAATGATAAATAGATAACTGAATCAGTAATGTGTGTACACCAGTAAATGATCTGATAATGATAAATAGGATAACTGAAACAGTAATGTGTGTACACCAGTAAATGATCTGATAGTGATAAACAGGATAACTGAATCAGTAATGTGTGTACACCAGTAAATGATCTGATAATGATAAATAGGATAACTGAAACAGTAATGTGTGTACACCAGTAAATGATCTGATAATGATAAACAGGATAACTGAATCAGTAATGTGTGTACACCAGTAAATGATCTGATAATGATAAATAGATAACTGAATCAGTAATGTGTGTACACCAGTAAATGATCTGATAATGATAAATAGGATAACTGAAACAGTAATGTGTGTACACCAGTAAATGATCTGATAGTGATAAACAGGATAACTGAATCAGTAATGTGTGTACACCAGTAAATGATCTGAAAATGATAAACAGGATAACTGAATCAGTAATGTGTGTACACCAGTAAATGATCTGATAATGATAAATAGGATAACTAAATCAGTAATGTGTGTACACCAGTAAATGATCTGATAATGATAAATAGATAACTGAATCAGTAATGTGTGTACACCAGTAAATGATCTGATAGTGATAAATAGGATAACTGAATCAGTAATGTGTGTACACCAGTAAATGATCTGATAATGATAAATAGATAACTGAATCAGTAATGTGTGTACACCAGTAAATGATCTGATAATGATAAATAGGATAACTGAAACAGTAATGTGTGTACACCAGTAAATGATCTGATAGTGATAAACAGGATAACTGAATCAGTAATGTGTGTACACCAGTAAATGATCTGATAATGATAAATAGGATAACTGAAACAGTAATGTGTGTACACCAGTAAATGATCTGATAATGATAAACAGGATAACTGAATCAGTAATGTGTGTACACCAGTAAATGATCTGATAATGATAAATAGATAACTGAATCAGTAATGTGTGTACACCAGTAAATGATCTGATAATGATAAATAGGATAACTAAATCAGTAATGTGTGAACACCAGTAAATGATCTGATAATGATAAATAGATAACTGAATCAGTAATGTGTGTACACCAGTAAATGATCTGATAGTGATAAATAGGATAACTGAAACAGTAATGTGTGTACACCA